GGTCTCTTTGAAATCTAGGGGGAAGGAGCTCTGAAAAGAGCTTGGAAAGGAGCAAAGTCTGGAGTCTGAGCCCTGAGGATGGGTCTGGGGAGGAGGCCGCCCAGCCTCGCCAGAGCTGGACAGTGAGGACCAGTGGGGCCGTCTCCCGCAGGGTCTCATGGTCAGGATAACTTGTTCCAGGCACGTAGCGATCTTTGTCCCACCAACCCTACCATTCACAGCTCTGGATGCCACCACCAGTGACAATTTGGACGACTTCCACCGCAGCCACGATTTCTGTCCCATCTCAGAATTGCTGCTGACTTAGTGTGGGAGCCAGGGCTTCTCCTGGAAGGCATGAGAGATAGGGGGATTTTTCTGATTCAGGCCCCAGTGCCTGTGTGCTGAGAAGAATAGAAAGGGATGTTTTTCTTCTGGTCCCGTAACAGCCTGGGAGGATTCACACTATCCTTGTTTGTTTATTCTGGATAATATCCGTTTCATTGGCTGCTTACCCAGGACCCAGGATTTGGGGAACTGAAATCGGTCATTCAGGGCATGAGCAGAACTGGGGCCCTGTCTCCAGCTGTAGGCATGGTGCCGAGGGTTCCAGGCACACCCTCGCCTTCCAAAGCTCAGCTTTCCTGGCAGCACTTGGGCATGGAGCCTTCTCAGATATACAGGTGCCCGGACCCCGTGCCTCGATATCTGACCTGCAGGTGTGAGCTGGGAACTGGCATCTGGGTGCACAGCTCTGGGCGTCTCTGTGTTTCTCTTGCTGAGCTGGGATACAGGACGATGCTGGGAGGCCAGTGCCCAGCCAGCCATAGCCCTCAGAGCCAGGAGCACCCTTAGGCTGGAATTCTTTGCACCAAAGTCCCGCCTGGGTGCCCTGCCTTGGTGAGGTGAAGGGTTTGTTCGGGAGCTTGTGGAGACTGGGCCAGAGACATCCAGGTGGGGGTGGATTGGCCTCCATCTCCAGGGGTGGGGCTGAGATGAGCAGACCCCTGTGTCCTGCTTGGCTTCAGGAGTGCCTGGAGTGCTTGAATGGGGACACCCACATACCTGTGAACAAAATATGCTGGGCCCCGGGGGCTTGGGGGACAGGTAGAGTAGGGAAAGAGGGGGAAGGCAAGCAGGCTCTGGCATGGGATGCAATTTGAAATGATGGATGGCCCGGGAGGCCTTCCTGGGGAGGTGACCTTGAGTAGGGGTCCGAGGGACCTGCAGAGTGGGCTGTGTGGATGTAGGGTGGGGGTGGGCGGGGGGCAGAGCACCTACACTCCAGGGCGGGAGCTGCTGCTGGGGGAGTTCAAGGCTGAGTGGCAGGGGGGCCGGTGTGGCTGGAGCCTGGTGGCGAGGGCAAGAGGGGGCCCTTGGCAGAGCACATAGATCACTTTTTCTCGGGGTAGTGGGGAGACTTAGAGGGTATTGTGCAGAGGAGGGAGGTCACAATCTGATGTGCGTTTTAACGCTCACACACCGACCAAGGCTGGAGAACAGACTGAGGGCCAGGTGGGATGCTGGGAGCCCAGCTAAGAGGCTATTGCAGTAACGCGGGGAGACATGACATGAAGGACGGTGGTCTGGGGGGCAGGTGGGAGGTGGGGGAGAGAAGGAGCAGATTCAGAAAGACACTGAGAAAATATATATTTTTCATAATATATTGAATATGTAGGGAGACTATACTGATCGTATTTATTGACTACATATTAAATGTATAGTAAAATATATTGAATAAGCAGACTATATTATATATGTATATACTGAGTGCATATTGCACGCACACACAAACACTATGCATTTTGTGTATGTATGGATATATAGCAGAGGCACCTGCAGCTGGGTCTTCACTGTTTCGGGAAGTGGGAGCTGGGCTCCCAGCTTGTTGATCCGTGGGCCTCACCTGGGGCTTTTGTGGGAGTCAGAGAGCAGCCCAAAGGAAAGGGGCCATCTGCCTCACAAGGTGGTCCTCCAGCCAGTAAGTGCCCCGGCCAGCTGTCAAGCCAGGCAGCCTGGCCCCACAGCAGGGTTCTTACCTTGACACGACTGGCCCCTTGGGCCAGATCATTCTTTATTGTGGGGGTTGTCCTGTGCATTGTAGGATGTTAGCAGCACCCCTTTCCCTGTTGTGACCACCGAAAGCATCTCTAGGTGGTGCGCAGTATCCCCCTTTGAGAACAGCCGCTTTATCTGCTGAACCTCATGACATGCTGGGAAGCCCCAGGACGGGCCCGCTTCCTCTCATCTGGCCCCCAGAGCACGCTCTGACCCCCTGCCACAGGCCTGCCCCTTCCCTCCCAGAGATTGGCAGCACCAGCCCCAGAGGGCACAAGACGGCTGCTCCTATTTGTAGCTCGAGAAAGGAAGTGAATTGTTCCCACTGGGGGCGTCCCCCGGGCTGGGGGTGAGTTGCTGAGGACCTTGTTCCTGAAAATGGCTTTTCAGGGATGCCTCAGTGCACACCAAGCAGCTCCTTGGCCCCCCGGAGGCCTGAGGGGGCCCCGCCTGGTTGCCCAGGGGACCGACCTCCCCGGCTTCAGCGTGGAATGCCCTTGCCTCTCCCCCATTATTGGTGGGCAGGAGACAAGATTGGTTTTTCGGTCTGGAAACAAAACCAGGGCTCTGTGTTCAATCGAGAGCAAATTCCCCAGCCTGACCCTCCGCAGAGAGGCCCAGGAGTTTCGACGTGGGGGGCAGTGGGCTGCATAGCCACGAGCATCAGTGGGCGATGCCGGGGGAGGCCCGAAGAGAAGCAGGGAGGATGCCAGGGAGAGGGCACAGCTCACGGTTACCATCCGGTATTCTAAGAATAAGAAGCCCAAGTCTCGAGTCTTTATTAAACACCGATTGTACACAGCCAAGGGTTTGAGAGACTGTGTAGACCGTGGTGTGTCAGAGCTGATGGTGGGAATCCAGTAGGCTGGTTGTTAAATGCAGCCATTATTAGCGATTGGGTTAGAGATAGGTCCCGTTAGAGACAAAGGTGGTGAGTACTCAAAACCGTCGCCTGCCTGTGACCTCCACGCTCAAGGTCGTTTGCACCTGCTGTCGCCACATGTGGAAATCGGATGTGCTCTGGTACGTCCGTGCGGCTCTTCCCGAGTCTGCATGCCATGCCAGCACACGGACAGCTGGAGAGGGGCCACAGTGGGAGTCGTGGCACCCTGGAAGTCAGCAGGTGCTACAGATCAGGGCTTTCCTTTTTCTTGTGTTTTTTTGGGTGTTTTCTTTTGTTTGTTTGTCATCCCCCCAAACCCCCCCACGCCCTGCCAGCCCGGAGGACACTGGTTAAGAGTGTGGGTTTAGGAGCTAAGTGGCTTGGGTTCAGTTCTTGACTCAGGGCTGAGACCACTGACACCTGACTTAGGTGCTCAGAGAGTCGCGAATCTTCTCTGTTAAGTGGGAACAGGGACAGCCGCTCCCCATAGGGCGTCGTGAAGGTCAAATGGGATGATGCATGCACATGGCCTAGAACAGTGCCTGGCACACACTCTGTACAAAGTGACTGGGGCCGGTGGCAGTGGTAGTATTGTGTGTCCTTGTTCTTAGTGGATAGGCTTCTCCCTTCTCTCCCTGCTGGAGGGGAAACTGGGACGAGCTGCCGAGATCCTTCCTGCCATGCCTGGCTCTGGAAAGCTAGTCCTGATGCCAACACTTGGGGCTGGAGGCCTGCCTGGAGGAGGAGCAGCACATCCGGGTGGATACCTGGCTCTCCCAGGTGGGAAGATGCCCGCCCTTGCCAGGCACAGCAGTGTGCATCCTTGCTGGAGGACATAAAAGCATAAGCCCAGAGAGTCTTGGGTTCTGCTGGGGAAAGCTGGAAGGAAACAGATCTGACCCATCCAGAAGGCAGGCAGCGGGCCTGGAATCAAGAGGCCCCGGGGTAGCTGCCCCAAGGCGGGGGGACAGAGAGTCTTTAAGGCTGACAGCAGTCAGGGCCAGCCATGATGGTGGCAGTCACCTCCCCGACAAGGGGCTGGCTTGGGTGTCCTGCACAAGGAAGCAAAGGCAGAGCTAAGGGTAACCACCAGCTCTGCTAAGAGAAGGCATGTCGTGGGAATGCTGCGTGGACCCTGGGGTGGAGGCAGACGTGCTGGCAGAGAGGTGGGTGGGCTGAGCTGGCCAGTGAGGGGCCTGGTTTGCAGCCTGTGTCTTGCTGAGCCAAGCTGTGTGCATGGGAACTGGGTCCCCACCACTGACAGCACGGGAGGCTCGAGGCTAGGCACGTTGCTCCCAGCCCCAGCGGACCCCTGGCTGGCTGGATGTGTGTTGGGGGCTCACTGCTGGCCTTGGCCAAGCCTGGGGAAAGCGTGGGGGCTGCCAGCAGGGAGCGAGGACCAAGCTGTGTATCTCCTGAAACCTAAGGAGTGCGTGCTCTGAATACAGTTCTTTATTTCCTTGGGTGTATTTGGACCCTCAGCAGCTGTGCTGGTCAGGCCTGCAGACAAGGGACAGAACCTGCAAAACCGTTCCTAGCCATCTCTGCTCGTAATTCTGAAAAAAACGTTCTTGTATTTCTTTTTCTTGTTTATTATATTTTTTTCACTTAAAATATTAGAAAAGATGGCCACCTCACTGTATGAAATCTGCTAAGACTCCTTAGAAAAACTAGATCGTGGTCATGGTGAACACTCACTGAGCTTTTATCAGAGCGGAAAGCCCACAAGTGCAGATAGCATGTCTGTTTTTCTCCCCACCGTGTTCCTAGTGCAGGGCCTGACACATAGTAGGCACCCAAGAAATGCTTGTTAAAGAATAAAAATGGCCCAGCCTGTGTTCCAGGGATTCCGTGGAGAGGAGCCCAGACGTGTGGCCTCATTCGTTTGGGTCTCAGGACGCCTTAGGTGGAAGATGCTAATGCATTTCCCACTTTCTTTGCAGTCCTGCCTGAAGGCAGGGGAATGGCTGAGATGAGAGGTTGCCCGGTCTCTCATGCTGCCCCCCCCCCCCATTCCCAGGCCGCAGAACTGTTCCTGACGCTGGTGTCCGAGCTCCAGGGCCTCTCCTCAGATGAGCTGATGGCACTCTGGCGACAGTCCTCCTTTAAATGCCGGGACAACTGGTAAGGACATTTCTGCAGGGAGGAGGGGTGGGGACAGGAGCTGGCTGGAGGTCCTGGGGGGCGGGGGTGGGGGCTGGCTGGTCTTGACGCTGTCCCAGGTCCCCACTGAGGGATGGATGGAGATCTCTCCTCTCCTCTCATCCCTGGGATATTGACTTGTCCTTCAGTCTGGGGATGGCTGCCAAGAAGGTGATTAAGCAGGGAGCTTGGAGGTTCCCACGGGCCGAGCCCTCTTGGGACTAAAGCTGAAGGGCCTGGCAGAATAAATACAGGCTTTGTTCTCTCCCCAGACTGGGACCCTCTTGCCGAGAGCGGGAATTAGCATTCCAATGTGCCTTGGGTACCCCTCTGCCCGTGGGTGGGGGTGCCGGCCAGGCTGGGATCCCACCACCTGGATCCTACTAATGTGGGGCCAGCAAGGGGGTGTATAGAGACCCCGGGTGCCAAGGGGGGTCTCCAAGGAGCTCTGTGAGCTCAGGGCTGTGCAGGGGGGAGGGGAAGCATGGGGCTCCTTCCCGAAGTCCAGCTGCTCTCCAGGCCCCTGAGATCCAGACGTCTGGGACTTTCTCAAAGGCTTTCGAAAAGATCTCTAAAAGGTTGTCAGCTCCAAAATATGAAGAGGAAAAAAAAAAACAAAACCCTGCGAAATGAGCATTACCAAATGTCTAACTGAATGACTGCAAAACCGAATGGCTAATGCATAGTCACCTTCTGAAGCCCTCTCTCTGTATTCTCTCGTTTATTTTTATTTTTTTTAAAGATTATTTGAGAGAGAGAGTGTGTGTGGGGGGGAAGTGCAAGCGCAGAAGGGAGAGGGAGAGAGAGGCTCTTAGGCAGGCTTCATGCTGAGCATGGTGCCCAGCGCGGAGCTTGATCTCATGACCCTGAGAGGATGACCTGAGCTGAAATCAAGAGCTGGACACCCCTGTGTTCTCTCATTTAACCCCCACAAGGACCCCCGTGGGGTAGGTGGCTTTATTGTATTTCCTGCTTTACGTTTGTGGAAGAAAGCCAAGGCACAGGGGAGTTAGGAAACTGGCCCAAAGTCACACAGCAGAGTTGGGATTTGAACCCAGGTGGTCTGGGCTTCTTCGTCCAGTACCTCTGGGCTTAAACAGAAGTGATGTTTGACTGAGGAACTGTTTTTAGTTATGTCTGGTGTAGGCAAGGGCCCGGGGTCTTCGGGAGGAGCTGCCTGTTTCCACGGTGACATATACCCTGTTTGCTGTTCTGGATTTTCCTACAAGCCCCTGTCTTCCGTGCCCATGTAGATGTTGGGAGTCAAGGAGGCGAGAGACCCATCCCAAATCGAGGCGTTTTTGACAAGACGGATCCTCTTAAAAATTCTCTCGCTTCTCCGACCGCGTCCACTTCTGGCCAGAGCGTGGTTCCCCGGGGCCCACATCTATAGGGAAAAGAGGAGTTGCAAGGGTGGGAGGTGGGAAGAACAGGTAGGTTGTTACTCAGATGAAGTGACCTCTGTGTTCCCAAGGACTCCTGGGCATGTCGGGGCAGGCTCATGCATCAGCATTCCCATTTTCCAGATGAGCAAACTGAGGCCAGAGACCATTTACAGCAGAGAGGGGGCATGCGGGTCGGGGTGGGGTGTCAGGTCCTCTGCCATCGCGGGTGTCACTCATCAGGGTGGTGGGGGGCCCTGTCCACTCACAGCTGTGCACCCTGCTGGCTCACAGTGCCTCCCATTTCTGGTGTGCCCCGGGGACCCTCCTCCCATTCGGTCACGTCCCTACTCAGAGCCACCACTGCATAAAAGTTAAAAACCTTTTCTGAGCTTTTGAACCTTTCTGCAATCTCAAAAAAGAAAAGAAGAATCCTGATGGTGATCTTGGGCGGAGAACACGAGCGGCAACCTGCTGGCTGTTGGTTCCTGTTGGATGGCAGGGGTACTTGCTCCTTGGTGATCATGGCAGCTTTTTTGCAGAACAGTAGGCAGGACTTGTGTTGCATGAAGCCGCTGTTTCCTGGTGGGGGGCAGACCTGCCAGGGTCTGGACTGGGCTGCTCTTGTTCCCGTGGACCCTAAAAGCCAGGGCCCCAGGCCCACCTTGGCCCCTTCTGAGGTGTGTGATCCTGGACATGTGCCCATCGCACTTCCTGGGGCCTCAAAGTGTTCCCGGGATGACCAGAGTCGGCCTCGACGTGAGGCCTGGAAGGTGCTCCGCAGGTGTGGACCACCTCCGTGACATCCCTCGGTGTCTCTCGATCTCAGGCAGCCGCTGGTGGATGCCCTGCCCTCCTGTGGCACCGAGCCTTGTGTGGGCCTCATGAAGGACCTCATCGTGTCTGGGGAGGTGGAGGTGGACGAGATGGAGGCGTGGCTCTGGTCGCTGGCCCTTGTCCCACAGCCCACGGATGCCATGGTCCACACGCTGCTGGTGAGCCCCTGTTCCCCCACCCGGCCCCCCGTCATCCTTCCCCCACTTGGCTGCTGATTGGACACAGGGGGTGACCTGCTTCTGTCGGGGCCTTGTACCAATCCCTCCTGGTACCCGTGGGGACAGACCAGAGAGATCTTGGGTTTGAGTCTCAATAGTGTCGTCCCCCCCCCAGCTGTGTGATTCTGAGCAAGTGACCTAACCTCTCTGAGCCCGTTTTCTGACCTGGAAGACGGGGGTAGAACAAGTACCTCCCTCGTGGGCTGGTGGTAAGACTCAGGATGATGCGCGTAAATCGATTCTCCTGGAGTCTGAGCACTTAAAATGAGAGCTGCTCTTGTTATTGTAGACAAATATGTCTACTGAGTCTTGAAACCAAGAAGCATGTGTGAAGGTGGACCAAGGGTCTGCAAGAACCCGGAGGTCTTAGTTAACCCTGACGAAGCCTCTGGGAGGTAGGTGCTTTGATGGCGCCCATATGGCAGGAAAGTGAGGCCCCAGGAGGCTGGCACCTTACCTGAGGTGGGGCAGCTGGTCCCCCCTTCTCCACAGGGTGTGTGTCCTCACTTGTCCTGGGGGCACCGTCACTTGTCACCCCTCACCCTGCTAGGCCAGGCTGGTAGTGGGCTAGGATTTAAAGGACACCAGCAGGGAGCAGGGGTGATCCAGATTCGGATCCCAGCTCTCTCCCTTACCATGATGATCTCCAGCCAGGCACTAAACTTTTCTGTGCCTTAGTTTCCCCATCGTGTGGTGGGGGCAACGCGTAGGGAGACGCTGTAGATGAAGTTGTGATGTGTGCCAAGTGTCATGCACGCGGCAGGTGTCAATGCTGTGACCCCTTGTCAGGGATACGCGGTGAGCAGAGCCGGCGGGGTCCCTTGGCTCACAGAGCCCAGGATCTTCGTCACCTGCCTCACCTGTCCTCCAGACCAGGACTGGCACCTCTCTGGACCGGTTTGCTCATTCTCTTGTCCGGTTCACGAGGACACAGGTGTGCCGGGCGCGTGCAGGGCCTGTGCTGGGGCTGCGGGCTTGCCTTTTGCAGCCTGACAGGGGTGGGGAGAGGAAGGGGTGAGGGGCGAGGGAAAAGAGGGAGGGGCGAAGAGAGGGATGAAGGAAGGAGATGGGAGGCAGGCAAGAGTATTTTAATATACTTTTAATTGTGGAGTAATTTTAGGTGTTCAGAAGAGTTGCAAAGCTCGTACAGAGTTCCTGTGTGTCCATGGCTCAGGGTCCCCAGTGTTAACATACGACGTCACCAGGGTGTATTTGTCACATCTGAGAAACTGACATTAGTATGTTGTTATTAACCAAACCCCAGCTGTTCCGTTCCCACCACTTTCCCCACAGTGTCCGCAATCTGTTGCACGGTCCCAACCAGGGTACCCTGTTGCGGGGGGTGGGGGGGCGTGTTTTAAATTACGCATTAAACTACACAATCGGGAGACTGCGCCCAAGTCTTCCGTTTGATGGTTTTACACCCCTGCAACCACTCCTAGAAGAAGACTGGAGGACATTTCCTGCTTCCCCCCCCACTTTTCATGCCCTTCTCCATCCGTGACCCCAAAGGTCATGGGGATGCTGACCTTTTTTGGCCATCGCTCAGTTTTGTCTGCTCTTGACCTTCACACTGTGAACTCACGTGCCCCTGGAGTCGGGCTTCTTTCTCCCGTTTTCTCTGTGATACGTGTCAGTGCTGTGCGTATGTGCATGTGCATGTGCATGTGTGGACTCTGTTCCATTTCTGGGAGGCATTCTACCTCTTTGCCATTTCTTCTCTTAATGGTGTCTCTTGAAGAACTGGAGTTAGAAGTTTCTGGTTTGGGAAATCCAGCCTAGCCGTCTGTCTGAGCTAGCGCTTCACCTCCCCGGTGTGCTGTCACTTCCTGTTATTGTTTTGTTTTGTTTTCTACCAGCTTTGTGGTTTGGCCTTTTGGGGAAGGTTGGTTTGGGGCAGGATGAGTGAGCGTTCAAGTCCAGTGGAAAAGAGAAATCGGTTGTAGGAGGGTCCCAGACTTGGGGATAATTTTATCTTTTCATCTTTAAACATCAAAAAAGTGAGTGAGAACATGTTAAGCAGACCTGTTTTCCCTGAAGCATAACCAAAGCTTTCTTTAAGTGAGAGATTTTTGCTTTAGGAGCTGGTGTTCTGATTCTTGTGAAGTCAAGGAAGGCTGACAGTTTGGGGCAGACCCCCGGGGCAGCCATCCACCCAACAGGGTCATTACTGTCCAGGTTGCTCCAGGAGCCCTGGCCTGAGCCTGGGAGTCCTGGTCCTGCAGCAACCGGTGAGGTAAGCCCCGGGGCTCCGGCCGCCCGGCCTTCCCCACAGCGCTCCACCGCGCCCCTGGCTCCATCCGGATCCCAGGAGGGCCCGAGGCCACCCCGCCTACCGTCCACAGAACTGGAGGAGGCGGGGGCCTCCTCCCACGTGCTTGAGTGGCTTCTCTCCACTTTTCATAACCGCCGCGCTCCCTCCCCTGTATGCAGAAAACCGGGAGGGTTTGTTTTCATTTGCCCAATCTAGAATAACAGTGGATGTGCTTTTCCAAGCCGCACATCCCCTTCCTTTCGCAAAGAAAACACACACACACACACACACACACACACGGAGACTCACATGCCCTGAGGACACTCACCTGAGGCCATACGGAGCCACACACACCCGCACCCTGGGACGTATGGAGACATACACCCAAGACGCGTGCACACATACCTGAACGTGTAGATGTCCGCACCGAGACATACCATATATGTACAACCCCCCCCGCCCCGCCCAGGACACTCACAGGGACAAGTGGGGATATGCACTCACACCTGGATACACACATGCACCCTAGGATGCATTGGGCTGCACACATACACACATTAGGACACGCATGGATACACACAAGGCACACACTGATGTTGGCACGTGCACACACACACACCAGGACACACTCAGGCATGTGCATCCACATGCACTGGGACGTGCACACCAGGATATACGTGTGTGCTGGGATACATGTGCACACACATCTGGGAATACACACGCTCACACATACCACCCAGATGAGTTCACACATGCGAAAGCAAGAGAGACTTAATTCCTAATTCTGTTCCTGCACCGCATCCCTGCCCTTGGGCTTCAGCATGCTGGCTGTGTGCGTGCACCTGCCACGTCACGTGGCCACAGCCCCCGGCTGGGTTCTTCCGGCCCTGCTGCAGTGAGTCAGCCCAGAGCACGTGGTGGGAGCGTTTATACCGCGGAAACTGGCAAATGCTACACGTGAGGACTCGCGTTTTCCCCTGATTGGGTGGGTGGGATGCTTGCTAACCATTTACCCCAACACCTCTGGTCATTCCACTGCGTTCTGCTCAGACGACCTCAGCACCCCCACCTCGCTCTTCCAAACTGGTGAGCGAGCCCAGGAGTTCTCAGCCTCGGCACTGTTGATGGTGGGAGTGGGCACTTCTCCATCGTGGGGGCTGTCCTGTATGGTAGAGGGCCTTCGGCAGCAGCCCTGGTCTTCGCCCGCTGGAGGACTTAAAAGCGTGCGTGTCTAAGCCCAGAGAATCTTGGGTGTTGCTGGGGAAGGGCAGGGTGGGGGGCCCAGGCCTCTGGCTTTTTAGGAATCTGTGTGCAGCCAGGGTGGGGGCCCATCTGTACGTGGCGAGGCCTGTGAAGGACCACTCACCAGCCTTCTCGGCTCGGGTGGGGGCCGGTTTCTGTCCCCAGCCACTCCTGCAGACCTCGGGGGCCAGCCCCAGTGCCTTCCTTGGTATCTCGGCCCTGGTGCACAACCTCTGTGCCTCCCTGGATGGGCCCTGTGGACACCTGCCTGGCGTCAGCTCCCTCGTGAGGATCCTGGGAGAGGCCTTGGGTGCCAACTGCACCTTCCAGGAGCCGTCGGACGCTGAGCAGGTGAGGACAAGCGGCATCCCGGGCGCAGCCCCTTGGTGGGGCCTGAGCCACGCACGGGAGCCCTAGGCTGTGCGGGTGGGTGGGGCGAGCACCCCCACCAGGCCTCAAGGCCCCACCGCCATCTCGTTTCAGCTCCAGCTCGTGCTGAAGGCGATTGGCAACGCAGGCCTGGCGGTCACAGCTCTTACCCCCACACTGAGCACCTGTGCGTCCCAGAGGAGCTGCCCCCCTGAGGTCCGGCTGGGGGCCATCCAGGCCTTCCGGAGGGTCCCCTGCTCTGCAGACGTGAGCTCCTAAGTGTTATCGGCTGGGGTGATGATGGGGCAGCAGTGGGTCTTGAACCACCATTTGTTAATTCCCCTCTGTTTGGTCATTCATTGATCATGTGTTTACTGAGCACCTGCTATGTGCTGGGCCCTGGTCTGAATAAGTGTCCAGGGCTCTGTCCTCGTGGAGCCTGTGCCTGGTGGGAGGCAGATGCTTGTCCAATAAACACACAAATAAGTATGATTATAGGCCATACAGAAGCCATCCTGTGCTGCAAACCCCCTTGTTCAGGGGGCGGCAAGCTCTGGACCACGGGCCCCATCCTCGCTTGCTGCCGGCTCATCTGTGTGTTGTCTCGGGCTGCTGTCTTGCTATTGCTGCAGAGTTGAGCAGTGGCAGGAGAGACCGTGTGGCCCACAAAGCCAGAAAAATTTACCATCTGTCCCTTCGCCAAAAAGTTTGCTGACTCTTGGACCAGTAGCTCCCCTCTCGTTGTGAGTCAAAGCCGAAGTCTTCACAGTGACTGAGCAGGGCCTGTTTTTTCTGACCACGGGCCAGATTGCACCCCGTGGCTTCATCTCCTACATCCCTCACTCCCTACTGCTCCCCAGCCACACCAGTCTGCCTCTTGTTCCTCAAACACTCCAGGCCCACTTCTGCCACAGGCCCTTTGCATGTGCTGTTCTCCCTTCCTGGGATGCTCTTCCCCTGGACATCCCCAGGCTTCGCTTCTTCATTTCCTATAGGTCTTTGTTTAAAACCCACTTTCACTGTGGCGTCCTCCTTGGCTATTTCACCTCAAATTGTTTCCCCACTTAATTTTTTCCTCTTTAGTACTTAGCACCTCATGTGTTCTATATTTCACATCTTCCCCTTGTTTGCTGTCAGTCTTCCTGCACTAGAACATAAGCTTCAGGGGGCTCCCGTCACCTAGCACCTAGCTCCTTGCTGGGCACATAGTACATGCTCAGTAAATATTTCTGTAAGAGTGGATGGGTGGGTGGCTGTGCTATGAAAGAAACCAGGGCACAGGGTGAGGGAGGTGGCTTGCTTCGGGAGGGGCCAGGGTAAGCCAAGCACTTTAGGAAATATCTCCTGTGTGTCAGGCATAGAGCTGTTTTTATAAATTTTTATTGGAATGCAGCCATACCCATCTCTTTACCTTTTGTTACCTGTGGAAATTGGCGAGCCTCTGGACTGGGGCTGAGGGAGGGTTGGCTTAGCGGAGGGGGCCCTACCACCTCCCACAACCGGCCCGAAGGTGAGCGTATCGGGCAGGCCTCCTGCAGTGGAGACTTTGTGACTTTGTGAGAGCTGGGACCAGGCAGCAGGGCCGCCCGCTGGAGCCAGAGCAGCTCGGGGGATGTCGTGCTCCTGGGCAGAGGCGGGTGGTGGTAGATGGGCCCCAGGTGATGGCCTTCGCTCTGCTCAAGCCAGCGATCCGCGCTCTCCCGTCTGTACCAAAACCCTGAGGAGGATGCTGAGATCCGCATCAACGCCTACCTGGCCCTGATGAGATGCCCTGGCGAGGAGGTGTTTGCGCAGGTGCGGTGGACCCAGGCAGCTGAGCGGTCCACCCAGGGTGAGCAGTGGAAGCTGGGGGAGGGGGTCCTGGGGCTGGGCCAGAGTCTCCTGGTGGGTGTAGGGGTTTGGGAGCATGCGCCTCCTCCGCCCCTCGGGTGCTCTCCTAACTGCTTCTTGTTCTCCTTTTCTTGCCACACCACCTGGCCAAGTGGCCTTCTATGCCCCCACCTCACATGTATGGCAGTCAGACAACCTTGGACAAGTTGCTTGTCCTCTCTGGTCCTCCGTTTCCTCATCTCTAAAAAGGGATGGGAGTCACTGGCTTCCCTTGTAGCTCTGGCCAGTTCATGACCTAGTACCTGGAAGGGAGACCTGAGACTGAGGAGGGATGGTATCTGCGAATCTCAGGTCCCTTCTGGGGTCAGAGAGGTTCCTTTAAACAGGGGCCTCTGGCCATAGTTCCTAAACCTGAAAGTGAAACTTCAAAAAATAAGTTCAGCTGATTTTCAGAAATCTTTTCCATGATGGTCAGTGAGTTGAGTGCCTGGAGCCCGACAGCCTGGGTTCAAATCCAAGCTCAGTCACTTCCTACCTGCGTGCCTTTGGACAAGTTACTAAACCTTTCTGAGCCTCTGTTTCTACATCTGTGAAGTGGGGACGATAATACTACCTCCCTCATAGAGGGAGCGTAAACTGAGTCAAAACACAAAGACTTTTAGAACACTTTAAGTGCTGTATGTGTGGCCGTTTGAAGTTTCAAAGCAGACAGTAAAGTAGAAATGGAAAATTAAAGCCTACCTTCTTCTTCCCTTGGCCCTCAAGTCCCATTTCCTGAAGGCATTCACTGTGAACAGTTCTCTTCTATATCCCAACAGAACTTGGAGTGTATGGTCGAGTATGTCCATGTATCTCCTAAACAGTAGCAACTCAGGATCGTGTTATACTTGCTGTTGTGTTCCTTGCTTTTTGCCTTTGGTGTTGCCGGGGGCTCTTTCCACATCAGGGCATGTGGACTCTTATCCCTGCTTCATGATACCCTATTAGGAGCTTGCACCATAATCCATTTTACCAGTCCCCACTGATGGGCATTTTGGTCATTTCTGGGTTTTTGCCAAGAGAAACAACCAGCAAAATGAACCTCTCTGCGCATCCATCTTTGGGACCTTGTGCTAATCCAGCCATAGAATAATTTCCCAGAGGACAGACAGCCAAGTTACAGGATGTACACATTTAAAAGTCTGTGATACTGCTGAATTACCTTCTAAAGAAATGGTACTGCTAGAAGATGCAACTGTTTGTTGGCAGTTTCAGGGATGGGATGAGATATGTGTGGGATGGGGGGAGAGGCCACTGAGCCAAGCCCCATCACCAGGGGATCAGCCAAAGGGCTCTGCCTCGATGGAGGCCCTGGGGAACCAAGCCTGTGTGTTACCCAATGGGAACAAAAGCCAGACTCCACTCTGTTCCTTGGTGGCTTGTTCTAGAAGCTCCCTGGTGGGCTTTCTGAGAGCCTGGCACAACCAAGAGGGTTCAGGGTTCACAGTTAGACTCTAATATCCCTTGCTGGACTCTCCCATTACTGCTCTTATTTGATTTTTACTCCTCCAGAGAGCCTGAGAAGGTCCCCATCACGAATTGCAGGTCATCCCTTTCCCAACCCTGAAAGATACTCAGTTCTTTGGCTTCCTCTTGACTTGACTGCACAAACAGCCCTGGGAGATGGGCTGCTATTTCATTTTACAAATGAGGAAACTAAGCCTCAGGGAGGGAGAGTAACAAGCCTGAGGTCACATAGCTTATGAGTGGTGGAACTGAGATTCAGACTGGGGTCTGACTGTCAAGCCAGAGCTTTTCCCACAATGCCTCCTTTTCCCTTCAGGAAGGCATGTCAGAATGCTGTGCTCGGGCCAGATTTCCAAGTTCCATTAAGGCACTGCTGTTTGCCACTATTTCTGGAAAGAAAACATGGATAACTAAGCTCCTGGGAAGCCCCTGGCATGTGGAAATAGCAGGACTCAGGATAGGGGATCGGGGGGCTCTTTTCTCTGGGCTGTGCCAGCTCCAGGTTCATCCTTCCCCTCCCTCCTCTTCCTTCCCTTCCCTGTTGACCGTGGTGGGACTCCAGTGGGCTCCTTTGTGTGGAGTCACCTGATGCAGCTGCTGGAGACCAGTGACCCCCTGAAGCGAGCTCTCCAGGAGGCCCTCCCTGAGGACATCCTGAGTCGGAAGTTCCAGCCGGAGGCCTGGAAACACTCGTCCTATTCTGATGTCACGTTCCGCTCAGGTATGACCATCCTGGGCAGCCACTCTCCTGCTCTGGGGCCACAAAGCCCTGGGGACCTGGGAACTCTAACCCTCGAGGACATGTGGATCAAAGACTCTCTTTCCCAAATGTCATCTCTTTATATGTAAATTGGCATTGATTCTGTTGCCTGCCTATGAATTGGAGAACTTCTTCCCCTGTGTTACAAGGAGATTAGCACCAAGCTGAGGCTGTTCTCTTCCTTATCACAGTGAAACAGAGCACTGAGAAGCACCCTGTTCTAGCTTAGGCACCTAAACTACCTCAGCAGCTCCGGGGGTCTGGGGGCCGAGAGGGGGTGCTCTGGCTGCCCCCTCTCTGCGTGTCAGCAGGTGTGGGTATATTTGTGACCCTTCTGGCCTTTCCTATGCCCTTGGTGAGGCTTAAGGCTGAGGCACGTGTCCTGTTGGAGAGCACGCACCACATCTTGCGCTGTCTCAGACTATGGCACCTCAGTTGGCCAGACCCTGCTCTGTGAGGCGTGGGGAGTGTACTGATCCTCTCTCTCTCCTCCTAGTGTCTGGCAGCCTGGGAGCCAACCTGGAGGGGACCCTTCTCTTTTCTCCAGCCTCCTTTCTCCCCCGTTCTGCCACGACTAACCTGACCATCCACGCCCTAGGTCATGCCTTCAACCTCCTGGAGGTAAGGGGAGGGGGCTGCTGTAGTCTCTTGGAGCCTCTTCTAGACTCGGGGCCAGGAATGATCCCATCCACCCATCTTTGCGTGTATCACCTCTTGTCTGTGTTGATCCACTCCTCCATCTTGTACCCCCAGCTCCTTCCATCCATCTACCCACACAGACATCCATCCATCTCTTTTATCTTATTCATCTCTGTAACTTCCCACTCATCTCTCCAACCTACCCATCCGTTCACCTAGTCTCTCCGTCAGCCAGCCACCCACCCAGCCATACAGCTACATATCCCTCTACCTTCACGCATCATCCATCCCTCCCTCTCACCCATCCATTTATGTAGCCTCCCACCCGTTTCTCCATCAGCCTCTCACCCCTACATCTATTCCTCTGTTCTTCTAGTCATCCACACACAATGCTATGTACCCGCCCACTCACGCATCTATCCGCATATCCACCTCATATACATCTATACAGCTGTCAGTCCATCCATCCCCACTTCCTTCCTTCCTTCCTTCCTTCCTTCCTTCCTTCCTTCCTTCCATCCATCCATCCATCCACCCACCCACCCACCCACCCATCCATATATCCACATTTATCTACCCACCCACCCGTCATCCATTGCACAAATATCTGTTTCTAACCTGACATGTGCCACGTGCTGTGCTGGGCTCTGAGAATATGACAATCAACCAGAGAGACGTGATCTCTGCTCAGAGAGGTAGACAGATAAAAAATTAGTAAACCCATGGATAAAATAATGGCAACTTTAAGTATTGTGTTCAGGAAGGTGACGTTTGAGCTGCGACCTGAAGGAGCATGAGCAGCCTGGTGAAGAGCTGGGGTCAGAGCCTTCCAGGCAGGGGCACAAGAATGTGCAAAGGTCCTGAGACAAGAAAGGACTTGATGTGTCAAAAGAGCAGAAGTAAACCAGGGAGTGAGAAGTAAGATGGGAGGGCAGAGAGAAGCAGGGGCACATCATGGAAGGGTTTTGAGCTGGAGAGTGATGTGACAGGATTTGAACATTCTGACTGTTGTGTGGAGAATGGATTGCGGGGTGCAGCAACAGAAGAGGGAATATCTGTGAGGTCCTATGTCCAGCAAACTTAACAGTAGTGGGTTACCTTGGCGCCCTTCCATCTCCTTCCCCCAGGCCCCCGTGGCTTGTCCAAGAGAGGGTGCTCTGTGCCCTGTTCCGAGCCCTTCTAATTTATGGAGAACAGGGAGCTTATCCAAACATTGCCATCTGGGTGCCTGGTGGTTTCTGTACAAATGCTCTTGGAGATATCTGGGAGGAATGATGGAAAGCACAGTAGATGGAAAGAAGGGAAGGTGGCTGGAAGGATAAAAGGGATGGATGGACGGATGGACGGATGGATGGATGGACGGACGGACGGATGGATGGATGGATCGGCAGAGAGATGGATGGATGGACGGATGGATGGATGGATGGACGGACGGATAGATGGATGGATGGAGGGATGGATGGATGGGAAGGATCAAAGAGTGACTGAAAAGATGCCTGGATGGATGGGCAGATGGAAGGAAGGAGGGACAGAAAGGACTCATTCATTCATCCAGTTGAGAACCAACCAGGCCAGGTGTATTATTCAGGGTTCCCCAGAGAAAGAGAACCAGTAACATGTATTATATCTAGAAAGAGATTTATTGTAAGGAATTGGCTCACACGATTATGGAGACTGACAGGTTCCAAGATCTGTGGTCAGCAAGCTGGAGACCAGGAAAGCTGATGGTATAGTGTTAGTCTGAGTCTGAAGGCCTGAGAGCCGATTGTATAGTTTCAGTCTGAGGTCTGAGACCTGGAAAGAGCTGACATTTCAGTTTAGGCTGAAGGCAGGAAAAAAGGTGATGTCCCAGCTCAGAGACAGTCAGGAGGAATTACCCTGTGGTCGGGGAAGAGTCTGCCTTTTGTTTGATCCATGCCTTCGACTGATTGGGTGTGGCCCACCTACATTGTGGAGGGCACTCTGCTTGACTCAGTTTATTGATTTAAATGTTAGGGGCGCCTGGGTGGCTCAGACGGTTAAGTGTCTGCCTTCAGCTCAGGTCGCGATCCTGGGGTCTTGGGATGGAGCCCCACGTTGGGCTCCCTGCTGAGCAGGGAGCCAGCTTCGCCCTCTCCCTCTGCCTGCCACTCCCCCTGCTTGTACTCTCTCTCTCTGTCTAATTAAAAAAAAAAACCTTGAATGTTAAATTCAGGGGTGTCAGGGTGGCTCAGTCAGTTAAGCATCAAACTCTTGGTTTTGGCTCAGGTCGTGAACTCACAGTTGTGGGATTGAGCCCTGCATCAGGCTCTGTGCTCAACACGGAGTCTGCTTAAGATTCTCTCTCCCTTTCCCCCCACCCTTCCCCTGCGCTCGCTCTCTCTTTCTAAAATAAATAAATCTAAAAAAAAAATGTTAAATTCATCCAGAAACACGCACAGAAACACCCACAAATATGTGTGATGAAATATCTCAGCACCCCTCAGCCCAGTCAAATCAACACAAAATGACCCATCAACCAGGCCTTCCGCATGCCTAGTGAGTGAAACATGGGTCCCTGCTCTCGGGGAGCTCAGGATCTTGCAAGGGAGACACACAGATTATAGCATCTGAGTGTGACCTAGAAGTTTTGTGCTGGACTCTCAGAGGAAGGAGTGATAGATTTGGCCTGGGGGTGGGGAATGTGGGAAGGGAGTGATGTGGGAATTCAGGGAAGACTTCCCAGAGGTGGTGACATGTGAACCAGGCCCTAAAGAATCAGTAAGGATTTTTGCTGTGCAACATTTGCCCAGCAAATGTGGAACTTGATGATTTGAAAAGGTGGTGCCCTTTTGTTTGGGCTTAGGTGGACCCTGGGGAGCCCAGAGTACCGTGCCCAAGCCTGCTACCCCCTCCCCCCACTTTGAGTCCCCAGCTCTGCAGCTTTGGATCACCCATGGGAACGAGCTGCTCCTCAGTGAGCCCTGGCTTTTCTTCCCAGCTTGGCCTCCGGCTGGAAAATGCAGAGAAAATCGTCCACAGGCTCTTTGGCGGGAAGTCATTCTGGGGGCAGGAAGAGGAGAGAGAGGCCCAGCCAGAGAAATCCCCAGAGCCAGAACCACCCACACCACAGGCAGCCAATCCTGACTGTCCAGCAGAAAGGTCCGGAAAGATGAGAGACCTGCAGCAGAAGGTGAGAGGGGGGATACCTGCACCCACCCTGCTCCCACCCCTCACCAGCCTGAGCTTTTGGCCTGAGGACTCAGGCATCGATCAACTCTGACCCTGCCCGCCCTCCCTCCCCCCAGCGCTCACAGAAACAAGTAGCTGGTCCAGAGCTGAGTAGTTACCTGCCTTATGGTGAGAACGTATTGATCAAAGCATCACAGATAATTAGAAAAGCGTCCAAGTGCTAAGTGCATTTCCACCAACAGAACGCCTCCTTATAATCAATGCCCAGACCGCTACCAGCGCCCCAGAGGCCCCCTGCCCCTCCCTCTTCTGGTCTACCCACGCCAACCAAGGATGATCACTAATCTGCCTCCTCTCTGCACGGATTAGTTCTACTTTGTAAAAATCAGCTTCGTAGAGGTATGGTCTACTTTTAATAAGCAGTGTGTGTTTAAAGTATACAGTTTGATAAGTTTGGACATATGCACGCACATTTATAATGATGAGCAACCACCACTTCTAGCTAATTCTAGAACATTCTCAACACCCCAAAGGAGACCCCATCCCCATTAACAGTGAGTCCCCATCCTGTCCTCCTCCAGCCCCTGGCAGCCACTAATCTGCTTTGGGTCTCTATGGATTGACCTGTCATTTCCTATAAGTGGAATCAGACAACACGTGACCTGTTGTGTCCGGCGTCTCGCACTGAGCATGATGTTTTGAGACTCCTCCGTGTAGCACGGATCGGTCCTCCATCCCTCTTGAGGACTGACTAACATTCCATGGTATGGACAGACTCCATTGCCTTTATCCACTCACCTGCTGATGGACATTCGGGTTGTTTCCACCTTTTGGCGACTGGGAATGATGCTACTCGTGTCATTTTGTGCGTGCGTGTCTGGCTTCTTTGGCTTAAATTTTGTTGGTGAGATCCATCTATGTGGCTGTCCATATTCCTGCTTTGTTCATGCTCCCTGCTATGCAGCGTTCCATGGTATGACCATACCAGAATTTCTTTACCCATCCTACTTTTGGTGGACTTTTGGATAATTTCCAGTATCTGGCTTATTACAGGTAGTCCTATGAATATTCTTGCACATGTCTTTGGATGAAGGCATGCACGTGTTTCGGCTGGGCATATGCTCGGGAATGGAGTTAGTGGGTCGTGGGGTCCTTGAATATCCATTTTGTGGGTGGGGAGTTCTATCGTACGTGATTATTCTCCCACTGATGGACGTTTAGGTTGTTGGCACCCTTTTACTCTTGTAAGAAGTCATTGCTATGTACATCTGAGGGGGATCGAGGACAGTGGCGGGGCATTTGCTGACGTGTTCACACCTTTACCAATCATCAGGTGTGAACCCATAGGGCCCAAGGACACAAAGATGGTCAGGACACAGTCTGTGCCCTTAGAGCCTCTTGGGCTAGAGCTGGGGCTGGCAAGCAACGAGAATGAGGTGGTGGGCAGGGTCTGAAGACTTTTCTTTAGAATCTGCACCCTTTTTGTCTGTTACTTTCACACCTGGAATGGAGAGTCCTATCCCAAGATATATTTAGCACAAACACAGTGATAGTGGTAACGGTGCTTGGCCTCAGTGTTGGAGGGGCGATAGGGAGCTGTGGGGCCTGTGGCCAGTGGGAAATGCATGTGGCAGCCACCATCCAGCTCTGGTTTCTTATTGCCCCTTGTGGTGGTGGTAGGGGAGGCACGCCAGTACTTCTCTTTTTCGAGAAGCAAAACTGGATTTTATACGTAGTCACCTAAGTTTTAAACATTGGAAACGAATTCAAATTTTATTTTATATATATATTTTTAAAGATTTATTTTTATTGGACAGCGAGAGACACAGCGAGAGAGGGAACACAAGCGGGGGGAGCTCGATCCCAGGACCCTGGGACCATGACCCGAGCAGAAGGCAGACGCTTAATGAACTGAGCCACCCAGGTGCCCAGAAATTCAAATTTTAAAAAATATGCACTGTGAGGGACTCCTGGGTGGCTCAGTCGGTGGAGTCATCTGCCTTCGGCTTGGCTTCTGATCTTGGGGTCCTGGGGTCGAGCCCTGTGTTGGGCTCCCCATTCAGTGGGGAGTCTGCCTCTCCCTCTACCCTTCCCCACTGCTCGTGCTCTCTCTGTCTCTCCAATAAATAAACAAAATCTTTAAAAATACGCACTGTGAAAAATATGAAGAAGGACAAATGGTCACAGACCAGAAGAGACAGGAGAGACAGGACACGTTAATGCAGTGTGGTCCCTGGATTGGATCCTGGAACAGAGGGAGAATTGGAATGGGAAAACGTGAAATCTGAATGTCTGGAATTTTGTTAATAGTACGTGTCCTTGCTGGCTTCTTTGCTTTCCCTGCGCCCTGGCCAGGAAAGACGCTGCCGAAAGAGACAGAGCGAGGGGCGTATGGGAGCTCTCTGTACCATCTTTGCAACTTTTCTGTAAATCTAAGATTATTCCCAAAAAAGATGATGAGAACACGCACACCCATACACACTGCCCTGGGCATTTGGGCAGTACCATGCAGACCAAAGAAAACACATCCGTGGATTCCGCCTGAGAGCCATGAGTTTTGCAAGCCATGTTCCGGACACCAAAAGCCCTTGACCTTGCCTTTCTGCTCCCCTGGGCCCCCACCTGTGTCCAGGCACCAGACCTGCTCCTGGTCACCGGTCTGGGCTCTCCCTCAGGTGGCCCGGAGGCGCGCAGAGCGGCGGGCCCTGCGGTGTGAGCTGAGCGCGAAGGTGTTTGGGCACGAGCTGAGCTTCGTGAACTGTGGGGTCGTGGGGAGCCACGTGACACGCCAGTCCTTGAACCTGGCCGAGCTGTCAGTCAAGCTCCTGAAGGTACCTCAGGCTGGGCTCGGCCCCTCCCCGCCCTGCTGGCCCCGTTTTTTCCTTTGATGTTTTGGGGGGAAAGTACTAAGGAACGTTTCAGACTTAAGACCATGGTATTTTGAGCCAGGCTGCCCAAGTTCAACCCGCGGCTCCACTTCTTACCTCCTTGGGAGCATTAACTTGTCATGGCCTCTGTTTGTGCATCTGTGAAATGGGCATGCTAGCATAACAATAATGGTAGCAATCAAAGCAGCTACTTCATGGGGCTGTTGTGTTAAATGAGCTATGCAGTAAAAATGCAACAAAGCCTTTAAAATGCACCTGGCACGTACTCAGTGCTCTGCATCGTGCGCAAGGCCCACATTCCTCCTTACCTGACTCACCTTGGGTCCCTGACCTCTGACCCTTTTCCGCAGTAAACTGCCTGGGTTTAACTCCACTCTACCTGTTTCTACCTACGTAGGTTTGGCCAAGTGATGTCCTCTGTTTGTGGGCTCTGTTTTCTTGTCTGGAAACAGGGCATAATGATGCTTTTCCTTCCTCTCCCACCACCCCGGTGTGAAGATCAGATAAGGTTGTGTGTGCTCAGTGTGCGCCTAGCCCACGCCAGGGGCTGTCATCTGCGTCATGACAGTTCTCTGGCCGCAGGGGCAGGAGGTACAGGTGACCCGGAGGCTGAACCTGGCGGTGCAAGAGCTCACCTTTCCCACCATATCCGGCCTTCCAGCCCGGCTGACCCTCAATGTCTCGGCCGCCATCAGCGTCCGAGTCCGAGGGACTGCCGACTTCCAGCAGCATCTGGATTTCTCTGTGCATGGCTACATCAAGCCCAGGTAGCTGGCTGGCTTCTCGGAGCTGGAGGAGGGAGGTGGGTGGGCGGGGGCCTCCCCCTACAGAGGGCCGCAGGGAGCTGGGCCATGGGCATGAGCTGGAGGGGATTCCTGCTCTGCCGACCATCCATGGTACCATGGTACCATCCATCCTTTGTTTTTTGTGCCAAGAGACTGTGAGGAAATGCTGGGCAGCTGTGCCCACTTGACAGGTGAGAAGACTGAGGCTCAGTGAGGTGACATCATGTGCCCAAGAGGCACAGCAGTGCCAGGCAGCCGGGACTCTAGTGTCCTGCCGCGAGCCTCGCTTCCCTCTGTTCCACTCGGCCTCCGGGGGAGGGGAGGACGGAAGGAGGGAGGACCATTTAAGATGAACGGGCTGTGACTCCTTCAAACACACAGAACTACCGATGAGGCAGACACTCCTCGTATTCCCACTGATGGTTGAGAAAACAGGCTCCAGGCAGGTGCACTGCGGGTCCAGGCCACCCAGCGAGGGCAGAGTGGGTTCAGGGCTCCGTCTGATTCTGGAGCGGGTCTGGGGCCTGCTGGGCGACTGTCCCCCACTCAGTTGGCCAGGCTGTAGTTTCTGGGTTCGATGTGGGGAGCGTGGGCATCCTGTGCTGGCTGCTCTTTGGCGCGAAGACCCCGGCTGGGGCTCAGGCAGCCCCCGGTCCCAGCCCTGCTGCGCCCATCCCAGCCAGGGGACCTGGGCAGGTGGTTTCGCCGCTCCCAGCCTGTGTCTGTGTCTGTGAAGTTCAGGCCAATGATGACGAGGTCCGAATGGACCAGATGGCGTGGCTGGTGCACTGGAGGGCGTGGTCCGCGGTGACTCAGGACTGGCCCAGGCCTGCGGAGAACAGCCGGGAGCGGCCGGGGCAGTGAGCACAGGGGTGTCGTGTGTGCAGCCGCCCGGGGCCTGCAGGCTGCAGCCAGCGCGTGGCTCTCCCCTCAGTGCCCTGCTCCAGATCTCGGCACAGATGGGCACGATGGGCGCCCTGGGGCAGGCCGGGCTGAGGTGGGTGACCGGCGTCCGTGGCACCGCCAGCCTGGATGGTGGGATCCACGCGAGGAAGGGCCGGGACCTCAAGGTGCATCTCAACACTCCCGAGGAGGCCGTGGAGCTGCTCAGCTTCAGGTGGGCATCCTGCACACGTGAGAGGGAGCCGGTGCGTGCGTGCGTGTGCAAGCGAGGGCAAGGGTGGATGCGGGCGTGGGTGTGGCCCGAGGGCTTGTGCACGTGTGTCTGTGAGTGTGTATATCTGTGAGCACGTGTGCATGATCACCCATGTGTGAGCGTGAGCTTGTGTATGAGTGTACGTGACCATGTGTGTCTGTGGGGGTATGAGTGTGTTGCACACGCCTGTGTGCGCGTGAGGGTGTATCTGTGAGTCTGTATGTGATTATGTGTGTCTGTGGGCATGTTCATGAGAGTGGAGTGTGCCTGTCCGATCATGTGTGTGTGAGTGTGTGCCCGTGTCAGTGAATAGGGTGTATCTGTGCATATAAGTGTGTGTTTGTGTGTCAGTGGGGGAGTGTCTGTGACGGGGACTATGGGGTGGCTGAGAGGTGGAGGGGGGACCTCCCATATTCCTCAGCTCTTTACAGGGGTCCCTCTTGGTTGTTCCCAGCCTCCCAGAGAGGTGAGGGTTGGAGAATGAGTTATTTCAGATGAAATAGGAGTGAAGCCAGGCTGCCCTCAGTCACACCTGCTTTGTCTCTGTTGTCCCACGCTAGCCAGGGGCACTCTGTCCTCTTGCTGTCCTCTAGGACCTTCTCCCAGCAGCAGCCCATGGAGTCCTTTAAAATATCAAGTCATGGGGCGTCTGGGTGGCCCAGTCGTTAAGCGTCTGCCTTCGGCTCAGGTCATGATCCCAGGATCCTGGGATCGAGCCCCGCATCGGGCTCCCTGCTCAGCGGGGGGCCTGCTTCTCCCTCTCCCACTCCCCCTGCTTGTGTTCCTTCTCTCATTGTGTCTCTCTCTGTCAAATAAATAAATAAAATCTTTAAAAAAATATCAAGTCATGTCACTCCCTGCCTCTACCACCTCTTTAAAACCCTCTACTTGTTTCTAGGATAACCCAGGTCTTCGTGATTGTCCTTCCTCATAGGGGTCCTGCCTACCTCTCACCTGTTTCCTTCCACTACCTCCTGCCCTTCACTCACTCCCTCTCCCTCCACCCTAACCCCATTGAACCACCCTTCTTTTTGTTCTCCTAAAGAGGCCACTTTATTCCCACCACAGGACCTTTGCACCTGCTGTTCCCTCTGTCTAGAATGCTGGTTCCTTCTTATCCTTTGAGTCTCTGCTCATGTGTTACCCTCTGCAGAGACCCCCCCCCACCAGCTAGAGGAGGACTTGCCCTGTCCCCAAGACAGACCCTATGCGAACCCCATTCAGGTTTGTCGTGGCACTTGTCACCAAGTGCTGTGGGTGAATTCCCCAAAGGCCCATCCTTTTCATGGTGGAATTCACCCCAGCTCCAAACTGTGGCAGCTCAAGCCATATTTGTCCAATGAATCAATGAAAATGACTTGTCTGGGACATTCCTATTTCCCCACCCAGCTCTAAGCTGTATCTCGTCACTGGGGATGATGTGAGGAGCTTCAGGAATGTCCACCACCCTTCTGAGGCCCAATCCTGTACTGACAAGAAAGGTAGGCTGTGGGGTCTTTGTCTTTGCTGTCCCAGGTTGGGCGTCTGGGAGCCGAGGGGAGCAGTGCCAGCTCCAGATGCTGGGGTTGCTCTTCTGCCCTAAAAGTATTTATATCCCTTAATTCTTTGATTCTGCTTCTAGCACTCTACCCTATGAAAATAAACCAAAATCCTTTTAAAATGCACTATGCACAAAGATGTTCACTGCATCGTTATTTACAAGGGCACAGTCCTAAGTGAATGGCTCATTACATGAGCTTGCAACAGGTTGTTACATTTGCAGATGGTTGGAAAGTCATCAAAGAATATTTCATATGTGAAAAATTTGTGAAATTGATGTTACAGTGGCCAGAAATAAAGTTTTATTGGCACATGGCCACGCCCATTTGTTTACCTAACATCTTTGCCCGCGCTCGTCAGTCAGCAGCAGAGCTGAGTGGTTACAACGGATCCTGTGATTAGGGAAGCCTCAGATTATCTACTGTCTGGCCACGGATAGAAAAAAATTCTCCAGCTTCTAGTTTAGGGAACCCCCTGAGATATCCTGTAACTTTAAAACCCCATAATGAAGGAGATATTTTGATCACACTAGAAAATTCTTTGATGGTAACATCGGGGGAAAGGCAACAAAATTGACACGAGATTGGGAAGGAAATACACCAAACCGTGGTGGATCTTGCGGGTCATTGTTTTTGAGTAAGGTCGGGGAGGGGCCGCTCTCAATGAATGGACTCCTTTAGGCGGGGCACTGTCCTAAACACATCGGGCGTGTCAGTCCTCGCAGCTACACCATGAGGCAGGAACTGTTACCTGTCCCAGTTTACAGATGAGCAGCACTGAGGCACAGAGATGTTAAGCAATCTGCCCAAGGTCACACAGCTGGCAAATGGCAGAGCTGGAATTTGGATCCAAGTGGTCTTACTCTGGAGCCTGCCTTGTATACACTCATGCTCTTAAAGTCCACACCAGTGGTCCTCAAGCGCGGGTGGTTTTTACCTACCCCACCCCCCCAGGGGCCATTTGGCCATGTGTGGAGACATTTGGGTTCTCCTGACTGTTGTTGGGGTGGCTACTGACCTGCAGTGAGTGGAGAAGAGTGGCTCACCATCCTATAGGACGGCTCCCACCGCAAAGCCTTATTCAGCCCAGAATGTCAGTGGTTGAGGGACTCTGGTCCACACTCTTCCGGCCTGGAATTCTCTGGCTCTCTGCTGACCAGAGCTGCCTGCCCCGCTTTCTCCACAGTGTCCCACACCTGGGGCTGGCGGCTATGTACAGAAGTCACCTGGCCGGCAGCTGGTCAGCCCTACCTGCTCTCAGTGCCTGTGTTCCTGGCTGTGACATTGACGAAGCAGGACCGGGGCCTCCGACAGTATCTGCTGGAAGCTGCCTATACCTTCCATTCCTGGGTAGGCCCTGTGGGACGGCCCCTTCTTTCCCAGCCTGGGTCTCCCTAGGTCTTCTACTCCGGCATCAGCCTCATACGGACGTGGGGCTCCTCTCTGGAGCTCTTGGGCTGGGTGGGTCCTGCTGTGGTCTCCTTCCTGCCTCAGGACCCTTGCACATGCACATCCTCTGGCTCTGGCTCTGTGACTTCTTAACTCTGAATCAGTCTTCAAATCTCAGTTCAGGGGTCTGCTGCTCAGGGAAGCCTGCCTTGATTATCCCAAAGTGGTCATGTTCTTTTGTTCCTTGCTCTAATAGGACCATGTTTTTTCCCTTTAGATCACTTTCATGTGTTTTTGTTTTGTTTTGTTTTGTTTTAGAGCAGGAGAGAGAGAAGGGGTGGGGGCAGAGGGAGAGAATCTTAACCAGGCTTCATGCCCAGCATGGAGCCCGATGCAGGGCTCAATCTCACAACCTTGAGATCCTGACCTGAGCTGAAATTAAGAGTCAGACGCTTAACCGACTGAACCACCCAGGAGCCCTGATCACTCTTACGTTTGTTACTTAAAGCTGCTTGACTACTATCAGTCTTCCCTCCTGGTCACTCAAATTCCCAGGAAGAGCTTTAGCCCCTGTGTTTCTCACTCCTGTGTCCTCAGCATCTGGCCCAGAACGGGCATTCGACACCCTCCTATCTGATCTCCCAGTTTCTGCTCCTCTCCTTGCCATCTGTTGTCCCCCAGCAGCCAGACAGGTCTTCCTAAATCCTAAAAGGATTTTGTCCCTCCTCTGCTCAGAGTTCTCCGGTGGCTTCTATCACTCTGAGTAGGAGCCGGACACCCTGACCTGCTGGGCTGTCCTCCCCATCTCCTGATTCTTTATGAGGCTTACTGCTCTCCACACACTGATGTCTTTTTTTTTTTTTTTAATGCCAAGCACATTGCTGCCCCAGGACCTTTGCACTGGCTGTTTCCTCTGCCTGGAACACTTTCTTAGACACACCCTTGGCTCTCTCTCGCCTCCTTCGCTTTCTGAAATACCATCTTCTCAGAGGCAGCCTTCCGTGACTACCCTCTCTGACCCCTTACTCTCACTGAGTTTATTAGCAGAGTGCCCATCCCCAGGTGCTGTGCTATCTACAGTTGTGTCTGGTGGTCCTGTGCTTCCCCTCTAGAATGTAGGTGCCATGAGGGTTCACATATTTGTGCATCTAATGCTCAGTCACACTCCCTGTGCCCACAGCTAGCCTCGCACAGAGTAGTAAACCTTTCCTGGTGGTGTAAGAATGCTCATCAATGCAGGGTCTTAAAGGTGGCTTGTGTCTTACACTGTGTTTTCCTTGAAGCGGACCTGAGGTAAGGATTTGGGTAAAAGTGATTGGTTAAGGAAAGTCTCCAGGAGGACCCAGTATAAGAGGGTGGAGAAGTTAGGATAAGGAAGGGGAAGAACTGAGTTGGGGGGGGTGATGTGAAGTGGCAACCTCTGCCTGATCCCGGGGAGGGTGGTGGCCCTGGAGCATGGGTTACGTCTCAGAGTGTGGTCCCCTTGAGGCTGAGGAGCTGGGCTAGCTTTTACTCTTGTGAAACACAGAGGAGGGCAATGTTCTGGAAGCCCAGGTGCCACCAGCAAAGCGTGCAAAGGCTGATACATAGGCACGCAGAGCTGACTAAGGGATCCGAGGGGGTCTCTGCAGGGTGCCCGTGATGCATGCCATGCCTTGCGTCTCCCCAGGCTATTTGCCGGACAAAATGAGACCCTGTAGATGTGGTCCTGAGTTGTCCTGCAGGGCTTTGCTCTTCTCCAGGTACTGCCTGAGATCTCCAAACTCCCGGTTTGGTTCTTGTTTTGTGAGGCCAAGGAGGAGCCGAAGACCTCATGCTTTTGAATGGTGGGGCTGAGGGTCTTCTCCTGGGAAGAGGGAGAACCTTTGGAGCTGGATGAGGTTCTCAAGACTGAGAAGTCTGCTCTGTTTTCAGAAGGACAGCTGGCTCCCTCAGGAAGCTTCGGTTCACCTCTTCATGGGCACCCCCAAGTCAGAGGTGCCCAGGGATGTCGGGGTGGATGTCAGGTACAGCTTGCCCCAGGGGAAGTTCCGGCTCAAGCTTCTGCATCCCAGGAAGAAAATGCAGCTGGATGGTAACGCATGTTCCCTTCACGGTCGCTGGGGCTCAGAGATAAGAAACCTGGTGGGAGGTCGTCCCCTGGGGAAGATAGGGGCAGAGGTTAAACCCTGGTCCTTAACTCTTGTTTTGTTCCCCAGGAAAGATGGAGACTCTACAGAGTGCCCGGGTGGGTCACCTGGAGCTGATACTGGATGACAGGGACGTCTACTACATTAAGGTTTGTTGCACATCCTCAGGCCTCTTGTGTTGGCACCTGCCACCTTCCAGCCTCTTCTGGCCTCCGTCCCACGTTCCCTGCTTAAAATAGTCAACATCACCATGGGTGTGTTAGTGGTTCTTACCCTTCCTCCTACTGTGACATTTGTGACCTCTTGGTGCTCAGAAACGTATAAAGAAGGAAAACGTGGGCTTGAACCTCACTACCATTTAGGTGAAAAATTGACGATATTAGTAATACAGGAGCATGCAGTGGAAACGGGCAAGTTAAAGCACGGTACTCCCCGATTTTCCAAAAGAAATGGCTGTGTATGTCCCACGCAATCTGTGTTAGTGCCTCGGGGCTGCTCTAACAGAGTACCCCAAATTGGGTGGCTGAAACACCAGAAATTTCTCTTGCACAGCCCTGGAGGCCAGAAGTCCCAAATCAAGGTGTTGGCAGGGGTGGTTCCTTGGGAGGCAGGGAGGGAGACACTGTTGTGTGCCTCGGGCGTTCCTTGGCCTCTAGCATCTTTTCCCTATGTCTTCACATTGTCTTCCTCTTTCTGGGTCCAAATTGCCTGTTTCTTTAAGGACACCAGTCATACTGGACCAGGACCTACCCTCACGACCTTGTCTTTTTTTTATTTTTAGATTTTTTATTTATTTATTTGACAGAGAGAGCGAGCGAGAGCGGGAACACAAGCAGGGGGAGAGGGAGAGGGAGAAGCAGGCTTCCCGCCGAGCAGGGAGCCCGACGCGGGGCTCGATCCCAGGACCCTGGGATCATGACCTGAGCCGAAGGCAGACGCTTTACGACTGAGCCACCCAGGTGCCCCCACAACCTTGTCTTAACTTGATCATTTGCAAAGACCCTATTTCCAAATAAGGTCCCATTCATAGATACTAGGGGTTAGGTCTCCAACATCTTTTGAGGGGACATGATTCAACCCATAATACTATAGATTTGACATACTTTTTACTTTTGAGTTTTGTTTTTTGTGTGTATTTGTTTTACACGAAAAGATCACAACCTTTTCTGTGTTGGCACTTTTTCCCCTACTTGAAAATCTACCCTGACAAACTTTTTGTGACAGCACAAATTGCGAATACCATTTAAATTTTATTGCGTTAAAAAAAAAAGTGATACGTTTAAATAATTCAAAGTTCAAAGGATATGAGAAGGTATAGAACTGAGTGTCCCACCCGAATGGTAGTGCACGTGGCTATTTAAATAAATAAGGATTAAAGAGAAACACGCCGTTCCCCAGTGGCACTAACCACTTGCCAAGAACGTTTCCATCCTTGCAGAAAGTTCTGTTGGTCAGCACGGGTCTAGAATTGAAAACTCTCCCCAGAGCCAACCACTGTTAGGTTTTAGTGTGTGTGACTCTTCTCAGAGACACATTCTTAGCAGTGGAATTCCCAGAGCAAAGGGCACATGCATTTTTCTCTTAGAAGATACTTTTGAAGGTTCTTCACCAGGGGTCCCTGGATGGGACTCAGCGGGGCTGTTGAGGTCCCTGCAATCGTGCGCAAGTTTTGCATCTGTCTGTCCGCCCTGCTGGAGAGAGGCTTCAGACTTCCCATCTGATGCTCAACCTGGTCTGGATGAAAATGGCAGTTTTAGCCTTGCTCCCGCCAAGCAGGACATCCGGGCACCGGTGGCGTTGGGTCCGGCCTGTCCACCTGGGTCTCCAGGGGCTTCTCAGGTCTGCCTTTGAGACTCCACAGCCGGGGCTGGGATTCTGCTGCACAAGCACACTCTCCACTCCCAGATCCGCTTCCTTCCCCCCGGGTGGGGAGAACACCAAGTGTCTGGGGAGAGCGCCTTCCTCCTAAAGCCCCAGCTTCTTGACTCCTGAGGCTACAGATCATTGCCAAACTCCCAGGAGCCCGCCAGCCTCCTCTGGTTGTTTGCTAAATGCCCAAGTGCTAATTGCTTCCATTTTCCTGCAGACCTTCCCCCCCGCTCTCCAGAGGGCTGTCTGCAGCCTGCAAACATTTGCTTTTAGACACCCTCCAGTTTCAGCTGCCTCGGATGCATAACAGCAGGGTTCTGGAAATTTCCAAAGCCTATTCTCAGGGGGCCATGGACAGCCTTGGGCTCAGAGGCCCGCCTTCAGTCCTCTCAGCAAGCCCGTATGAGATGAGGACACCCAGACAGAGCAGCTTGGAAATACAAAGCAGCAGATCAGATCTGGGTTCAACCCAGCTCAAAGCCTGTGAGGCTTAGGAATGGCGTGCGGGAGCGTGTGGCTTTCAGTGCTTCCTCCCAGTGTGCAGGGGTGGGGCGTCCCGAAGTCCCAGGCTGCCCAGGGAGCCCAGGTTTCCCGTCAACCTGGCTCAGTGTGACTGGTGCGCTCTTCACCTGCTAAGGGGCCTGGTTTGGATGAAATAGTCCATAATCATTCTCTTCACGGGCTGCATTTGGCTAAGAGGCCAGGCAGCCTCTGATATCGACAATGTAAAACCATCACGAAGACACCCCTTAAAGTGAGAGAAGCAGGGCAGAATGGAGAGCCTACATCTGTTTTTGTGAAAAGCAGGAGGGAGCTTGTAAGTCTGTGCTTCTGTGCACACGTGTGCCTGAATGCACACGAACACGCCCACACATACACACAGTCGTATACGTCCTTCCTTCCCCGGGTCGGGGGGAGACCAAATGTCAGGGCTTCTGAGAACGCCTTCCTCTAGAGCCCCAGCTTTCTGGAGGATGCATAAGAAGCTGGGCACAGTGGCTGTCTCTGAGGGAGATGGGGAGACTAAGGAGGGCACTGAAACCTGTATTTTTCAGTGTCTTTTTTTTTTTTTTCCAACAACTGTTTATCAAGGACCTACAGTGTGCCGGGTACTGGGAAGAGGGCTCAGTCAAAGAGACACAATTTTCTCCTCTTGGAGCTCACATTGTAATGGGAGAGACAATAAATGAAATAAGCAAGTTGTACGGTGATAGGTGGGTATATGTGCTGTAGGAAAAGGAAATTTTTGAGCTGCGCACAGGGGTCTGAGATTATGCGAGAAGAAGGGTCTGGGGGTTGGCTTCAGTTTTAGATAGGATGGGAAAGGAAGCCTGATGGAGAGGATGTGCAGAAGAGAGCCATGGGGCTCTTTGGGGGAAAGGACTTCAAGTAAAGGATGCAGCATGTGCAAAGGTCCTGAGCTGAGAATTTGCCCGGAGTATTAATAGCACAGTACTCAGCCTCGTGTGTTTGGAGCAGAATAGGAGAGGGGACAGAGAGGTGGGGGGAGAGACCACATAAGGCCTTCCAAAAGGGGAATCAGAAGAGAGCAAATCGTGACTGCCAAGAAACAAAGGCAAAAACGGGATTTCGAGCGTGCCTAAAATAGTGGACAGTCTGGGAATGGTGCGGTCGGTTTTACACTTTCGGGGTGAGTGGATCAGAGGGCAGTTAGCAGAGAGGTCTGTTGGATTGGTCTACAGTTGGCAGCGGCAGTCGGGGATGACAGTTGCTGTTGCTTGTGGGTTCTCCAGAAAATCTCAAGCACCATGACGTGTGGCGTGTGTTTTGGGCTGTCCGTGTGTCCTGCCTGCCAGTAGCGTCCCACGGGCAGTCCCTTTGGCCAGGTCTGCACTGCTCACTTCCAGAGAAAGCCTCAGCCTTGTTGGTCTTTGCAAGGCCTTTGACTTTTACCCTGCGGTAGACGAGTGTGCATGATCCTCTGTGTCTCAAAGGGGTCGCCCTGGTGGGGAACAGACATCAGGGCCCGGCGGGGGAGGCCTGGGACAGCCGCGAAGACGATGCGGGGGTGACACGGGTGCTGATGGCCCACGTGGTCGGATCCCAGAATATTCTGCAGGGAGAACTGGCCCAGAGCTGGCTGTCGAGAGGGGGAGGGGGGTGTCCTTCACGTTTACATCTGGACTTATAACAGGGACTACCTACTTTGAAAAAGGTCAAGTTGAAGAAATTGGAGAAGGACCAGCCAGGAAGGCCATTAGCTAAGCTCTGTCCTCTGTCCGGTCTCCGTTCTTATGGGTGGAGCCAGGCCTGCTGGCCGAGCCCCCCCCCCCTCCCACCCCCAGGTGATGCTGGGGTCTTTTCAGGGCCGGAGCGACCTGTGGCCTGCAGCTGGGGGCGAGGCCCAGCGGTGTGAGGTCCAGCTGGAGGTGAAACTCGTGACAGCAGGGAATCCTGTGGTCCTCATGGGGAACCTCAGCCAGCAGACCGGCAGCAAGTTGGCCTTTTCCGTGTCACTGAGCAACCTGCTGAGCGACCAGGCCCACCTGTCAGGTAGGAAGAGGGACCCCCTGCTGTCACTCCCTCTCTTCAGTGGGCAAGGCTACTGGAGGGGGAGGGCTGAGTAGCCCACGTGGAGTCTCCGTTCCCTCCACCTGCCAGTATTAACATCCCACCCCAGGGAAAAGTCCAGGCTCCATATCTGCTCACAGCTTCCCTTCGGTGCCCCAGAAGCTCCCCCCAACACTGACTGCCCAAGTTGCACGGGGCATGGTTTAAACCTTAAACACATCGCCCGGCCTGGGCATGGCCGGTCTGGCAGATGCCCGCCCGGATGCCAGAGCTGGGGTGTGGCCCCCTAGCTATGCTCCTCTTGGGGTGTTCTGGGAGATTCCAAGGGAACGATGTCAGGGGCTGGGGCTCCTGGCCACCCAGCGTGGGCAGTTTGGGTATTGTCACGGGCCCTGCTCTACCTGCGTGACCTGGCTGAATGTCTGTGTAGCAGGAGCAAATTTCAGAAGGTGAGGTTTACCAGATGGCCTAGAAGGCACTGTCATTTCCCTTCTGTTCTGTCTTGTTTTGTTCTACTTTATTTAAACATTTTGGCTCAAACCCACAAAAGTGACTTTTGGGCCACCGACAATGGCCACCAAGTAACGCTGTGAGCACTCGGACACCAAGGTTCCTTGGCAGAGACTCGGGCACAGGTTCCGCCAGCACCCCCCATCCCCAGGCCCCCTGGGTGGTTCCCATTTCCTTGCCTTGCCTGGTGCTGGGATGGGGTGTCAGTCCCGGGGTGTGGGCCATGACCACTCCACGCCTGCCCCTCTCACTGCCTACCCCCCATGCAGTGCGGCTGGAGAAGGCAGTGGAGGACGGGCTGCAGGTGGTGGCCCTGGGTGGCGAGCTCTCTGTGCCCGGTTTCGTGGGACTGCACCTCGTGGGCAGGCTACAGAGGCACAGCCGCCTCTGGACCAGCTCCCTGAGGATCAAGTACGGCCTTCTGGGTACGGCGCCACGTTCTGGGCTGGGGGCGAGGTGGGAGGGGGCAGGACCCGCAGCATCTCCGGGGGCTCTGGCTCTGAGGGCCAAGGTGCCACCTTGTCACCTTGTTTAGCCCTCACCACACTCTTCCTTAGCCACTGAACACCTGCCAGTTAAAAAAAAAAAAGGTGTGTGTGTGTTTGGGGGAACATAAGCCTGTCTTTTAAAACCTCTTCCTCCATAGCTTCCAAGGAGTGACATTAAGTGGAGCAGATTGGAGCAGGGGTGGGGGGTGGCTGAGACTGGGATGGATGCTCCTCTCCCTGGAGTAGGGATGGAGGGCTGCTGGCCGAGGACGGGCAGGTGTCTCTGGGTTGCCCTACACAGGTCAGGCGAGGCGGCTGGCCCAGGAGTGCAGCACCATCCAGAGGCTGCGGGCACATAGTGGCTCAGAGGTGACCTATGAGCTGGAGCTGGACCACGAGCTCCACTGCACACAGACCCCAGCACTCAGCCACAAGGTGGGTGCCCTGGCTGGGCGGGGGTCTGGAGAGAGCCGGGAGCTCATCCTCACAGAGAAGGGTTTGCTCAAGGTCACGTATGGGAGCGGAGCTGGAATCGGAGCTTTGGTCTCAGGCTTCCGTGCATTGGTTCCGTTGGTCTTTACTGAACACCTGCTATATGTGTAGCACTTGGGGGAGAGTTGTGCGCATGGCAGCACTTGGTCTGTGCCACCCCATTGCTGGGCAGGGGCAGAGAGAGAGACAGACCAAACCAAGAGAGCCGTCAATGACATGGGTAGTAGGGCAGAGGCTGAGCAAACAGGACAGGAAGTCTGGTTTTGGATGGGGCAATGGGGAAGGCTTCTTCAGAAAACAACTGTAAGCAGAAAATGAAAGCATGCAACAGTTCTGTTCCTATGGAAGCATGCTGCAGGCAGGGGGAATGGCAAGTGCAAAGGTCCCGGGACAGGAGGGAGAAATGGAAGGTCAGGACCTCGTAGTTCACCAGAGTGGCTGGCAGGGTGAGCAAAAGGGAGAAGCAAGCAGCTGTGCTTTTGTTTAATTTACTTAGTTCACGTTTGCCTCTTCCGCTGGATTCTTGCCCCTGTGAGCACAGGGTCTTCTTGATTCTTTATTCTTGGGTATCTGATGTCTGGTGCTGGGCATCATATTACTTGGTACTCGAGAGAGATGTGTTCAGTGAGGGAGTAAATGAATGAGCCCATATTGCCTTGACCTGTGATTCGGAGACAGGAGAGGGCAGCAGGACGGCAGGTGTAAAACCCTGGTCTGCTTCGAGTCTATCCAGGGAGCCAGAGGCCGCTGTGGGAGAGTAGGGGCCGGAGAGCCGTGGGGTTGGAGTCATTTTCCCATGGCAGCTGGCTTTTTCAGCCCCTTATTGGGGCGTGGACCAGGGTGAGGCCCATGAGCCACTTGCCTCAGGCTCAGCATTTAAGGGGTACCAACAGCCCAGGAGGGCAGGTGAACCATATGCGGATGCGCTGTCTTGCAAGATCAAAATCAAGGCAAAGACCATTCTCCTCCTACAGAACTGTCTTCCCAGAGAAGCAAGCCTGCCTCCCCCAGGGTGGGTGGCAGTGAGGAGGCCTGGGGACGGGGCAGACGAGGCTTTCTCAGGGATCTCCCTGGTGGGGTGTGTCCCCAGGTTCAGCTGCGGCACGAGGAGGGCTTGGGCTCCCTGCACTCACAACTGGAGGCGAGCTACGGGATGCGCTGGAATGAGAGCAGCAATAAGAGGAAGCTCCGCATCAGCCACACCTTCCAGAACGACTCGGGTCCAGCCCTGAGCAATTACTTCATGGAGGTGAGCCCAGCCTCTGCAGAGCTTTAGCTTGCACGGTGGCATGGCAGCTGGGCATTCCCCCGCCCCATCCCTCGCCCCCCACATGTCCCTTTGGGCCTTGGTTGCAAGGATGCTGCAGGCTAAAAACTCAGCTTAGCGCCCTTACCTCCCTCCCACCTCCAGTCCCCGTGTCGCCCGGGGAGTCTAAGAGTCTAATATCTGCGCGGCGTGCAGGGGTGGGTGGGGGAGGGACGCTCATCTGCAAGGATATTTGCAATGGGTTGTCTGCAAGGAGGCTTGGGAAGCACAGATTTCCAACTATATGTGCATTTGGGAAACGGCTTCACTTTCAGGTTTTACCGGAGGGTTATCTGTTTCTCTTAAGTCACATACACGTGAGTGCTTAGCCGCTGAACAGGAGATGGGCTCTTGTAAGGCACGCACTGTGTTTGTCTTTAAATTGTTTTAGAATTTTTTTAGTTGTGGTAAAACATATATAACCTAAAATTGACCATGTCTGCCATTTTTAGGTGTATGGTTCAGTGTCATTAGTTACATTCACAGTGTTGTGCAGCTGTCACCATCATCTATCCCTGGAACTTTTTCATCTCGTAAGCGTGAAACTCTGTCCCCATTCAGGAAGAACCCCCTACTCCCCACTCCCCCGACACTTGCTATTTCCTGTTGTTTTGGATGGTAGCCATGCTAATGGGGGTGAGGGAGTACCCCATTGTGGTTTTGATGGGCATTTCCCTAACGCTGAGTGATGTTGAGATCTTTTCCACGTCCTTGTCGGCCATTGGTTTATCTTCTTTGGAGAAACGTCTATTTAAGTCCTCGGCCCATTTTTGAGTCAGGTTGTCTGCTTTGTTGTTACTATGTTGTAAGCGTTCTTGATACATTCTGGATACTAACTCCTCATCAGATACATGGTTTGCAGATATGTTCTCTCATTCTACCCATTGCCTTTTCCGTCCTTTGACAGCATTCTTTGGTCCATAAAAGTTTTACCTGTGCAGGTGGTTTGACTGATCTCTTTTTACTTTTGTGGCCTGGGTTTTGAGTGTCCTATCTAGGAAATCCTCGCCACATCCGATAGTGTTCCCTCTATGCTTTCTTCTAAACGTCTTCTGGTTTCAACTCTTAACATTCAGGTCTTTGATCCATGCTGAATTAGTTTTTGTGTGTGGTGTAAGGTAAGTGTCCAGCTGCATTCTCTTGCATGTGGATATCCACTGGTCCCAGCGTCGTGTGTCGGACAGACTCTGCTTTCCCCCATGGAGGGTGCTTGGCATGCTTGTGGAGAAATCACGTGATCACAAATGTGAGAGTTTATTTTGGGGGGCCCTATTCTATTCCATTGGTCTGTATGTCTGTCTGTGTGTCCCTGCCATACTGTTTTGATTACTGTAGCTTTGTGAGACCTCCAACTTTGTGCTCTTTTTCAAGATTGTTTGGGCTGTTCGGGGTCCCTTGACGGATTTTTCTGTTTCTGCCACACACACGAAAATGCCATTGTGATTTTGATAGGGATTGGGTTCGATCGGTAGGTTGCTCTGGGGAGTACTGACATCTTACCAATATTTAGTCTTTCCATCTACGAACACAGGACATCTTTCCATGTAGTCGCATCTTTAATTTCTTCTAGTAACATTTTGTAATTTCCAGCTTGCAAGTCTTTGGCCTCCTTGGTTAACTTTATTCCCAAGTACTAAATTGCTTTTAAATACCCATACTGTCTGAATAAATTCTCCTTGTGAAAAAAATGTCACACTTGAAATAAAGCTAAAATTCCTTTCTCAGTTTCCGTCTTCCATCCCCCCCCCCCCCCCCCCCCCCCCCCCCAGTTAACCTGGAAGAAAGAGCAGTTACGTTCTAGGGTGCTGGGAGGGAGATCTCTTTCTGTTCCTTTGTTCTATGCACCGGTCACAGGCACTTGGTTTTGTTTGGTGAGTCTTGCTGCGTTCCTTGCATCCTTCAGCTACAGGTGTTGAACTTTCTTGTTACTTTGTAGAGATCTACTTTATTCTTTTAAGATTTTCTCTTTGTCTCTGAGGCTCGTAAGTTTTACTATTAGATGTCCTAGATCTACTCTCTTCTTTTAAACTCCTGCATCATGCTCCATCCATAGCTATGTTCCGTCTTGTTTGGCCATTGCACGCTTGTGGTTTCTGGTGATGCAAGCCTGAACATCCTTGGGCACCCATCCCTGGGTACACGTGTGCCAGAGTCTCTGGGGCACACGTCATAATACATAATTTCTGGGTTTTGGAATTTGCCTATTTTTAATTTGCTGCCTTGTGACAGTTTGCCCTCCAAAATGTTCAAACCAATCACCCTTCCCTCCAGCCATGTCCATGAGGAGCAATTTCCATACTCCAGTCAATACTTGACTTTTAACATTTGAAAAACTTTGCTGATCTGGATGGAAAGGATATCTTGCTTGAATTTGCATTTCTCCGATCACTTAATAATGCTGCACACCACCTTTTCTGTATTTTTTCTACCATTGCGTTACCCTTTCTGGGGATGGCATTTTTGTATTGACATTTGAAAAACACTAGAATTTTGACTTGATTGGTAGGAGTTCTTTATATAATTGCAGTACATGTGTTATGTTACTATTCTAAATTGTGGAAATTTCTTATTTCTGGAAATCATCTGGTCCCAAAGACTTTAGTGAAGAGATTAAAGAGTGCTTGTTTCTGCAAGCCCTCTCAAATGTGGCAGACACCATGCTAGGTTCTGGGGAGACACACGTAAGATACTATTTATCCTTAAGAAGCTGACTGTGAACAGAAGAGGGAAGGGCAGAGTGAGCAGTGACGAGCCACTTATTATGGCCAGGCTATGTTTCAGATGTGTTGTTTGTATTATTTCATTTAACCCTTGGGAAGTAACCACTGTCCTCATTCTGCTGAGGAGAAATTGCGTAAACAGACTTGTCTGGGATTTCACAGCAATTATGTGACAGGATTGGAATTGAAATGCCAGTAGGTTTCATTGCATACCTTAGGCTCTTAACCTCTTGGCTGGACTGGATTGTGCCAGAATTAATTGACTAGAAAATAATTTACTAAATGATTAGTCAAGGGGAGAAAAGACTTCCCAGTGTCTTCTATGAGGCCAGTATCATCCTGATGCCCAAACCAAACCAGGACATCATGAGAAAAGAAAAACTAAAGACCTCTTATAAATGCAGATACAAAATCCTCAAGAAAACACTACCAAACTGAATTCAGCAATATGTAAATAGAATTACACAACATGACCAAAGGGGCCTTATCCCCGGAATTCAAGGTTGGTTTCACATTTGAAAATCAATCAAGGTAATATACCATATTCGTGGAGTGAAGGATGGAAACCACATGATCATCTGAAGAGAGGCAGAAAAAGTATTTGGCAAAACCCCATAACCTTTCATGACAAAAACACCCAATTAGCAATGGAAGAGCACTTCCTCAACCTGATAAAGGCCATCAATGAAAAATCCACCGCCAACATCAAACTTAATGGTAAATGCCTAACTGCTTTCCCTCTAAGATCAGGAAGAAGCTAGGATGTCTGCTCTCACCACGTCTATTCAACATCGTACTGGAGGTTTTAGCTAGGGCAGTTAGGCAAGAAAAAAAATGCATCCAGATTGGAAAGGAAGAAGTAAAACTATTTCTGCTTACAGATGACACTGCTATATGTAGAAGACCCTAATGAATCCACAAAAAGATCTATTAGAGCTAATAAATGAGTTCCTCAAAGTTGCAGCAGACAAGATAAAAATATGAAAGTCAGTTATATTTCTCTACACTAGCAATGAAAACTGTGAAAATTAAGAAAAGAATTCCATTTGCCGTAGTGTCAAAAGATAAATACTTCAGCATAAATGTAACAAAAGAAAGTAAAACTAATACTCTGAAAACCACAAAACATTGTTTGAAAGAAATTAAGGAAAGCTGAAATAAATGGGAAGACATCCCACGTTCTTGGATCGTAAAATGAATCTTAAGATGGCAACATTTCCTAAATTCATCTACAGATTCAATAGTCCCTATCTATGCCTATCCAAACCCATGTGATCTCTTTTTGCTGAAATTGACAAGCTGATCCTAAAATTCATGTGGAATTGCAAGGGACACAGAACAGCCCAAGCCACCTTGAAAAAGAAGAACAAAGTTGGAGAACTCATTCTTTCCAATTTCAAAATTTAATACAAAGCTCTGGTAATTAAGATAGTCTGGTAGTGGTATAAGGATAGACATACAGACCAATGGAGTAGAATTGGGAGTCCTGAAATAAAGCCTTATATTTACAGTTGGTTGATTTTTGACAAGGCTGCCAAGACCACTGAAGAGGGGAAAGAATAGTCTTTTCACCAAAGAGTGCTGGCACCACTGGATATCCATGTGCAAAAAGAATGAAGTTGGATGCTTACCTAATACCATATATAAAAACTAATGCAAACCAGATCGTAGACCTAAATTGAAGAACTATAAAACTCTTGGAAGAAAACATAAAAGTGAATCTTTACAACCTTAGAATAGGCAAGGTTTCTGAGCTATGACACTAAAAGTATATTAACAACAAAAACTGATACATTGGGCTTCATCAAAATTTAAAAAGTTTCTGCTTCCAAAGGCTCCATCAAGAAAGAGAAGTAACCATTCTACTCCTAGGTACTAGAGAGAATTGAAAACCTAGGTTCACACAAACCATATGGAATAGCTATAGAGTATTATTCATAATAGCCAAAAAGGAGAAACAACACAAATGCTCTTCAACGATGAATGGATAAATAAAATAGGATTTATCCATACAATAGAATATGGTTCAACAATAAAAAAGAATGAAGTTCTGATACATGATATAATACACCGTGCATGAATCTTGAAATCATCATGCCAAGTGAAAGAAGCCACACGCAAAAGGCCACATATTATATGATTCCACTTATACAAAATGTCCAGAATAGGCAAATCCATACTAACAGAAAGTAGATTGATGGTTTCCAGGGGGCAACGGGGAGCAACTGCTAATGGCTATAGGGTTTCTTTGGGAGTGGGCTGGGCAGTTCCTGATAACCAGGGAACTCAGGCCAACCCCTGGCTGTCGCGGTGAGCCGGTGGAATGTTCTAGGTTGGGAGTGGAGTCGTCTGATTAGCATCTTGAGCACGGGTCTCCTCCAGTTTGTGCTGCAGGTGCCTGAGAGGCAGGTGGATTACCGTATGCAGCTGTATCACTCAAGCCTTCGCCAGCCACACGTGGAGAGCAGCACACACCTGAAGGTGCAGTACAATGGGCGGCTGCCCTTTGTGGCAGGCTTGCAGTGGAAGGACACGTCTCGAGCTACCCTGTGGAAGTGGGAAGGTGAGTGTCATCTCTAGACTCTTTGGCTAGGAGTTAAGATCTCTGGACCCCAGGCCTTTGCCTGGGCTGTGCCCATTACCTGGAATAACCTTTCCTTTGTGTTGGTCTGGCTGTCAAGACACAGACCTTTACTGTGTCCCATGACACAATTATATCCTGATTCCTTACCCTCATCAATAGAGCTCTACATGACTGTCCCCTGCCTGATTCTCCAGTCTTCTCTTACCCCACTTTACCTGTTGCCCATTATCCTGCAGCCCCACTGGCCTCTTTTCCATTTCTCCAAACATACCTCAGGGCCTTTGCAGTTGCTGTTTCTTCTCCCCAGAACACTCTCTCACTTTTAAGAACTGGATTTGCCATAGTTTATTCTTGAATTAATTTTATTTTTATTGCGGTAATACATAGTTTGAAAAGTAAAGTAGAAACTATGAGTTGGTAATTGTTGAAGGTGGTGAGTATTACATAGGGGCTCATCATATTATGTTCTCATGTACGTACCTGAAATCTTTAAAGGTTTATTTTTTAAAGCTAGTGTATAATAAATACAGTAATCCTCTGCTTCATGTCTTCCTATCCCAAGTTTTGCTTAAAACAGCAACCACTGTAAACTGTGTTAGCTCTTCCTTGTTAAACCCTTTGGCTCTTAAAACACTATAATTATACTGTTACGTCTTGATTTTTCTTTTTTAGGCCTTCTCCATATATTTCTAACCAGAGAGGATGAGAATTTAACTCCTAAACTCTTTTCAGATATCTGTTTCCCTTCATCTCCCTAAAAGAGTTGGTCAGTGAATATTCAATATTTATTTAATTGTGACTCTGTATGTGTCCTTCATAGCTGAGATACATGGTATACTATGATTCTAACTTTATGTTTTTCCTGGAGGTATAATTGTCTTTTTCCCGTTTGACCAATTTTCTATTTTCCTCTTTATAATTATTCCCAGAATTTTTAGTGTAAGTACAAAACTTTTTCCGGATGGTCAGACACAACAGGTTATGTATCAGCTTCAGTTAGTTCTCAGATGTTTCTTGGAGACCTTCTTCCTGGATCCTCTGTCTTTCTGCTCCAGTGCAGACAGGTTGCACAGCTTTGGTTCCGGGGCATCCCTTCCCCGTCATCCTGGGAATTCCTTCCGCTTCTCTGGGTCACAGCCCTGTTTCTTGCCCTCATGTCATCTTCTTTCTTGGTTTACTCTTTTGTTTTGATGGAGCACATCTTCCAGCAGCTTCCTGAGAGAAGTGTATTAGTTTCCTAGGGCTGCTTTAACAATGACCGCAAACTGAGTGGCTTAAAACAACAGAAATGTATTCTCTCACCAGTCCTAGAGACTAGAATTCTGAGTTCAAGCTGTCGTCAGGGCCATGCTCCCTCTGTAGCCTGGATAGAATTCTTCCCTGCCTTTTCCTAGCTCTTGATGGTGGCCATTGCTACTGGGGGTTCCTTGGCTTTATAGTGACATTGCTCTCATCTCTGTGTCTGTTGTCACATGGCTTTCTCCTGGTGTGTGTGTGTCTGTGTTTCGACTTCCCTCTTCTTAAAAGGACACCAGTCCTATTGGTTTTAGGGCCCACCCTACTCTAGTATGACCTCATCATAACTACTTATATCTGTGATGACCTCATTTCCCAAATAAGGTCATATTCTGAGATATAATGGGGGGTTGGGATTTTGTATATTTTTGAGAGACACAATTCAAACCATAATGGGATGTAAACATTTTGCACCCCTGAATGTTTCAATTGTCTTCATTCTACCTGGGTAATTTGGCCGAGTAGAGAATTTTAGTTTTCCCCTTGGGATTTTGAGGACATCGCTCCAGTGTCATTTCTGATAGTTAGGATGCTATTTCTGGGCCATCATCCTTTATATGTGCCCACTTTCTCACTCTCTGGAAGCTTTTAGGAACTTCTTTGTATTCCAAGTGTCTTCAGATCTTATTATGATGTGCCCTGGTGTACACTGACTTTCATCCATTGTACTGGGCACTTGGCTTAGACCCTTTCAACTTGGAAATGTCATTTGGGTCTGGGTACTTTGCTTGTACAGTTTCTTTGATAATCGCCTTCTTTCTGGATTCTGGAATTCCTGTTGGTCAGATCTGGGTCCTCAGAAACTGAGCCTCTAATTTTCTTTCTTTTCTCTTCTTTGTTCCATCTCCTTATCTTTTTTTGTTCTGTTTTGAGGACCTATTTCCTTAACTCCATCTGCCAGCCCTTCTACTACATTTTAATTTTGGCTATCTTGTATTTCCAAGAGCTCTTGTTTGTTCCTGAGAGTTCTTTTCTTGTACTGTCCTGCTCTGTGAACACAACTCCTCTCACTTCTCTGAAAGTAGATGTTACAGACCTGGGGGACTTTGATCTGTTCTCCCTGAGTTTCTCTTAACTTTTTTTCTGAATTGCCATGAGTAGCTTTCCTCAAATGTCAGACAAGACTTAGGTATGTGCTGTGTTTAAGGACTGGCCACTCAGAACTTATTTGGAAGAAGCTCTACATGTGTTTGAGGGTACACTTTGATGGGCTTCTGTGTCGAGCAGTTGAACGGGGAGCCCTGGGGTTTGTATCTCTGGATCTTTCTTTTTCATTCTGTTCTTCCGCGGAGCAGATTTCCCATCCCCTGTGGGAGGGGTGCAGCAGGGCAGGGCCCTGGGCTATTCTCTTCAGCATCTCCCTGTTCTCAACTGGGCAGCTCACCTTCTGTCCTCACTGTGTCTGGTTTTCCTACATCCAGGCTTCTCTGCCTCAGTTTGCCCAGACAGTAAATCTCCAGCAGGTGGGAGGTCGCCCTCCCCTTTGACAGACTCCCACCGCTTTTCATTTAGGTCTCTGCTCGATTGTCACTTCCTCATGGGAACCTTGGCTGCCCTGGCCCAAGCCTCATCAAACCCCACCTTTATTTTTCTCCATGGCACTCAGCATTTTTTACTTGGGTCTCATTATATGTTTATTTGTTCAAGATCTGTCCCTTCTGCCATCCACTGCCTCTGGACTGCTAGTTGCATGAAGGCAGGAGCTGTGCCTGCTTGTTCACTGCGCATCCCCAGTGTCCCGAGCAATATTGGCTGAATTAGTCCTCGAATGGATTGGGGTATTCATGACAAAATACGAGACCTGCTTTCAGTGAATCATGGAAGGGCAAAAGGTTATATTGAATGTCACCTTTTTGATGATGGTGGTGAGAGTGATGGCTCTTCCTTTTTTTTTTTTTTAAAGATTTTATTTATTTGAGAGAGAGGGAGAGAGAGCACATGAGCAGGGGGGAGGAGGCAGAGGGAGAGGGAGAAGCAGACTCCCCGCGGAGCAGCGAGCCCGACGCGGGCTCGATCCCAGGACCCTGAGATGATGACCTGAGCTGAAGGCAGACGCTTAACCCACTGAGCCACCCGGGCATCCTAGTACTTACTCTTCTTAATGAGTGCTTCCTCTGTCCTGGTACCCAGTGAACAGTCTTACTGTACCCGTTTTATAGATGATGGCAGCACAGGCTTAACGAGGCTACAGCTTGGGAAGTAAAGGCCACGTTCTTTATTACCTTTATTACCACACGCCTGTGCCCTCTCTCCAACTTCTTCGTGCATTTCTTTGGCCCAACATGTCTCTATGAAAACTTGTCAAACCTACAGAAAAGTGCAGTGGATTGTATCGTTAACACCAACATATTTTCAGCCCAAGATTCCACCGTTAACGTTTTACCCCCACATATCTACCCCCTTACCATCCGTGTTATTTGTTGGTGCAGGTCGAAGTAAGCTGTAGACCTCTGTGCATTTCACGCCTTAACTAGAGTGGAATGCACTCCAGGGTACCATTTAATGAGTTTTGACAGGTGCACACACCAGTGTCGCCCCTGTCAAGATTCAGAACATGAGCAGCGTTCTGTAAAGTTGCCTCCTGTTCCATCCCAGGCACCCTCAGTTCTGAGACATGCCCATAGGGGCTGAGATGAAGCTGCGGGGACCTCCTGGTACCTGCCAGGAGCTCTTTCCATCTTTTCATACGGGTTATACCTGCTTCTCCCTCTCTACCTCTGGCAGGAGCCTTGAACATGGATAGTCCTTGGCTGACGGTCTCCGCGGCTCACAGGCTGGACTGGCCACGCCGACCCATGTTCCAGGCTGTCCTGGAGATGACACTGGGCAAGGCCTGGACCCTCAAGAACCTGGTGATGAACGTGGCCTACAGGAACCAGGGCCTCGACACGGAGGGCAAGATCCACGTCTACACCCCGGCTACCACGTACCTCCGGGTGCGCATGCTCGGTTACGTCCTCTGCTCCGCTCCCTGCGGTTGGACTCGCGGCCCAGGAGCCTGGTTCCCTGCCATTCAGAACTTCTTGCATGCAGAGGGAGAACAGCACCCAGGCCTGATACCAGGTCACAGATGTGGGCAGTCTGGCTGGCCCAGCGTTTATAGTCTTCAGAATTAGTTGCCAAGTGAATTTGGGAGAGTGGACCGCACCCCCCCCCCCCGCCTCCATCTCAGTTTCCCGTATTCTTGCTTAGCCGCTGATAGGTTAAAACATGACAGCAGGTTGAGGGGGAACTCGGAAACAAGCAGACATCAGGCCTTTGCCAAAAACCAGCATGAAAACTTCCAGGTCGTAGGTCAGTTTCCTACCAGCTGCTGGGTGTAATTGAGTATGATTCTTTGCACCTCTTTGATCTCTGAAGCGTAACGGTTGGGAAGAAAACCAACCCGTGAAAGATGCCCCAGGTGTCCCCCGAGGGAGCCTGGCACATAGCCTCTCCCCGTGTTGGGATGATGAGTGGGACACAGCAGGAGGTCCGGGCCTGACTTGGACCCAGAAAGAGGCAGCTCTGTGGGCCCATCCTGGGGACAGCAGAGTCCCTCTGAGGCAGGGGCTGAGTGGTAGCAGGGTGGGGTCAGCCAGCCAGCTCCTGCAGACACCCCAGCCAGGGGCCCGACAGTGGCCTGTCCCGGGCCGGGGGGGGGGCGGGGACAGGGGGGTGTTGGGCAGCAGAGATGGTAGCAGGTGTCTAGATTCTGGAACTAGTTTGCAGGTGGAACCGATAGATTTGCTGGTGGATGAGCAGTGGGAGGGAGCACAAGGCAAGACCTAAATGGCCCCAAGGTTTTGGCCCAAACAGCTGGGTAGAAGGAGGGGCCCTTCCCTGAAACGGTCAGCTGGCAATGGGGGTCCTGTAGGTTTTGGGGGGAGACCCAAGGTCAGTGACCTATGGGACAAGGTGTTATGGAATTCTAGTATGTGGCAGGGGCTTCAGTCATGCCTAAACCCTATTTTGACCCCATCACCTCCACTTGGGAGGCCCTGAGCCATGTGAACAGGGGTCAGTGGCCTACGGGGTACAGGCACCGTGCTATTCTTGATGGGGCTTGTGCCAGGGGCAGTGGGCTGGGGTGCACAGCCCTACCCAGAACTCTGGTGCTCTATCTCCCCCAGCTCTTCCCAGGGCTCTGAAGACCATAGCAATGGTGCAGGAAGAGAAGGCCACCTGCAGGTGCATGCCCCTCAGGACACGGAGACCCTGCCTGCTAATAATATTGGCCCAGTGAGATCATACTCCCTTTCCGAGCCAAAGAGGAGAGAGGGGGAAGGGAGTTATCTTTTCTCATGACTGATACTTCAGATTCTCTCTCTGCTTAGGGCTGAGGGATGGAGGGAAGTTTGTCCTCTTTCCTCAAGACACTGTAGGGAACAGCAATTTCTGCCTGGACCCGTCGGGAAAGGCCTCACAGAGATGGTATCCGAGGGGTTTTGAAGGATGAGTAGGAGTTCCCTAAGTGGGAATGGGGAGAAAGGGCATCCCAGGGGGAGGGCATGGGTGTGCAAAGGCTTTGGTTGCCCTCCCCTGACTCGCCGTAGGTATCCACGGTGACAACGTTGGCCCAGAGCCTCTTCCGCAGCCGGAGTGAAGTAGAATCAGCCTGGAGCGCCGCAGTGTGGAGCGAGATCCACGCAGAGAACAGCCAGGACCTTAAGACGCTTCACTGCTGGTTGAAGGGCCCCCTGCAGGAGTTGAACCTAACGGCCGCCTACAGGCATATGGAGCAGGTGGGTCCAGGCGGCCCATGCTGGAGACTCCGCTCTTGAGAGACCCCAAATCCCTCACCTGGGATGGGAAAGCATTTAGTGCTCAGCCTATGACCTTGGGCCTTCCTGAGCTCAGTTTCTTTATCTGTAAAATGGACCCCAGCCGTATTAGCGCAGACCCTGGAGCAAAGCTCCGCCTCATGGAGCCAGAAGCCCAAGACCATTCCTCACTGGGCACTTGGGGAGGTCCAGGCATGGCGGTGTGCCCATGCGATCTTGGGGTCTGCTCTGGGGTGAGGCTGTGGTCCTGTTCAGCATGCCCTTCTCAGGTAGTCACTCCCAGGGCGATGGGCGGGCAGGGGGAGCTGCCCCTTGGGCCCCCGGGCACCATGTTTAAGGAGCCTGGTCCCCACTGGGCCATCCCTCTCCATCGGCCTGGTCCTTGTTACAGCCCCAGAAGACTCACATGTCGCTGACGGCTCTGGTGACCAGCACCAGGGGCCAGCCTCGGGGCCTGGAGTTGGAGGGCAAGCTGGAGGAGGTGACACGGGACAGGAGCTTGTACCAGAAGCGGGGGACCTTCCTCCTCAGGTCTGTGCGGCCCCATCCCCTTATGTGTGGCATCTGTCAGGAGGGTCTGCAGTGTGGAGGGTCCCGGGGGGCAGGGTGAGCCGTGCTCACCAGACATTATCTCCTATGATCCCAACCGTGGTTGGGATTGGGGTGGGGGGCTAGTGATGACCCCCGCCGTGCCCAGGTCACGAGGTTGTCACGAGGGCATGGCGATATGGTGAATGGACATAGATTGGCGAGACGCAGGGCTGATGTGTGTCCTGATGTTCTTCTCTCTGTGACGGTCTTAACCCTGCAAGCTTGTGACAGGCCCGGTCTCAGCTCCTGGGGCCCAGTTGTCCCCTGACCCTGCCAGAAGCTTTAATGGCTTTGGCCCACTCTCCCCTCTCCATGCCAGGCACGCCTTGCCTCTGCCCATCCCGCAGAGCCTCCTCCTGCAGGAGACCTTCACAGCGGATAGGCAACACCAGCGATGCTCCCTGGAAACTAGGCTCGTCCTGAACGGCCAAGAGGAGACCCTGCAGACCGTAGTCCTGGGCTACCAGGCTGGACACCCCTACGTGAGTGGGCTCTGGGACACAGCTGGGAAGGGGCCTGGGAGCAGAGGGAGGCCCCGTCTGCCACTGACCCATCTCTGTATGTGTGTGCGCGTGTATGCCCTTCCCTCCCAGGTCTGCGCAGGCCTGACCCACCCATATGACGGCAAGGCCGTCCCCAGGAACGTGGAGGGGTGCGCCGTTGCTTGGAGCCAGCACGCCGTAAGTGAGCAGAGCCCGGGGACCGGGCATACCAGCGGTCCCCGATCCAAGCTGCCATCTCCTCTGAACTGGACGAGCAGAATGCTCTCCAGCCTGGGTTTTCTGTTCCACTCTGTTCCTGCTGTTCTAGCCTACCTGATGGCTAGAGGGGGCTTTTCCAGTATGCTGGCAGAATCATGCCACTCCTTCTCTCTGGACGAAGACCCTGGCCATGCCCCTCTGGTCTTACTGACCCTCCAGGCCACCTGAGACCACTCTGTCCCTTCTGCTGCCACCTTTCACTCAGCCTCCTTTTGGTTCCTCACCCGGCTCTTTCCTGCTCCAGGACCTTTGTGTGTTCTGTGCCTGGAGCTGTCACTCCTTCAGCTTTGCCTCCTTCCCTTGTACTCATTGATGAGGGTTCAGCTCACACGTCCTCTCTTCCAGGAAGCTTTTCATGGCCCCCAGACCACCTCCCATCCCCTGGTTACATGTCCTGCACACCCCACACTTCTGTTTCTAGCACTTCCCACAAATCTCAGTCCTATTTTGACGTGATTCTTTGACCAATCACTGTTCCCCCTGCTAGTCCATAAGATCCGTGATTGGTACCGTGTCTGCATACTTCATGTCATGGCACTTTATTTCATTACGCTTTGCAGATATTGCATTTTTTTAAATACAAATTGAAGGCTTGTGGCAACCCTGCATCCAGCAAGGGTGTTGGTACCATTTTTCCAACAGCATTTGCTCACTTTGTCTCTGTGTCGCATTTCGGTGACTCGGGCAATATTTCGCTTTTTCATTATTATCACGTTGGTTACGGTGATCTGTGATTACAACTGGCTGAGAGCTCAGACAACGGTTAGCATTTTTTCGCAATGAGGATTCTTTAGATGAAGGTATGTACTTTTCTTCTTTAGTCGTAAATGCTACTGCACGTTTAATTGACGACAGTGTAAACATAACTGGTGTGCGCACTGGGAAAGCAAGAATTTCATCTGACTTGCTTGTTGCCAGACTTGCTCCCTGGTTTCTGGGGCAGTCTGGAACCAAACCCGCAATATCTCCAAGGTACGCCTCTGTTTACCATTGGAGCTGCAGGGCCTGGCACGTCATCATCCACGCTCAATGAATCGTTGTCACCCCCGAGTTACTGAGAGTCTGTTGTGCACCTGACCCAGAGCAGGAGGCAACAACCTTTTTCTGAAAAGGAGCAGATAGTAATGATTTTCGCCTATGGGGGCCGTCAGGTCTGTGTTGCAAGTACACATTCTAGAAAGACACATTCTAGAAAACACACAAGTGAATGGGCCCGACTGTCTTCTGATAAAACTTTAGCTAAGGACTAAATGCTTGTGTGGCTCCCCCACCCCCCGCCGACTGCCAGATTCATATGTTGAAGCCCTAATGTGAAGGTATAGGGAGGCAGGGTCTCTGGAAGGTGGTTAGGTCATGAGGCTGGAGCCCCCACGATGAGATTTCTGTCCACCTGGCGAGGGCGCAGGAAGGAGAGAGCCGCCTGCCAGCCAGGAAGAGGGCCTTCTCCAGAACCCAACCATGCTGGCGCCTTGGTCTCGGACTTCCAAGCCTCCAGAACCATGAGGAACAAATTTCGGTTGTTTAAACCACCCCGTTTATGGGACTTTTGCGAGAGCAGCCTGAACTGACAAAGGCAACTTTATTTATAAACACGAGGCAGGTCTGCCTCCCTGGCCACAGCTCTCGGACCTCTGACTTAGAAGGTATTGGCATTAGTCTTCCTGAGACTGAAATTCATTTTTGCCCACATGCCCATAGTGAATGATTCCACAGCTCTGGACCCCCGTTTCCTCGTCTATAAAACTGAGACAACAGTACCCATCTCTTAGGCCGTGGTTGTGGGGACTGAAACATAATGTAATAATCGTCCTCAGGTACTTGACACGTGCCCACTCAGACCTCATCCCAGACTCCTTTTGGATCCTTGTAGGAGTAAAAGCCCCGGGAGGTAACCCTCTTCTCCAGCAAGAACTGGAGAACTTCTCCAACCCCCTTCTCTCAGCATTTATTGAGCACCTACTATGTGTCAGGCCCTGGACGAAGAAGTTAGTGGGCATTTCTCCCTGGTGGAAGATACAAAGGTCTGCTGAAGGAGGGTGAAGGGGGGCCAGCTATTGAGCACTGAGACCTCTTCTTCGAGGGTCCCCACCTGCCCCACCAGTTAAACAGGGCTGTGGATGGCTCCCAGAGGCTTGGTAGCCAGAGTCCTTGGAGCTCCTGAGATGAAACAAAGGACAGAATGGCAGCCCAACACACCTGCAGAAAAACCTCCCCATGGTGTTGAGCGTTTTTTTCAAACCGGAGATTGCAGAATGGCGCCATGGGCCAGGTCCAGCCTGCAGATGTGTTTTGTTTGGCCTGCTTCGCACTTCACGTTTTTAAAAACATTGTCCACATTTAAAATCAGAAGATTCGGGGCAAAACCCAGATTTCTGCTTCTAATTAAAAAGAAATCAGAAGATCGGACACACGGGACCTAAAATCCCACCTGCGGACAAGAGGCGAGAACCAAGTCAACGGGGACCCTTGAATGGAGTTGAATTTGGCTCTCTGTTCTTTCTAAAAACCCTGTCTTTGTTTAATGACACACATTTATTTTTCTCCTCTTGGGCTTTTATTTATCCCTCTTCCATCTTGTTTCTAAAATAAAGCCACGGATTCTTCTAAAGTTATACACTGACGATAACATTCTGCAGCAAGACATTTTTAACGTCTCCCTCAGCACAGATCAGAACAGATGGCGTACCCTGCTCCCGTGGGCTTGGCATGTGGGGGAGGCTACAAAGCTGCTGAGTGAATACGTGATGAATCATGTGTGTTAGTGTCTTGTGGCTGTTATATCACAGTACCATGAACTTGGTGGTTTAAGACAATGCAACTCACCTTACGTGATCTGGAGACCAGAAATCCAAAATGGGTTTCACTTGGCTAAAATCAGGTGTTGCCAGAGTTACATTCCTTTGGGAGGCTCCAGGAGAGAATCCATTTCCTTGCCTTTTCGAGCTACTAAAAGCCACCCATGTCTCTTGGGTCATGGTCCCTCTCTCCATCTTCAAACCCAGCAGGAGTAGCATCTCTCTCTCTCTGACCCTTCTGCTTCCCTCTTATAAGAACACTTATCATTACCTTGGGCCCACCAGCTGATCCAGGATAATCTTCCCATCTGAAGATTCTTAACTGCAAAGTCCCTTTGCCATATTTATAGGTTCCAGGGATTGAGACGTGGGCATCTTTGGGAGGGAAGGTATTATCCTTCCTGCCACACTATGAATTCAACATTCTTTCACTTCAACCTGGCTTTGGCCTTGGGGTTGCAGGCGATCACGAGTGATTCTGCACCCTTCCAGATATTTATTGAACAGTTGCCATGTGCCAAGACCTGTGTTAAGTATGAGACATACCGCGGTGAACAAAGCAGACTAATACCAGGGCGCTCCCTTGGAGTGAGACACGGGTCCTCAGATTTGCCCCCTCAAGCCCATGCCATTAACCCTACTTTAGCATCCCAGTTTGAAAGACCCCCGTGCACCTGTCCCCACTTCCTGCCCTGTGTATGGATAGCATGGACAGCTTTAACCCATCCATCTTGGGGCCATTTTCTTCTACCTGGTGGATTCTAAGGCTGGCTTCTGCAGGTACTTGGAGATGGGAAGTCCTCTCTCTCAGTGCCACTGGTTCTTGCTTGCCCAGGCTCAGAACAGGGAGGTTGAGGCCACTTTGAAAGTCAACCAGAAAGTCATGCTGCACCTAAAGGGTCTGCACCGTGACCAATCTCAGCATGGGGACATCTGGCACAGCCTGGCCCTGGACGCTGCTCACGCCTCCCAGGTACCTGTCCCCGGGTTGGGCGAACACCGGTCTGCAGCCTCCGAGCGGACCTCAGCTGTTGGAGGGAGTAAATGGTACTGTTTCTTTCCAGCTGAGGCTCCCCCAGGCCCTGCGTTTGGATGGGGATGTCATCTTCAGATGGGGTCCCCGGGGAGCATTTGACTGCAGCCTGGACGCAAGGGCCACCATCAACCACAACATCACATCCCAGGTCAGATGGCTCAGCTCCGCCTCCTCGCTGAGGGAGGAGAGGTGTTTGGGTCAGAGGGCAGGTGTCCCTGGGCGGTGGCTGAAGAGGGGTCGGGGTGGCCATGGCAGTGAGCGTGGGAGGACTCAGGATGCATTGGCTGTTGTAATAAAAGCCTGCTTTCCTGTGAAGGTTTACTGCCCAGTCCTGTCACAGTGCAGTGCGGCTCTGTGGCTTTGCTGCCGCATGTACAGGGGGACGGGGACAGTGGGACTCATGCAGGAGGTTTTCTTGGGCCAGCCCCTTAAGGGGGGGCAGGCCACTCCTGCTCACCTTCCACTGGCCAGAACTCATGACATGGCCCTACCCAGCTGCAAGGGAGGCTGGGAAATGTAGTTTTAGCTGTGTGTCCGGGAGGGAAAGAAAATGCAGCTTGGTGACCATGTATAGCAGCTGCTGTAGGTATATATTTGCTCATTCCATACACGGATTGTGTCTCTGCCACATGCCGGGCTGTGCACTATGTACTGGGGATGCCCGAGCGACGGTTTCTGTCTCTGTCTCCATCTCCAGGGAGCTTTCAAGTCCAAATCTTAGCTCCACTGCTGATTGACTGTGTGACCTTGGGTAAATTATTCAACCCCACTGAATATCGGTTTTCTTGCTGTGAAATAGGGATAGTGATACCAGCCTGTGAGAGCAGGAGTGGGGGTTAAATGAGGTGACAGTTTTAAAGCTAGTAGACCAGTGTCCATTTCATGGTCAGGGTCAAATAGAATGCAGCCATGAACACGGGAGGCATGAGCAGGCTCCGTGGCAGGGGACATAGGGGGGGCCAAGGTCCCAGAGTTATCTTCCCAGATCCATGTCTGGGGCCTCACTTCTCAGGCTTCCAAGTAATGCAGCCTGGGTAAGATTGGGGCTAAGAAGCATCACAGAAGGTGGTTTCGGCCTGTGCTCTTGGCTTGGGCTGTGGGCAAACTCTGGGATGACCTGTTCCTCTTCGAGTGCCCAGCCAGCTACCTTCTGGAGTTCTGCATCTCCCTTCTCTGCTCCCCCTGACCCTATCAACAGGTCTCAGTCCAGCTGAACAGATCTGACTCCCACTTGGCGTTCCTCCTCCAGCTCAGACATCCCCACAGACCAAGATTTCCTCCAGACTTACAGGTACAGACGTGGTCCCTCTGGGATGACCTCGAATTGCCTGCCAAGTGCTGTCTCCGAGCGGAGCAGACAGCTTGCTGGGAGATGGGGCGGAAGGAAGGGAGGATGGAGGCCCGGGCGTGGGGCGGGGGAGGCCACACCAGGATGTTGAGCTTAGCCACACAGCCAGCCCAAGAATCAAGAACAGATGGCAGGGAGGTTTCCAAATCCATCATTTGGAAGTGATTGTCCAGGCCAGAAGGAGTTTGAACTCCCTGGAGGTGGGGGGAACGGATAGAAGGATCACAGTTCACCCTGGAAAATGGAGAGAGGCAGAATTGTCCTCTCAACCCTGTTCTGTATTTGGGAGAAGCCGTCTGATCCTTTTTTGACCTCGGAGTGTTTTGCCCGGCGTGGGGTGGAAACACTGAAGGGTTTAACTCTACAAGGAAATAAAGGACAGGAAGGGGGGCCAGGCAGGAGGGCTGTGCTCTGCTGCCCCAGTGCTGGATGCTTAGAAAACCCCACGTGTTAGCTGCTTCACCGAGCAAGCCTCGTGTGCTGTGTACACAGGAATCAGCGGACTGGGGAGATGGAGGTATAGATGGGTAGTCCCACCTGTGATGAGGCTCAGAACTTGACAGCAATTTTTAAATGCTTGCCATGTGCTCAGCCCTTGCTGGTGGCTTCAGGAACTTTAAAGGAGCCTGAGAAGAGCTTTCGATTTTGGAAACTGGTCCTCCTCAGAGGCACCAGCTCTGAAATCAGGATGTGTCTTCAAATTCCCACCGGTTCGTTGTTTTGTTACCAGCTTTTTCGCTCTCATGGCGGTGGGGGGGAGGTCCATAAAATCACGGTGCATCTCAAGGCCCCTGGCATCCCAGATCTGAGGGTGTGCTATCACTCTAATCGATGGTGTTAGGAGTGTTGACCACGTGCCAGGCTCTGTTCGCAACACTTTACGTGGCTCATCTCGTGGATGCCCCATGACACTGCTATGGTAGCCTTCTGCAGATAAGAATCTGACACAGAGAGAGATGACATGACTTGTACATAGTCAGTGAGTGTGTAGGTGGAAGATCCCAGATGGGAGCCTGATGCCCCTGACTGTGCTCATCATGGGGCAGATGTACTGAAAACCTGGATGCTGGGTCATCTCAAGGGCTCAGACTTTATCATCACTTTTTTAAAAAAAGATTGTATTTATATATTTATTTTAGAGAGAGCGAGCGCACAAGCCGAGGGGGTGCGGGGAGAGGCAGAGGGAGAAGCAGGCTTCCCACGGAGCAGGGAGCCCCAAGCGGGGCTTGATCCCAGGACCCCGGGATCATGACTTGAGCCGAAGGCAGACGCTTCACGGACTGAGCCACCCAGACACCCTTATCCTTACTTTTTAAAACAGCAGGACCCTTTGTTCACCTTAGCTCTGTGGGTGAAGTGGGGCTGGGGAGCTCAGCCTTGTCAGCCTCTGCCCCCCTCTTGAAGCTCCCCACAGAGCATCCACTGCAGCAAGTTTTGATACTGTAGCAACTCGCCTGGCAACTATGTATAGTCCTTCCCCTCCTCGCTTGGCCAGCCCAGCCCTCCAAGGAGATCAAGGCCTGTTATCCGGGCATTCTTTGTTATCAAGGAGGTGCACCTGGTTGGCCGCCCCTAGAGCCCCTGACCTTGAACGCCAAACATGTTTTTTTTACATATCCTGCCTGATGGGAATATAGAGGGAGCACAGCATTTGTACATTCCCAGGGAGGGGGAAAGCACCTGTGGGAACGGATGCGTGTTGTCTCCCTAGCCAGATATCAGTGGTCATGAGTACAGTGTGATCACTTCGTTGTGTGGGTATCTACCTGACATCATGACCTATAGCATTTGTGGTCCCATTGTACCTCTCTGTGCACAATGGGGCCACTTGCATAATTTGTACCTGGGACCGTACCAGGCCATCCCAAATAGCATATCCTATTGGCAGAGTCTTATTTATCTGCTCCTGTATCAGTTGGAAAACTTTCTTCTTTGTGTCTTCCCGGGAGGGGGAGCCCATATACCCTGGGAACATGTGTCAGTCCGGAGATGGGCAAAGAGGGGTTTTCCTAAGCGTAGAAGCGTTTCCAAGGGCTGAGATCGGCAGTTTGGATTCGCCAGGCAAGGCCTGCAGTTGTGATTGCGGGGGGTCACGACACACCCAGCAGGCGGTCTTATTCTGTATAGGAGCCAAGGTTAGCCCAATCAGTGAACAGGTTCCCCTGCACAATCTAAGGGGGAGAAGTACGGCTGTTGAGTAGGCACCAGTAAAGGCAAGTCATGATTGTCTAACTGAACGTGTGAGATAACACCACCCCTGGCTGAGGTTATGTTTGCCAACACCAAAGCGTCCCCGCTCTGTTACGCAGTAACAGAGCCCATATAGGATGCAGAGTGGGAATGCTCCCGCCTGCTGTTCCCTTCAGTAATTATATCTCCCCCTGGAGGTAGATCTTGTGTCGGGGGCATTAAAGGTAACCTTGTGTCCCCACCTGCAGCAGAGAACATCCTTCCTGCATGCTGTGTTTGCTCGGATTCTAAGTCAGGTCCGTGAGTGAGGAGGGTATAGTCCTGGGACGGTTGAGACGTACATGGTCATTCAATGTCCGTAGAGCTGTTGACCGGTGGCGTAGATGGGTTTGTCATCACATCTGTTGCCACAGTGGATGCGTGCGCTGCATCAGTCCAGCTGCAGCGGGAGGGGATGGTACAGGAAAATGCCAGTGGGTGTCTTGAGCTTTGGCTCCCTCCTGCACTTCACGTCCTGCAAAGTGGTGGCCTTAGTGGCTGTCAGTGTCAGTGGGCACCCCGCGAGCTGTGCACAGCTGTTCTAGGCCACCGATGGTGGCCTCACTGGGTAGCACGCTTACTGGGGCAAGCTTGCAGGGGTCCTGCATCAGCGTCCACACGCATCCGAGCAGAACGGCAGCCGCCAGAGAGAGGCAAGGGACCCGTGCAGTCGACCTGCCCCTTTGCTACCTGTCCAGTGTCTCTTGGCAAAGGTCACGGTCATTCCCAGCACAGGTTGGGCGTTGTTGGCAGGTGGTTGCGATGTCTTTGTAACACAGTGGTAGACCCCGGTTCTTAGCAGTGGCCCACCAGGACCGTTGTTCTGGATGTCTCATCTTCTCGGCGAGCCAGGTGGCAATGTCTTCTGTTGGCACATCTTCCAGGAGGTGGACGCAGGCCAACTCATTAGCCTGTTGATTTCCGGCTGGGGTGTGTGCCGTGTGTGCATCTACGTGGTAAACGGTGATGTTCGTACCTCTTAGGCATCGGAGTATGTCCTTCCGTATGTCGTTGCCTTAGAGTGCGTGCCCCGTCGCCATGCCATCCTGTGCCTCCTGCTGGAGCCGCCACAGGGTCAGTCCTCCGTCACCTGTCTGTGCACAGAACAGTGGGATCAGGGGGCACCTGGCTGGCCCAGTCAGTAGAGCACATGACTCTTGATCTCTCGGGGTTGTAAGTTCGAGCCCCACGTTGGGTGTAGAGATTACTTAAAAATCGTTAAAGGGGATCCTGGGTGGCTCAGGTTAAGCGTCTGCCTTCGACTCAAGTCACGATCCCAGGGTCATGGGATCAAGTCCCATTTTGGGCTCAGTGGGGAGTCTGCTTCTCCCTCTGCCCCTCCCCCCACCCATGTTCTCTCTCACTCTGTCGCTCTCTTGCAAATTAATACATAAATAAAACCTTTAAAAAATAAAATCATTAAAAAAAAAAAGGCAGCAGGAACAGGCTCACAGAGCCGTATCATCCATGCTGCTCGAGGCTCGGCCCATTGACTACTGTGTCCCCTGCTGGAGCCTCTCCAGAGACTTTCTGTGGAGGGTTGGACCCATCAGGGTACCGCACATGCTCAGGGATTGGTCCGTCTCCTTCCGGCACAGAGGACGGCACCGGCTGGGGCTCCGCTGCCTCTGTTAATGGCTGTCCTTCGGGATGACCTAAGTCCCTGGGCACCGAGTGGAGCGTTCTTCTGCACTAGGGGCTGTTTGTCAAGGTACCGCATTGTTGCAAGTAGGCATGGTCTGGGCACTGTCTGACTCGGGCTTTTGGAGTGTGTCCCTTAGCCCATATAGGATGCAGAGTGGGAATGGTCCCTGGGATCCGCTTAGCCGTGTCTTCTCCTGCTGTAAGGCATGCTATTCTAAAAGGCTGCATTGCATCCGAGCTCCTTTCCATAACCACGACCAGAAACCTGGTGGCACTCACCGGTGCCATTGCTGTTGCCACAAGCCCCATCCAAACCCTGCTCGGCATATCGAACTTGCATGGCTGTCCTTGTCCCAGAACACCCAAGGCTCCATCCAAGTCATTGCAAATGACAAGATTTCATTCTTTTTGATGCGTGAGTCATATTCCATTGTGTATACCTACCACATCTTTTTTTAAAAATTTTTTTAATCAAAACATCGCCTGCAGAAACTGAAGAAAAAAGAGGGGGGGAGGTTTTTAAAATACAGACTGCTGGAAATAATAAGGAAAGCCACACTCTGTCTATAGGATAGGGAGGAGATGCCTAAGAAAGGTTTCAGAATGAGAATACATTTTGGTTAAGGGAAAAGAAAATAATTTTTTCCTGAAATGAGACTGGTTGTTTAGAGAGAGGGAAGCTTAGGACAAAATCTAAATGAAAAAAGAAAGTTGTAGAAGGTTCCAGAAGGAGAATCTTCGGGAAAGAATTTTATGTGTGGTCAGGACTAAGATTGAAGGAGTAAGTTTGAAAAGTATACCGGTATAAGATTAGAATTTGATCTGTCCCTCTGTTAAATTTTTTATTGTTGTGTTAATCACTATACATTACATCATTAGTTTTTAATATAGCGTTCCATGGTTCATTGTTTGTGCATAACACCCAGTGCTCCATGCAGAACGTGCCCTCTTTAATACCCATCACCAGGCTAACCCATCCCCCCACGCCCCTCCCCTCTAGAACCCTCGGTTTGTTTTTCAGAGTCCATTGTCTCTCATGGTTCGTCTCCCCCTCCGATTCCCCCTCCATTCTTCCCCTACCACATCTTCTTTATCCATTCATCAGTTGATGGACATTTGGGCTCTTTCCATAATTTGGCTGTTGTAGATAATGCTGTTATAAACATCGGGGTGCATGTGTCTCTTCGAATTAGTATTTTTTTAAAGATTTATTTATTTATTTGCAAGAGAGAGCATGAGCACAAGCAGCGGGAGCAGCCGGCAGAGGGAGAAGTGGACTCCCCACTGAGCAAGGAGCTCGATGCGGGGCTCAATCCCAGGACCCTGGGATCATGATCTGAGCCAAAGGCAGACGCTTGACCAACTGAGCCACTCAGGCATCCCCAAATTAGTATTTTTGTATCATTTGGGTAAATACCTAGTGGTCAAGTGCCTGGATCTTAATCAGTGGCATCCTGCGCCCTCCTAGCTTTGCGAAACGGGGCATTGAGGTCTCTAACTTACTATCATGCTCTCGTTTCCCTTCCCTGCACAGCATGCACTTTCTCCAACAAGTGCATTAGACTTGCTGGTATTTTCAGGGCGTCCCGTACTCATGCAGTGGTCCACAAGCATCTGACCTATGGGCCACTCCACCCCACACAGAGGTCCCTGGCCAAGTTGGCATTTCCCCCACAGATTTCCCTTTTCCTCTTTCCCTTTTCCAACACCTCTGCACTCAGAGGGTTTTCTCCAGCTTCCTGGCTAGCTCACCAGTTATGCAGCTGATCCCTGGCTGACTCTAAGCCAAGGGTGGGTGATGGCCCAGGGAGACCGAAGAAATGACCTGGAGACAGCAATCAAAACAGAGGTTTCTTGGGGGAACTTACAGGGAGGCCAGGAGCAGCAGACTGGAGAAAACATCCGTTGCTGGGATCTACATGCAGCAAATTTTATAGTGCAGCAACTAGCCCAGGAAATATTCATAGCCTCTCCCTCCTTGCATGACCAGTGCTCCAAGGAGATTAAGACGTGCCATGTGGACGTTCTTTGTTACAAAGGAGATGCTCGAGGTTGGCCACCGCCAGAGCCCATGACCTTGGATGTGGAACATGTTTTTTCTACATATCCTGCTTGATGGGAATATAGAGGGAGCACAGCATCCGTACATTCTCAAGACAGTGATTAACAGGGTCATTCAGGGTGTGCTTGCACAAACCAGCCAGTCAGCACATACCATACACCCCCTCTATGAAATCTTGATTCCGTAGACATCCTGTATTTGTGTGCTGTATGCACATCTGTGATTTGCACACAAGAAGTTTTATTTTTTTTTAATACACCCCCAACAAACCAGGTTTTGCATTTGGGGGCGATATTACCCGTGTGGAGAATGCATGGTCTTTGGGCGTCCTCAGGACCACAGAGGCCAGTCGGAGGAAAACACGGGTGTATCCTAAAAGTTCTCAGCCCAAGCCACATTGGAATCACTTATGGAGGTTTTAGAACATACCTGGACCCTAGCCTGGAGAGGCTGAATTGATTGGTCAGGGGGTCCCAGGCATACTTTAAAAAAATTAATAAACTTAGTATTTCAGAGCAGTTTCAGGTTTCCAGAAAAGTTGCAGAGAAAGTATGGAGAGTTCCCATGTAATGCCCCCACCCCCCGACCCACACTGTGTTCCCTTTTACGAACATCTTACATTAGTGTAGTAGATTCCAACGGGCGAGCTGATATTAATATATTATTATTAACCAAAGTCCATAGTTTACATCCAGGTTCACTCTTGGGGGTGTATAGTTCTGTGGGTTTTGCCAAACGCAGAATATCATATACCCGTATTTACTGTATCACAGAGAAGAGTTTCACTGCCCTAAAAATCCCCCATGTTCCACCTACGGATCCCTTCTACCCTTAACCCCTGGCTACCACTGAACCACTATGTAGCCTTTTCAGGCTGGCTGCTTTCACTTAGTAAGATGCATTTAAGGATTTTTCAAGTCTTTTTTGTGGCTTAAGAACTCATTTCTTTTTATCACTAAATAATGTTCCCTTGTGTGGATGGACCAGTTTATCACCTCCTCTTTGGAGGGATCAGGCGTGCTTTTAAAAGTTTCCCACTTCAATGTACATCCTAGGGCTGGAGCAACTTCTGCCCTATAGATGGGGAAACTGAGGCTCAGATGAGGAAAGGGGCTTCCGGTTCTGCAAAGTTGGTGGAGGAGCAGGCCTCCCTGCTCCACCCCCACCCCTGGGGGCCTGACCAAGCCTGACCCCCAGGATGGCTCCTCCTTGTGCACCGGACACCTTCCCCTTTGAGCCCCAGAGCTTCTGGGGGTCTTCTGGGCCCCAGGGGGGCACTCTTGGGGGCATCCTTTTCTGTAACCGAGTGGCCCAGGGGTCTTCTGCTCCCGCCTGCTGTTCCCTTCAGGCACAAGCATGAGTTTTAGAGCCCATGCAGGCCCATATTAAATATGTGACTCTCTTTGGGCCTCAGTCTCCCAATCTGTAAGATGGAAATTCCCATTTCACACATGCTGGGAAGGACAAGGTAAGACTCTGTCCCTGGGCCAGGAGCCGGGGTCAGGGAAGGCAGTCCCCCACCGTTCCCTCTGCCATCTCTCTTCCTGTGTGCTTGCTGTCTGTGGGGCTTGGTGGTTCTCAAAGCTGGAGAGGCTCTGGAAGGCTTCCTGGAGGAAGGGCCCTCCCACGTAGCTGGTTCCCACAGACCTTTCCAGTCCTCCCTCCACTTCTAAGCCCTCTCCTGCCTCCCCTCAGGTGCAGGTGGCTGCCCAACGATACAAAGACAGCCTCAGCGGCTCCCTGTCTGTGCACACGTCCAACCGGGAGCTGGTTCTGCTGGAGGCTGACACCAGCCAGGACACCCAGAGACGCAGCCGGGGCTGGGACATGAGCGTCCTCCTCCACCAGGCAGTCCTCAGCGCCCCCCAGGCCATTCAGCTGCAGCTGTCCAGCAAGGTGGCCCCAACCAGGTGAGGGCCCCCAAGGGCTGTGCGAGGCAGGGGAAGGGCCTCCAAGGGCAGAGGGCTCGTGTCTTGGGAGATGGGAAATCTTCGTTCAGAGAGGTGCCCTCCTCCATGACTCGGGGACTGGGTCTAAATCACCCCACCTTCGGCCGTTCTTGATTTTAGGCCATTGAGGGAAAGGAAGAAGGAGGCATTCAGTTTTCCCCATCATTCTTTTTTCTTTTCTTTCTTAGTAATGCCTGCATTCATTGTGGATGACTTGAAAGATGACAATAAAGTATAAAGCGTAAAACAAGAGTCTCTAGAGATAGTCATGGGGAGAAAGTTGGTACAGTCTTTTGCCTCGGGCTATATCTTCACATGGAGGTTTATCCACTACGATATGGCCATCAGGGTCCTGGGCCATGGAGCCAGCTGCCCGGGTTCAAACCCCAGCTCAGCCTCTGGGACTTTGGGTCAGCCGCTGTGACTTCCTGTGCCTGAGTCTCTCCCCCTGCTTCTTGGGGTTGTCCTCGGGTTAATGGAGTGGCACACGTGCATGGCCCACCAGGGCCTGGCCAGCAAGGATGTTCACTGCCTAGCTGCCATTGTCACTGGCCCTTGGAGTATGACTCATTCTGGCACAGGTCGGATCTCCCTTGGATGTTAGTGCCCTGTTTCCCGCAGAGCCCCAGCACTGGCAGCTTTTGTGAATTTGAGGAGACCCAAGGCTCTGGGTGTGGTTCTAGATAACCCCGTCCCCAGAATTACCACCTAGAGCTGTCCATCCACGGAGTCATCCATCTGTCTGAATGTCCAGCATTGTCTCCAGTCTTTCAAGGGTTTGAGGCAGATTATAAAAACCTATATTATTCTAGGTCAGGAATTGACAACCTTTCAGGCAACGGGCCAGTTGATAAGTATTTTTGGATCTATGGGCCATACGGTCTCAGTGGCAATGACTCTGCTGTTGTAGCCCAGAGACACCTTAGATGACATGCACATGGATGGGCGTGGCTGTCTCAATAAAACTTTATTTACAAAACAGGTAGTGGGCTGATTTTGGCCTACGGATGCCAAGTTTTGTTCTAGATTTTTCAAAACACATGAGGAAATGAGCGTAAAGGGAAAAGAAAAATGGGGAAAAGAGGAAGGTGCTCAAAGTGGCTTTAGGAAACAAAATGCATGTCATGAGGTCACGAGGTCCCGTACATTTTTTAGAGCTCAGCTTAAAATTTGGCTCTGAGCCTCCTAGTAGTCAATGAAAAAAGAGAAACCGACCAGTGGCGTTTTCAAAGGCCATGGGGAAACACACTCACACCTGTGTGAGTATGCACGAAAGAAGGCATGGCTGATCTTGTTTCTGGTGTTGATCCTCAAGGGAAGTGTCTCCCATGGTGCCCTATGAAGAACATCTGGGTGGATTATAGGGACCATGTCCCCTTCCCCAATTCTCCAGGAAGTTTAATACCAGCCTTGTTGAAGCTCTTTATTTTCTCATTGCTCATCATCATATGATGCATTGATAAGTTATCAGCAATATCCACTCAGTATCAGTGGTTCTATTTTATCCCCCACTTTACAGAAGAAGAAACTAGGGCTCAGAGAGCTTACATCCTTGTCCATGGCCACAGTTAGTGAGTAGCAGCACTGGGGTTCAAACCCAGGTTTGGCTGACCCCAAAGCCCATGATCTTAATCCCTATTACACTGCATCCCCATGGGCTGAGAGCCAGTAAAGCAGTCCTATGATGGGTCTGGACAGTGGGGTTCAGGGACCCACCTCCTGTCTGCGGGGATAAGTTTGTACCTTATCCCCATCACGTTCCTTCCTAGGGTTTGGCTGTTTTATAAGGTGCTGGTGGACCAGAACACAGCACAGCTTCTCCTCAAGGCTTCCATGGAGAAGAGGGGAGGCCAGGTCTTGACCCTGCAGAGCCAAGTCCAGCACACGGTGGCTTGTTGGACAGCTCTGCCCCGCCTCCTGACCCTCAAGGGCATGCTGAAGCAGAAGGAGATGCTCAAAGAGGGTGAGCCTGGGGAACACCACAGGGCAGGGGCAGTGGGGGTCCTGGGCAAGCATTTTCCGTGGAACCGCAGAGTAGATTAAATCCTGCATGTTTTCAAGTCCACTGATAGTTTGTTTCAGTATGTCACACATTCATGATACCTCTTTGTCAGAAACAAATACCCGTTCTGACAGAGTGAATCTTCTAACAAAATACCAAACCAGCTTCCTTATGCAGGACTTGTCAGAGCCCTTAATGTACTAATGGATATTGGAAAAACCCAGGAGGAAGAGTTAGGGGCAGTGTTTCCCAAGCATATTTTTTCTAATACTTTTAATTCTGACATAATTTCAGACTTACAGAAAAGTGGCAAGAATTTTACAAAGAATCCCATAGGCCCAGCCCCATCAATTACTGACATTTTACCACATTGTTTATCATTCTTCTTCCTTATCTCTTTCTCTCTCTATACACATATATGTGTGTATGTACTATTTTTTAAAATAATTTTTTATTGTTATGTTAATCACCATACATTACATCATTAGTTTTTGATGTAGTGTTCCATGATTCATTGTTTGTGCATAACACCCAGTGCTCCACGCAGAACGTGCCCTCTTTAATACCCATCACCAGGCTAACCCATCCCCCCAGCCCCCTCCCCTCTAGAACCCTCAGTTTGTTTTTCAGAGTCCATCGTCTCTCATGGTTCTTCTCCCCCTCCGACGTACTCCCCTTCATTCTTCCCCTCCTGCTATCTTCTTTTTTTTCTCTTAACATATATTGCATTATTTGTTTCAGAGGTACAAATCCGTGATTCATCAGTCTTGTACAATTCACAGCGCTCACCATAGCACATACCCTCCCCAATGTCTATCACCCAGCCACCCAATCCCTCCCACCCCCAACCACTCCAGCAACCCTCAGTTTGTTTCCTGAGATTAAGAATTCCTCATATCAGTGAGGTCATATGATACATGTCTTTCTCTGATTGACTTATTTCACTCAGCATAACACCCTCCAGTTCCATCCACGTCTTTGCGAATGGCAAGATCTCATTCCTTTTGATGGCTGCATAATATTCCATTGTGTATATATACCACCTCCTCTTTATCCATTCATCTGTCGATGGACATCTTGGCTCTTTCCACAGTTTGGCTATTGTGGACATTGCTGCTATAAACATTGGGGTGCACGTACCCCTTCGGATACCTACATTTGTATCTTTGGGGTAAATACCCAGTAGTGCAATTGCTGGATCGTGTGGTAGCTCTATTTTCAACTGTTTGACGAACCTCCATACTGTTTTCCAGAGTGGTTGCACCAGCTTGCATTCCCACCAACAGTGTAGGAGGGTTCCCCTTTCTCCGCATCCCCGCCAACATCTGTCGTTTCCTGACTTGTTAATTTTAGCCATTCTGACGGGTGTGAGGTGGTATCTCATTGAGGTTTTGATTTGGATTTCCCTGATGCCGAGCGATGTTGAGCACTTTTTCATGTGTCTGTTGGCCATTTGGATGTCTTCTTTGGAAAAATGTCTGTTCATGTCTTCTGCCCATTTCTTGATTGGATTATTTGTTCTTTGAGTGTTGAGTTTGATAAGTTCTTTATAGATTTTGGATACTAGCCCTTTATCTGATATGTCATTTGCAAATATTTTCTCCCATTCTGTCGGTTGTCTTTTGGTTTTGTGGACTGTTTCTTTTGCTGTGCAAAAGCTTTTTATCTTGATGAAATCCCAATAGTTCATTTTTGCCCTGGCTTCCCTTGCCTTTGGTGATGTTTCTAGGAAGACGTTGCTGCGGCTGAGGTCGAAGAGGTTGCTGCCTGTGTTCTCCTTTAGGATGTTGATAGACTCCTGTCTCACGTTTAGGTCTTACAACCATTTGGAACCTATTTTTGTGTGTGGTGTAAGGAAATGGTCCAGTTTCATTCTTCTGCATGTGGCTGTCCAATTTTCCCAACACCATTTGTTGAAGAGACTGTCTTTTTGCCATTGGACATTCTTTCCTGCTTTGTCAAAGATGAGTTGACCATAGAGTTGAGAGTCCATTTCTGGGCTCTCGATTCTGTTCCATTGATCTATGTGTCTGTTTTTGTGCCAGTACCATACTGTCTTGATGATGACAGCTTTGTAATAGAGCTAGAAGTCCAGAATTGTGATGCCGCCAGCTTTGCTTTTCTTTTTCAGTATTCCTCTGGCTATTCGAGGTCTCTTCTGGTTCCATACAAATTTTAGGATTATTTGTTCCTCTCTCTAGTTGTCTCTTTCCAATTTCTTTGATTCCAGCTCTTATCTCTGTTATTTCCTTTCTTACCCTTAATTTGGATTTACTCTAGTTTATTAAGGTGGACCTTCAAGCCGTTGATTTTTAGACCTTTTCTCTCTCTTAATATAAGCATATAAAACTGTATATTTGCCTCTCAGTGTTCTGTGAACTGCTTCCCACAAATTTTGATGTCATGTTATTTCCATTTATTTTGAAATATTTTTGGATTTCTCTTGTGATTTCTTCTTTGACCCATGGGTTATTTAGGAGTATATTGCTTAATTTCCAAATATTTGAAAATTTCCTAGATAGCTTCTTGATATTTATTTTCATTGTGGTCAGAAGGTCAGTCTTTTAAAATTTGTTGTGACTTGTTTTACAAGCCAGTATATAGTCTATCTGTGAACATACCTTATGCACTGAAAAAGAATTTGTGTTCTGCTGTTGTTGGGTGTAATGTTCTATAAAGGTCGGTTAGGTCAAGTGTTTGGTTGTGCTGTCCTGATATATATCCTTAGTGATTTTCTTTTTGTCTTGTAATTGTAGTAGTTAATGAGAGAGGGGTATTAACCTCTCCACCTGTGATTGTGGATGTCTCTATTTCTTCCTTTTATTCTGTCCATTTTTGCTTCATGTATGTTGACAAGCTGGTATTAGGTATATGAGCATTTATGATTTTTACACTTTCTTGATGAATCAACCCATTTATTGTGAAATGTGCTGTGTCTTATATGACTCTTTGGAGTCTGTTTTGTCTGATATTAATGTAGCTGCTCTTGCTTTTTTTAAGATTTTATTTATTTGACAGAGAGAGACACAGTGAGAGAGGGAACACAAGCAGGGGGAGTGGGAGAGGGAGAAGCAGCCTTCCCGCTGAGCAAGGAGCCCGATGCGGGGCTCAGTCCCAGGACCCTGGGACCACGACCTGAGCCAAAGGCAGACGCTTAACGACTGAGCCATCCAGGCGCCCCTGCTCTTGCTTTTTTATTGGCATTTACACTGTGTGTATTTTGCCACCTTTTTTCTTTAAACATATGTTTCTTTATATTTAAATTTCTTGTAGACCACATATAGTTGGATTTTGCTTTTATGTCTAGTCTGACAATCTCTGCCTTTTAATTATACTAGTTGATTGATGTTTAATGTAATTATAGATATAATTGGATTTACATCTATTTTTCTATTTTCTGTTTTCCCATATATTTTTTGTTCCTCTAGTCTTCTTTTCTTGCTTGCTTTTGGATCAATTAAAAAATTAGAACTCAGTTTTAATTTATCTATTGCTCCTTAAGCTTCTGTTCCTTGATATCATTTAATGTTCTACGTAGCATTTGTATTGAAGCATTTCACATTAATTGTAAGAACCTAGATTTTCATCCCCCATCCTTTCTGCTATAGTTGCCCTCTGTTTTAGATCTGTATACACTATAAACCTCCAATACAATATAATAATTTTTGCTTTAGTCATATTGATTTGAAAACAGTTAAGAGGAATAAAGTGGTCTTTTATATTTTTACATAGATATTCATCATTTTTGATGTTCTTCCTTCTTTCCTAAAGATCAAAACTTTTTTCTGGTATCATTTCCTGTCATTTTAAAGAACCACCTTTAGCATTTCTTGGCAGGCAGGCTAACTATCAGTGAATCCCCTTCATTTTGATTTGTCTGAAAATGTTATGTTTGCCTTCACTCTCAAAGGGTATTTTGTATGTGCATATATCTTAACACATTTAGAAAATTTTCACTTTGGGAAAATTATTTCTTGAGATATTTTTTCTGTCCCATTTTCTCTTTCCTCTCCCCCTTGGGATTTCCAGTTGATAAGTTTTAGAACTTTTGATACTGTTCCACAGGTCTCTGAAGTTCCCTTGATGTTTTTTTGTCTTTTTCTTTCTTCAAAAGTCTATTGATTTGTCTTCCAGCTCACTTACTTTTTCTTCTGTCTTCTCCAAATACCACCCAATAAAAATTTTTGGACTGTTCAATACATTTTTTTTTAAATCTCAGATTTTGTATTTTTTGTTCTAGAATCTCCATCAGGGTTTTTCTTTTTTTTTTTAACTTTATTTAAATTCAGTTAATTCACATATAGTATATTATTAGTTTCAGAGGTAGAGTTCAGTGATTCATCAGTCTTATATAACACCCAGTGCCCTCCTTAATGTCCATCACCCACATCCCGCATTCCTTCAGCAACCCTCAGTTTGTTTCCTATGATTAAGAGTCTCTAATGGTTTGTTTCCCTCTCTGATTTCATCTTGTTTTATTTTTCCCTCCCTTCCCCTATGCTTCTCTGTTTTGTTTCTTAAATTCCACATATCAGTGCAATCATATAATAATTGTCTTTCTCTGACTGACTTGTTTCACTTAGCATAATATCCTCTGGTTCCATCTCTTTCATTGCAAATGGCAAGATTTCATTTTTTTGATGGATGAGTAATATTCCATTGTGTGTGTGTGTGTGTGTGTGTGTGTATACATACATATATATATATATATACCACATCTTCTTTATCCATTCATCTGTTGATGGACTTTGGGGCTCTTTCCATAGTTTGCCTATTGTGGACATTGCTGCTATAAACATTGGGGTGCACGTACCCTTACAGGTCACTACATTTGTATCTTTGGGGTAAATACCTAGTAGTGCAATTTCTGGGCCATAGGGTAGCTCTATTTTTAACTTTTTGAGGAATCTCCATACTGTATTCCAGAGTGACTGCACCAGCTTGCGTTCCCACCAACAGTGTAAGAGGTTTCCTCATTCTCTGCATCCTCGCCAACATCTGTTGTTTCCTGACTCGTTAATTTTAGCCATTCTGACAGGTGTGAGGTGATATCTCATTGTGGTTTTGATTTGTATTTCCCTGACGCTGAGTACCATCAGGGTTTTTCAAAAATGATTTCCATTTTAGGACGGGATTTCCTATCTGTTCATTCAATACAAGAATATTTTCCTTATGTTCTTGAGCATAGTTATAAGAACTGTTGTAAAATCCTTGTCTGCTAAAATCCTTGCCCTGTTTCTTTGTATGTCTAGGAATTTGAGATTGTATTCTGGACATTTTGAATAATGTAGAGACTCTGAATTATTTTTTATTTCTCTAAACAGTGTTTCTGTTTGTTTGCTGTTTTTTTTTTTTTTTCCCTTATTTTGGCTGGCAGCTAGGCTCAGAGTCCAAACTCTCTCTTCTCTGGGAGGATGCAGCTGAAATCAGTTCAGTTCTGTTATTTTTGCTGGACTGCTTGGAGTCTGTTCCACTCTTGTGAAGTTCAGGGATCAGCAAAAATTTGAACAGAGTTTATAAGTAGAATTTAGGGTTTCCCCTGGGTGTCTTTCTCCAGAATTCCCCACTTTACTTTCCATTTGTTGTTGTTACTTTGAACTCTGTTCTCAGACTCTTGAATCAGTTAGACTGCAGATTGCTGTCCGAATGTTGTCCACCTTCATGGCACCAAAAAAGAGTAAACACATGCAAATCATTTAGCTCTGGTCATTTCCTCCCAGTGTTAACTCCATTCCAGGTCTGCCTATTTGTGGTCACTCTCCTGTCACTGCAGATAGCTGTTTATTAATTTTGCCTAGAGTTTACAGTTACCATCTTGGGAGCATTCGTCCAGTTAAGCTCCCCCACCATTAACAGAAATGGAACTCTTCCCATGTCTTTTTGACATGTTTCTATATTCTCTGACCACTTCCTTCCTTTATGACCAAAAAGATGTTTCAGTCTCATTTCATATTTTCTGTGACATGAAATAATCCATTTCTCAAGGATCCTTGGTTCCTTTCAGTGCAAAATAGTATGTAGAAACTAAGATCTGGGTGCTAGGTATGTTTATTCCTACTGCACTATCAGTCCCGGGCCTTCTCAATGGATGGATCTAGAAAATGGAAGCTTACACACACCCCCCCACACACACACATTTCTATATCTGTCTACCGATAGATAAGTTTAAAACCATTAGTTCACACAGATGTCAATTTCAGTCTATCCTCAAAAAGCTCATTCTCACTGTTTTCCATTTTCATATTTTTTATTCCCTTCTCCAACAGAAAGAAACCTGACTCCGATTATCCATAACATGTTTACTTATTTGTTCAGCCCAAGAATATATAGAAAGTAGTTTCAGAGTTACTAACCTATACCTGTATGAAAGTAAACTTTATTAACTAGAATTCAATATTTGATTAGGGTTCCTTTTGTCTTTGGCCTGAATGTAATGTGGTTGAGATTCATCCAAGTAGTTGTTGAAGGCATAAATCTAAACACTGTGTTCAAAAGTTCGTTAGGATTAATCCCCCTACCCACTCCCATGTGATTCTGTTAATCATGTGAAGTACAGTTGGGTTCAATGGTTTCTGTTTGTATTCCATTTTTAGGTTTTCCCCTATCCTTACTGATTTTATGTATTTGTTTTTTGATTATGTGAAACATTAACAATGTTCCCAAAGCCAGGATTACACAAAAAGGGACCCTTTGCGCATGCATCCTTGACCCCAGCACCCTAGCTGGACATCTGTCCAGGGCCCAGTGTTTCAGAACCTAAAGACTCTGCTCTTCCCCCAAGAGGTGGGTGCCATTCTCTGGTCTGGTAGTAACATTAGCACCAACCCTCCTACTCCCAAATTGGCTAAAATGTGCCCAAACCAAATTTCATGATAAAATAACAAAGGTTTGAAAAAATTAAACCTGGGGCGCCTGGGTGGCTCAGATGGTTAAGCATCTGCCTTTGGCTCAGGTCATTATCCCGGGGTTGTGGGATCAAGCCCCACGAGCAGGGAGCCTGCTTTTCCCTCTCCCTCTGCCTGCCACTACCCCCTGCTGTACTCTCTTTCTCTCTGTCAAAAAAAAAAAAAAAAAAACTCTAAAAAAAAAAAAATTTAAGCCCATTCAAATAAAAAAATGTCACAGAAAACTCTTTTTGTCAACTTTACTTTGAGGTATACTGATGGTCTCTCTTTCATCCTTTAACACTTAACACATATTACTTCATTTTTGAAGGCAATGATTGAGGTATCATTTCTTGGAGTGTAACTTACATACAGGAAAAAGCCCTTTACGTTCTGATAAACTCATAACAGTTGTGTAGCTACCAACACGGTCCTGATAACAGTTCCATCTGTATCATCTCCCCCTAGAGTCTCTTCTTGCCACCCATTGTAGTCAGTCTCTCTCCCACCCTCATCCCTGGCAACCACTGAGCTGTTGTCCATCCCCATAGTTTTGGCTTTTCTATAACGTGACATCAATGGGAACATACGGTATGTAAACTTTTGAGTGTGGTATCTTTTGCCCAACATAATGTGGTCGACACGCCTCCAAGTTGTGACACATATCCAGAGTTTATTCCTTTTTATTGCTGAGTAGTATTCCGTGGTGTGGAGATACTGCAAATTATCCATTCACGGTTGAAGGACATTTGGGTGGTTTTCAGTATTTTTCAGTTAGGAATAAAGCTGCTATGATGATTGGCCTACAGGTTTTTGTGGGACTGTATGGTTTCATTTCTCTTGAGTAAATACCTAGGAGCGGGATTGCGGGATTGTACAGCAAATATATGTTGAAATCTATAGGAAACTGCCAGATTATTTCCAGAGGGGCTGTACCATTTCACATTCCCGCCAGTGTGGTGAGAATCCTTGTCGCACTGCATCCTTGTTAGCAATTGGTGTTTTCGATTTTTGATTTCGGGGTTTTCAGTTGTGATTTAAAATTGAATCCCATTTTGGTTTAAATTTGTGTTTTCCTCAGGACTAATTATGTTGAACACCTTTTCAAAGGCTTATATGCCACTTTTAAATTTTCGTGAGCAAAGTGTCTCTTCAAACATTTCCCCACTTAAAAAATTGAGTTGTTTTCTTGAATTCCCAGACTGAATTTGGGAATTATTTATACAAGTCCTGTGTAAGATGTATGTTTTGAAAATACCTTCTCCCAGTCTGTGGCTTTATATTCTTTCACTGGAGTCTTTTGGACAGCGGAGGTTTGAAATTTTGATCAAGTTCAATTGATTATTTTTTTAGTGAATAATGCTTTTGCCATCATATAAGACATCTCTACTAAATCTGAGGCCACATCTTGGAAGTTTTATGGTTTTAGGTTTTTAAATTGGGCTTGTGGTTAATTTTGAATTAATTTGGGTGTATGATCGGGTAAAGATCAAGTTCATTTTTTTACTTGTGGATTTTCAATCATTTCAGCACATTTGTTACAAAGACCATCCTTTCTTTGCTGAATTATCTTTGTACCTTTGTCAAATATCAACCAACCATGTGTGTGGGTCTATTCCTGGACTCTATGTTGTCCCATCCAACAATATTTCATTTTCACTTCTTTTCTAAAAAAAAATATTTATTTATTTGACAGAGAGAGACACAGTGAGAGAGGGAACACAAGCAGGGGGAGTGGGAGAGGGAGAAACAGGCTTCCCGTGGAGCAGGGAGCCCGATATGGGGCTCGATCCCAGGACCTTGGGATCATGACCTGAGCCAAAGGCAGACACCCCATCACTTTTGCTTCTTAATAGTCTAGTGAAATCTTACTCTGGTTATCCATGACTGACTGGTTAGTATCTTAGAGGATATGGTGACATAGGGCCCTACAATGTAAGGAATTTGTAAAAAGATGATCTTAAGATTCTGCGAGAAACTCTGTCGGTGTGGAAAGTGCTCTGTACTTTGTGATTGAGATTTGCATGAGTTCTTTGTCTGGAAGCACAGAACAAGGGGGTTTAAAGCAGCCCAGGGGTGCACAAGGGCCTCCTTCATGAAGGTGGTAACCCATGAGTCCAACTTTGTATGATAGGAGGGGAGGTATAAGGGCAGTTGGACCACACCGAGGCTCTGAAAGAAGCTGGTCGGGGCAGGAGATTGAAATGGTTCTGATAAGAGCAAGAATTTCCCTATTGCATGAGTTACATATGGGCATGGATTCGCCCAAATGTGTAGAATCTTCTTCTTCTCTGGATGGATGAGACCTCTGAGCAATTTTTCTGTCCCTAGAATTACGGGTTGGATCCCTCAAGTCTTCCTGGGTCTCAGTTTTGTTATCTGTATAACGGGGCCATTCTATCACTATGGTCTGTGACTCTCTTGAGCAGGAATTGAGCACCGGTATTAACGGACATCTCTTGTTAGGCATGCTGCTTCCCCCCCTGCCCCCTCCAAGCCCTTTTGTTTGTGAATTAGCTTTCAGTCCTCAGAGCATCCCGGAAGGGAGCTGGTTTAATTTGGTCCATTTCCCAGATGTGCCCCACCCCCTGACAAGAGTTAGAATTACATCATGCATCTAGGAGCTTCCTACCCCAGGATCCTTTTCCCTCCTGCCCAGAGCAAGCCTGTCCCCTGGGCTGGCCCCCTGCTCTGGACGCCTTCTCTGCCATCCTCTGCAGGAACCGTCAGGATCACTGCTGACTCAGCTGTGCTGGGCTTCCTCCTGCGGGACAAGCATGAGAGGGCAGGGAACAGCACCAGCGTGCACAGTGTGACGGGCATCCTCCCCCAGAAGAGCAGCCAGGCCTTGCCAAGAGAGCTTTTGCTGAGAGGGCGACTGCAGGCCCGGCCGGGGAGCCTCGGGGGCCAGGCCCGCCTCCGAGCCCACTTGGCAAGCCTGGCTCTGGGCGGGGTCTGCACCTGGGGCCCTGGGCGTGCCCAGCTCTCAGGCAGCCTGAGCCACAACATCAGCACCTTGAGCGAGGCAGGTAGGAGGGGCAAACAGGGCTGCATGCCTTCCTCCCCAAGGGCTCTCAGTTCCTGAAGCCAAGGGAGCGGGGAGAGAGAGGAGCCTCCCAGCCCCCAGATCCACCTTCCAGCTCTGTTTCCTTCCCCTGCTGGCGTCTGTTATTCATCCAGAACACACAATACAGAGATAGTCGTACCGTAGTTCCTGAGTATTGACATGCTTCCAAACCCAGTGGCAGAGAGCCCCTGCTGCCACCCCCTCCCCCAGGGCCCCCCACCACAGCATCTCCCCTCCAACTTACTTCTCAGTCTTGGAAGCTGGTCTAGTGGGGCCTCCAGGATATGCTCCTGCTCACAGATAGGAAACAGGACATCCCCAGCTTCTTGGGGACATTTCAGTAAGGCCTGGCGGGGCCCAAAGGAGCAGCAGCTAGGGGAGAGCGAAAGATAAGACCCCCCCCCCCCGCCCCATTCCCCTCCTGCTCCGTGAGAGCCAGTCCCTGTCCCTGGGGAGCTTAGAAATGCGAAGGGAACACCTGACCTTCTCACTCGTTGAGTGTGGTACCCGGCGAAATCATCGCTGCTGAGGATCGGAAATGGTTTCATGTTGACCCTTTCATGTGCTTTGCTCAGGTATATTGGGGGAAGTGGGACCTGAGAGGCTGGAGTTTGCCTCGAGGCCTGCAGACCCTGCAGAGAGAAGGTGGGCTCACAGCTGCCCACCCTCTGCCGGCTTAGGGCTCCCGTGGAGTGCAGACTGGGCTCAGCCATCTCCGTGGTTCCCTTTGCCCCCAGGACTCCCCTCGGAGGCAGAGATGCTCTTGTCACACACCCACGGGGCTTCCAACCTCTCGGCGAGCCTGGCACTGCGGAGTGAGTGGGGTCAGCTGGACGCTGCCCTCGGCCTGGACGACCCGGCCCCCGGCGCCCCGGGCAGCAGGCTCCACGCCAGCCTGGCCCACACGATGCCCAGCCTCGGGCGCTGGGGCCTCCCCTTCTCCGTGGACGGCCAAGGTCACTTCCAGGTACGGGCGTGGGTGGGGGGCTGGGCACGGGGCCCCGGGGCGGGGCGGGGGGGGAGTAGCGGGTCCGAGGGACACCCACAGCTTCGCTTCTGCCCAGAGCACGGGACACCGCGTGGCGGCCGGGCTGACGGCGAGCGTGGACAGCGAGCAGCTCCGCGTGGCCCTGGAGGCGAGGCGACAGCGCGGCCACCACGGGCTAGCCCTGGAGCTGCACCACGGCCTCTCGGCACTGCTGGGCACCGTGCCCGCGCGGCTCAGGGTGAGTGACCCACCCCGTGAGTGCACCCCAGCTGCCTCTGTCTCTCCAACTTCGCGGGAGGGGGTCACCCCACCCAGCGGCTCCTGCTACTGCGCCCCTGCCCCCCGGCCCCTCCCACCCGGCTTGACCCCTCCCCCCAGCCTGGCCCCTCCCCTGCCGCGTTGGCCCCGCCCCTGAGCCCCCATCTTCCCACTCTCCCTTCCGTCCCCGTCCCTTCTGTCCTTGCCACCCCGCCGGTATCTTGTCCTCTTCTGTCCACTTGTCTTCTCCACTGTCCTGTCAGCTCAGCCCCGCATCTAGTAAAGTTACAACTGCCCACACCCTGGCCCTCCGCTCGTCCTCTGGGTACCTCCCCTGGAGGAACTTCCAACACTGCAGAAGGAGCGGCGGGCGCAGATGACTCTGGCGTTAGCCTCAGGAATGAAAAGCGGGAAGCCCCCTGGGTGCTGGCGCTCGGCCGGCCACACCATCCGCAGGGTGTGGGAGGTGGGGCGAGCGATTCGGGCACCCCGCGCTGCAGCCACGCTCCGTTCTCACTGACCGGTTGCGTGACTTTGGGCAAGGTGCTTCCTCTTCCTGTGCTTCCGTGTCCTAATCAGCAAAAAGCGACTGCTAACAGTTCCTAGAACCAGTTAGAACCTGGCACACGCAGGCCCCCTGAGGACATGAGCTCTGGTTCCCTCGGTTTGATGAGGGTGCTGTGGGTTAGCGCTCGGGCTTCTGGACTTCTCTTTGGGGGGTTATCTTCCCCGGGGAGGCTTCCACAAAGGGAGATGGGGTAGAGCCGGATGTGTGTGCTCCATCTGGGCTCTAGGCTGGGGGAGGAGGCCTGCCATTGCTATCTTCCCCACAGCGGCCGTCAGCATGTCCCCCTACCCGCCCTGCTGGTCTCCGCAGGTCAGCTGTGCTGGAGACGCCTGGCCTGCCCAGCTGTCAGGGCTCTGCTGGGGGGACTTCGCCAGGCAGCCTCTCGAGGTACATGGGTCTCTGTCATAGGCGGGACAGTGGAGGCAGATGGTGGTCCAGCGTAGGTAGCTCCAAGCTCTCCTGGGGGTTGCTAGAAAGAGTAACTGGAGAAGGGTTGGGAGCGGTGAATGGATAGCCCTTCCCTCAGACAGCTGTGGTCTGGGATTCTGGGAAAGAGCTAGAAATCAAGGCATTCCTCAGTTCTAGAGCAGCTCAGCAACATCAGGCCTATGGGGAGGGGGACATCAGGGACCCTGAAATGCTCTGAGAGGACACGTGACTTGTGGCCATTTTCAGCTCTTCAGAGAGAAGCACATGCGCGGGACTAGACCTTGTTCACTGGGTTTGTGGGTGGCCCAGCGGTTGGGGGTTCCCTTGACCACCCAGGCCAGGTAGAGGGCGAACCACTACTTGGTGGGGTGTTGTAGGGACACCTGCTTGGCCTCACTGTGCCTTTCCCCGGGGGCAGAATCTGGCTGTGTTGTCCTTGAATGGCTCCCTCCTGGTCCACACCTGCACGGCCAGCCTGGCAGCTCAGGTATCTTCTGGGGACACGTTCGCACGGGCCCACATCCACACAGCCCGCGGCCACCGCCATACCCATCTGGATGCCAGCCTCCAGCATGCATGGCCTCCCCTTCAGGCTCTGGGGGTTGCCCCCGACAACCACATCCAGCTGTCTGTGGGGGGACACGAACCCCCCAGGGCCGGGCTGGAGGTGGCCCTGGGCCAGTGTACCCTGACCGCTCGTGGGGATATCGGTGCTGAGGCCAACACCACTCACACCAACTGGACCCTGTCCCTGGTGAATCGCTGTCCTCTGCTGGAGGTAAGCCCCCACCCCACCCAGAAGTGCAGGGGCCTGGCAGGGCTCCCGCCCCCCTCCATATTATTAACTTCTTACTGTATACCCAGATCTGCACTCAGCATGAGAAACTTCCATCCTGACTTTGGGGGATGCATCGACTACAAAGCTTTGAGCCAAAAATGGAACCCGACCTTAATTTTCTCCCTTTTCACAAAGGGGCACCCTGGTTGTCTTCCTTTCTGGGGCTCAAGTTGATTCTTTTCTCCTGATCTTGCTAATAATCCTGCCCCTAGGATTCAGGGTCTGGGAGTAATCAGGAGAACATTAAGAAGTAACAGCTGACTTTTGTGAGCACTGTGTGCTGAGGCTTCTCAGACATGCTGCCCAAATCCTCACCCCTGCCAGGAAGGGGCTGCTTGTGTCCTTAGTCCCAGGGTCTGGGGCCCAGAGAAGCTGGGAGATCAGAGCGGAATTAACCCCGTCACTCCCCTCTCGTTCCCATCTTGGGTCGGTGCTTCCATGCGGGGCATGTCGTCAGCCCCTGTGGGACAAGTTACTTAGGCTCTCTGCCCTCCAGCCAACGATCATTGATATCGATGCTGAATTTCCAGTAGCCGGTGCTTTCTGGGTGCCTGGCTCTGGCCAGCAAGTCCCAAGTATTAGCTCATTGACATCTCCCAGTGACAGGTTGCTATGATAACCCCCATTTCCCAGATGGGTAAACTGAGGTTGCAGGTTCAGAAAGACAGAGTCAGTGTTGGAGCCAGAACCGGAGCCCACCATGGTCAATGGGGTACCCAGGGTATCGGCCACTTCGCAGAGGGAGGTGCCAGTGGACTTGAGGCCATAGGGTGACACCACCCTCTTCCCAGCGAGGCCTGTGCCCAGCTCCCCGACCTTGGATCTGAAGCTGCCCTTAAATCCAGCCACTTCTCCATATTCCAGGTGACGGGCATCCCGCAGGCCCTGCACTCCGAGGGCAGCCTGAGCTGGGGCCCCTGCGAGGTCAGTCTGGCCACGGGCCTCCGCAGTGACCATGGGGATGCCCACCTGCAGCTGGCCCGCACCTGTGGGTCCCAGACCTCGGTCATCGGGCGCCTGGGCCACTCCCTGCCCCTGCTGGGCCGCCTGGGCCTGCCACCCAGCAGCGCCATCAGCCTGGCTGTCCGGCCCCGCCCTGCCGCCCGCAGCTCCCTGGCCGTCCAGCTGGGGCCATGCCGGCTGCAGGGGACGCTGGATCACCGCACTGGGAACCAGAGCGCATGGACACTGGCCACCGAGCCCGGCTGCCCCCTGCTGGAGGTGGGTATGGCAGCCAACGGGGCAGCCGGAGGGGCTTCCAGCGCCCCTGCCAGTGTGCGGCTGAGCCTGGCTGGCTCCCTCCTCCAGGCGCTTCCCGAGACCCCAGCCGCTATTTCCCAAATCCTTTCTCCAACCCTTGGTTCCTCTCTAGTCTCGTATTCCCGTTTGGCGGATGGGAAAATTGAGGCCGAGAGAGATAAGGGTCACTCAGCGCTGTGCAACAGAAGGACCACAGACTTGGCATTTATGAATTTGTCTTTTCAGGGAAATTCTGAGGGCAGAAACGCAGTGAGGGGCACTCTCCTCTGCTGAGGGTGGGGACAGGCACGTGTTGGTTATGAAACCACAGCCTGGGCTTTATCTAGGCCAAGAGATGGTCTGAGAAATGTCCTGTGATGTTTGGGGGAGGGGAACCCAAGTCTCAAGAAAGGGGGACACTGAGTCAGACAGGACTGGCATCCTCATCTGAGGGGGACAGCCCACCCTTTCTCTCCCTGTCCTGGGAGACAGCCTGTCCCCTTGTCTCTCCCCTCCTGGTGGAGCTTCCTGGGGGTAGGGACGGGGTCTGGTCCCCTTGGCATCCCCGAGCACTCACAGATGCTCTGTCACTATTAAATCACATGACTGAGCCATGAGAGCGTAAAGCATCATGGGAGGCCCACCGACTCGAACTCTAGGATGAAGGAAAAGTTCTTCCTTTGCATCCAGGGCAGTAGCCAGTAACCACATGTAGCTACTGAGCATGGTGCAACCGAGAAACTGAGTTTCTCCTTTTACTTCCTTTTAATTTAAATGGAAACAGCCCCATGTCATTAGCGACTATCCTATTGGATGGCCTAGATCAGAGGCACAGATGGATCAGGTACAGACCTCAGCTCTGCTGGTACCCCCTGGTACCCTGGGCATTCGCTTTGCCTCTTTGAGCCTCAGTATCCCCATCTGTCACATGGGGACGGTGACTACCCAACTCAGGGCTGGGCACGGGCTGAAGAGAGGTGGTTCCTGCAGAGCACTTAGCATGAGGCTGTGTGGGTACTGAGTTTCTACACTGGATAGTTGTGTTTTGTGTTTACTACTGTTTTGTTGTTATCTGCGTGGGGTGGGGGGAACAAGGGAAGCATAGATTGGGGGGCTGGGGGCTGGAGGGATTAGAGGGTGGCAGATAGAGAATCGGGTTCGCTCCTGACTTGAGACCTCTCTCTCTGATCCCCCTCTGGTCTGGCAGGGCCTGGGCCTCCCAGAAGGGACAGAGCTCAGTGGCTCCCTGAAGACCGAAGGTGGGGAAGCAGAGGTGTCCGGGGCCCTCGCATGGGCTGGCCAGACCGCCTCCCTGACCTTGGCGGCGGCCGTGCACCAGTCCGAGGCCACACTCCGAGTGAAGCTAAGTCACGTGCTGCCGGCACTGCAGACCGTCCCCCCAGAGGCCTTGCTGACCGCCCAGCTTGGGTGGGAGGCCGGGCACCGGCTGGGTCTGGAGCTACAGGTGGGGGCCTGTGAGCTGCAGGGCAGTGGTGAGCTGCACCTGGACCGTGGGCTACAGTGGCAGGTGCTCGCCCAGAGCTCCTGTGAGGCCCTGCAGGTAGGTGGTGCTTCGGTGTGGGGGGAGTGGGCCTCAGGGTCTCCAGGGGGCAGGGCAGGGACCTTCTTTTCGACCACTGGGGAAACAAGGGGGATTGACTGAACCCCAGAGGAAGGGACTCGTCAAATACTTATTGAGCCCACCTGGTGCCCTGGAAATACATTCATGAACCAAGCAGAGGCAAATGCCTGCCTGGGGGAGACATGCAATCCCTGGCATACATCAGCCAAGGGCAGACTCTATTACCTAGTGATAAGGACCACGGGGAGGCAGAAAGTGGGAATGGGGGATGAACGACAGGACAGATACTGCAATTTTTGTAAGTCGGTCAAGATTGGCCCTAAAGACAGGATGACATTTGAGCAGAGACTTGAAGGAGAGGAAGGAGGAGCCGTGTGGAAATCTAGGGAAAGAGTCTTCTAGGCAGGGCCAGTGCAAAGGCCCTGGGGCAGAGCCAGAGAGGCAAGGGCTTTTGCTAGGACCAGGGTCAGCAATCCCTTTCTCTAAAAGTCCAGAGAGCAAATATCTTCAGCTTTGCAGATTGTGCAGCCTCTGTTGTAACTACTCAGCCCTGTGGTTATAGCCATATAAACAATAGATACACAAATGGGTGTGACTGTGTTCCAGTAAAGCTTTATTTATAACAGCAAGTAGTGGGCTGGATGTGGCCCGTGGGCCATCGTTCGCTGACTCCTGTTTTATGAAAAGCACATGAGGTGGGAGGGCACTCAGATTCAGAATCCTTTGTAGAGGCTGAGAGAGAGGACTGGATGGAAGTTTGGGTATGGGGGTTTGAGAGAGGGGGTGGGGGAGCAGGGTGCTCCTTCGGCCAGGTGCTAAGGTGAGGAGCCAAAAGACGCTCTGTGCACCAGCCTTGCTGTCAGTTTTCTGGAGGGTCCCTGTGTGTGTTGGGAGCAGATGTCTGGGTTTGCCCGGGGACGGGGAGAGAGGGGAAGGGGGAGGATTTCCAGCTCCCCTGGTTTCGAGACTCCTGGGCAGGTTGGTTCACAAGACCGGGTTCTCCTGGCTGCCAAAATCGGATCCCTGGGGATTCGGGGAGGGCGGGGAGGCAGGAGGGGGAAGTTCAGCAAATAGCGCAGAGCTACCGACAGGGGGCCCTCGGGCACTTTGAGAACGTGATAAAAGTCACAAACCCTCTCCTAGAAAGACATTCATGCCCCATTGGGTGGACGGTTCAAGGGAGAGGCCATGGGACCCCTGATGCCCACTTTGAACCCTGTCCTGGTCAAGAGCCCTGCTTTCGTGTCTCTTTAAACCCCTCCAGGCCCTGGGGGTCCCGGGCCGAGTCAACAGCTCCGGGACCGTCGCCGTGAACTCTGTGGCTGTGGACGCCTGGGTCCTGGTCACCATCAACAACAGCACACTGCAGGGGCTACTCATCCTCAAGACTACGGAGGTGAGGGCACGGGCGTCGGGGTGCCTGGGGCCGCCAGGGAAGGGGTGCTGAGGCCCGAGGAGAAGCACCGGGCACTCTCCTAGATCCAAAGAGGCCCCGGGAGAGGGGAGCCTCAGGACCTATACGTGGAGGGATGAGGTTTCCGAGAAGAAGCCCCTTGGCCCCCCGCTTTTCTCTTGCTTGTTTGCTTAAAAAAAAAAAGTTTTATCGAAGTGCAACATGAATACTACGAGGAGGGCGCAGAGATGAAAAATGCTCCGCTTGGTGAAATTTTCGCAAACCAAACACCACCTACCTCAAAGCACGGAATGTGACCAGAACCCCAGAAGCCCCCGCTGGCCCCCGTCCGCTCACCAGCCAGGCCCAGGAGTCCCCACGCACGCACGTTCTTGACGGTCACGTCTGTAGGAGCACACAGCGTGTTCCTTTTCCCAGCTCCCTCCTCTTGTTAAACATTAATTAAACACAAGTTAAAATTAATTAAACACAAATAAACATTGTGCAGGGCTCCTGGGGGGCACAGTCGGTTAAGCCTCTGACTCTTGGTTTTGACTCAGGTCGTGATCTCGGGATGGTGAGATGGAGCCTCGCGTCGGGCTCTGCGCTCAGTGTGGAGTCTGCTTAAGACTTTCTCTCCCTCTCCTCCTTCTTCCTCCCCCCAAATAAATAAGTACATCTTAAAAAAACAACCCCTTGTGTTTGTGAGGTTGCATGCCTTGTTGCCAATCGTACCTCATTGCTGTATGGTATTCCACAGTGCGGGTATATTATAAATCATCTGTGCGTTCTACCAATTAGCTTTTGGGTGGTGGCATCCTTTTACTGTACATCTTATGAATTAATCATGTACCTGTTTTTATTTTTTAAAATTTTTATTGTGGTAAAATATAAAATTTACCATCTCGGGACACCTGGGTGGCTCTGTCAGTTAAGCGTCTGCCTTCGGCTCAGGTCATGATCAGGTCCTGGGATCGAGCCCCGCATCCGACTCCTTGCTCCGCGGGAAGCCTGCTTCTCCCTCTCCCACTCCCCCTGCTTGTGCTCTCTCTCTCTCTGACAAATAAATACCTAAAAAAAAAAAAAATTTTTTTTTTTTTAAATTTAGCGTCTTCATTTGTAAGTATAGAGTTCATTAGTCTTCAGAATATTCACAGTCTTGTGCAGCCCTCCCCACCATCCATCTCTGGGACTCTCTTCACATTGCAAAACTGAAACTCTATCCCCATGACACGGTAACTCCCCATTCTCTGCTCCCCCCAGCCCCTGACAACCCCCTTTCTACTTTCTGTCTCTTTGGGTTTGACTACTCAAGGCACCTCCTGCAGGTGAAATCACACAGGATCTGTCATTTTGTGACTGGCTTCTTTCGCTGAGTGTCATGTCCTCAAGGTTCATCCGGGTTGTAACAGGTGTCAGAATGTCCTTCCTTCTTAAGGCTGAGTAATACCATCATCCAGCAGCAGAGGCTCAGGTTGCTTCCTCCCTTTGGTTATTGCGAGTAGTGCTTCTATGAGCATGGTCGTGCAGATATCTTCTCAAGACACTGCTTTCGGTGTTATGAACAAACAATGAATCATGGAACACTGCACCAAAAACTAATGATGTAATATATGGTGATTAACATAACAATAAAAAAATAAAAAAAAAAGACACTGCTTTCAATTCTTAGGGACATAAGTGTCCGGTTTTTGCCTCTTACAAATATCGCTGCCTCAAGCACGCTTGCGTGTGTTTGAGTGAACACGCACCGAGTGGAATCGCTAGATCAGAGGGTGTGTTTAGGTTCAGCTCTGCCTGCTTGATTTCATGTGAACTCGCTGGCCTTCCCAGAGCTCCCTGGGAGAGTCACTAACCATCACTTAAGTGTGCGGAGCAACCTTGCAAGTCATTCTGCACGTCATTCTGTGAGCATCATCTGAATGTCTCGGGAGTTTTTATTTGTCTCGGGGCCAGGTGTTTTTCCTTCCTGCTGCATCCCAACCTGCAAGGCGTGTCCTTCGCAAACATTCTGGGGGTCTTTCCCTGTACCTCGCCGAAGACTTTCTTTCTGAGGTTCTTTTCCTGGGCTCCTCCCCAGTGAATTTTGTGCTTGCCGCTTACTTTCTATCAGGCATCCCAAATGCATTCACTGCATCTGATGGAAATTCTCCTGTTTTTCTACAGTGCAGTGACCAACAGGGACGGGGAGAGAGGAGGCGTGATTTAATTCTGAGCGGTTTATGTTCCCCTCTGTGGGCGAATCTGGCCACCTCCCAGGCACGGAGTTTTTGTTTCTCTTGCTCCTCTGCAGAGCCAGCAGGAGGTGGATATGTTGCTCACACACGGCCCGCCCCAGCCCAGCCCCTCGGGCCTCCCCGCCAGGGTGCTGCTGGAGCTGCCCACCGAGAGCCACGGACCTGGCTACAGACACGCCCTGCGGGTTGGACTGGACGGCAGACAGGTGTGCAGCTCTGCGGGTGGGGCCTCCAGGAGCTGGGGAATCTTGGGGGTTGTAGGGACAGCCCAGCCCAAGGCCCGGCCTCAGTTGTCCACGCCGACAGGTGTCCGAGGAGCTGACGTTCACTCGGCGGCCAGAGCGCATCTCCCTGGACTACACCCTCGAGCACAACATCCCCGTGCTGCGGACACTGTGGGTGGAGGACAAGCTGGGCCTGCAGGTCAGCCTCGGCGAGCGCCAGTGGTAATGGAAATCCATGCATGCCTGCGTTCATTCGTTCATTCAACAAACATTCTTGGAAGTATGGTGGAGTCAAGGGGGTGGTGGAATAAGGTTCAGACTTCCTCGGAGCCTCAGTCTCCTCCTCTGGAAACTGGGGATAACGCTCCTTTCCCTAGCCCAACCACACCCCTGGGATGGTTGCACATTCTCCTTTTCCAGAGCCTCCCTGCAGACCCAGTGCTTGTCCTTGACCCCCTTTTTAGCCTTCTCCACACGCTCTGTCCCTGGACGGGCTGCACCAGCGTCTCACTTGGGTGTCATCCATTCGGTGAAGCTCCCCAATTGCTCCCTCCCCTGGGCCCCAGACCTGCAGATCTGTCTGCTTGTGTATCCCCACTTGGAGGCCTGGTGGGCACCCGGCTTGCCCACCCCCGCCCCCTGCCCCCCCTTTTTCCCCTTCCCCCCCCCCCCCCCCGGCCCCGCCACCCAGCAGCACAGGCAAAACCCTCGGTGTTCTCCTCCATCTGTTTCACTCACACACACCAGAGCCCGCCTTCAGCGATGCTTCTGGTGCACCCTCCCAGATGAACCCGGAGCCCGACCCCTTCTCCCCACCTCCAGCTTTGTCACCTGCTCCAGGCCACCTGAGGTCACACGTGGGGTCCAGTCACCTAGCTGGGCCCCCTCCTTCCACCCCTGCCTCCTTGGGTCTCCACCCAGAGCCCTTCCACATCCATTTGAGTTCCTCAGACACCAGCCTGGCCCCAGAAAGCCTCGTGCAGGGATCTGGTCCTGTGCCCCTCTCTGAGCTCACCCCCCGGGACTCCCCCTTGCTGACTCTCCTCCGGCTCGCTGCCTCCTGTACTCAGACTCGCCAGATGCTTCTTCCCTTCGATGCCCACCGCCCGCTCCTGGCCTCCCCGGGTCTTTGCACACGTGTCCTTCCTCCGGCCTTCCCTGAAGAGACCTGCCCTGGTCCGTGTCACCCCTGCCCTAACCCTCTGTAAAGAAGAGGCCTTTGTTTCTCCTCTGCCGCTCAGAGCACTTCTGGGACCAGACAGATGGGGACCCCCCCCTCCAACCCACCCACAACCAATTTGCTGGCCCCCCCTTCCCTGCACGTGGATGTGTTCAGCCCACCCCAGAGCCGCGGAGCGCCACAGTTGAGGGATTTTCATAGAGGCTTCATCCCATGAGCATGGTGGATCGTTAACTCACTCTGCAGCCCCCTCCTCCCCTCCCTGAGGTTGGGAGCCGGGGCTGAAGGCTCCAATTTCTCACCAGGGCTTGGTCTTTCTGGGGAGCCCCCGAGAGTCACCTCAGTAGAACAAAAGGCGCTTGTCTCGCCCAGGAAATTCTAAAGGATTTAGGAGCTCCATGTAGGATGCTCCTCTCTCCCGCTCACTGGGGAGCTCGCAAGGGTGGGATCTCTGTGTCAGGAACGGGGGTCACAGACCAAGTATGGGCAGGATCTGGGGACAGAGACGTATATAGCTACGCCTGTGTATTTCTTAAAATCTCCCACCCTCCCTGATCGCTTTCTCTTTTCCATCATCTTCCCATCACTGGGCCCACGATGCCTTTTGCCTTGTCCTGGTCTTGTCCCCACCCCCCCACCCCCCCACCCCCCCAGCCCCCCGCCGCCCACTGCAGTGCTGTGGGTCTCTGGGAGCCAGAGCTGGGCCGGTCTGGCTTCCTCTGCACCGGGCGAGCCACCCTCTCCCGCATGTCATTCCAGGCCTCTGTGGATGTTCCCAGCAGCGGCTCCAGCTTTGAGCATTCTGGACGCATCTTGGCAGGGCCCACGTCCCTGAACTACTCCGTGAGCTGTTATCACCGTGCTGGGCACCTGCAGCTTGCTGGCTGGAGTGAGCACAACAGCGTGAGCCTGTTGCAGGCCGGGCTCCCGGGCAAGGCCCGCCTGAACGCCAAGCTGCAGACACACGGTAAGGCGCCCAGGGCACTGCCCCAGGACTGGAGGGCTAGCCCACCCCCCACGCCGGAGCCTGCTCGCCCGTCTCAGGACATCCTTGCCCTTGAAGGCCTGATTCCTGGGGCAGCCTGTATTCCTTGCCTAAGCTCGCCAAAGATGTAGAATCTCTAACAGTCTTGGAGGCCAGGTGTCTGCAGGGCCATGCTCCTGCCGAAGACTCTATGGGGAGAATCCTTCCTTGCCTCTTCCCAGTCCCGGAGGCCCCAGCTGATCCTTGGCTTGTGGCCACATCCCTCTGATCTCTGCCTCTGTGTCTGTCTGTCTTCTCTTCTTATAAGGTCCCCAGTCACTGGATAAGGGCCGTCCCTACTTCAGCAAGGCCGCATCTCAACCTGATCTCTGAGGGAGATCAGGGATCTCCCATCAGGGATCTCTGAGGGAAATGAGGGACCCCATTTCCGAATAAGGTCACATTCATAGGTACTAGCAGTTACAATTTTTAGGGATAAACAGTGTAACCTCTAATGGAGTGGGAAGGTAATGAGAGCCAGCGTTGATGGAGGGCTTACTGCATACGAGGCAAGGTCTCCATCCACAGGAGCTCAGTGAAACTGTTCAGCCATCCATTCACACCAAGGGAAGGTCAAAGCCCGTAGTGGGGCCTCTGAGCCCTCAGGATCTCAGGATCCACACCCTCAGTTCTCTGACCCCATCTTCTAGCCCCTGCTCATTTCACTCCTTGCTAGTCTTCAAACACATCAGGCTGGCTCCTGCCTCAGGACCTTTGCACAGGCTGTTCCCCTATACATGCTTGCCTCAATCCCTCGCCGCCTTCAGGTATTTTTCGAATGTCATCTTCTCAGTGAGGTCTTCCCCTCCCACCCTATTTATTGGTACCCCCACACCCCTTGGGCTCCCCCCATCCCTGTTCCTGGCTTGGTCGCTCTAACACACAATATGACTTTACTTACTCGGTACCTTCATTTCTCATTACCTGTCTTCTGCCCACCCCATACTAGAATGTACACTCCACAAGGACAGGGATGATTTTTGCCTGTTTGTACAGTGGAGTATAGTAGGTATTCAATTAAACATCTGTTGAATGAACTCATGAATATGAGGTACGGGTTAGTAACTGTCCCCATTCTGCAGGGGAGGGATGGAAGCTCAGAGAGGTTGAGCCACTTGTCCCAGGACACACAGCCATTGAAGGATGAGATCAGGACCTGAATCCAGGCAGTATGATTCCAGAGTCACCCTCTGACCCTGGTGTGGAATGCAGAGATCAGGACCTCTGGGGGAATCCCTTGTCACTTGGATCATCTCCTGGCCTCAGACTTTTCCATCCTTGGCCTTCAGACCCCTGAGAGCTGAGTGGGAACCTGGATCAGCCAGGGGGACTGACTTTACAGACTGCTCTGAGGAAGGGCTTATTGGGGACATGATGGGTAAATGATGGGTGGGTAAAGGATGACCCAGTTCCTGGGCCCTGAGAGGTCTGGTGTGGTCACCTGCAGCCAGGGAGATGTCTCACTTCCATACTGCTGCCCATGGTTGGCTGTCCCAACCCCTTGGGGGGCATTTTCTTGGTGTCCTTGACAGTCTGAAACATCCCCAGGCATGGAGACTGGAGGGCCCCCTCAATGTGTGTCCCCTCCTCCTCGGGCCCCACGCACAGCAGGTGCATGTGGTTGAACACCGCCCAGGAAAGGAAGGAGAACATTTCCTGGGATGTGTGTGCCCGATGGGCAGGTGTTCGCAGACGTGTTATCTCTATTCACCTAGGCAGCGTCACTCAAGGTGGGCAGGCTGTGCCCACTTTATTGATGAGGAAATCGAGGCTTAGACCACCACCTGCCCCGTTGGGCCCAGATGGCAGGTGATGGTGCTGGGCCAGGTGTAATGGTCCGGAGCTGTGAGCTCTTCCCCTCCCCCCCCCCCCCAGGGAACCTGGCCTCTGACACAGGCTAGGCTTCACCTCTTTACCCTGGAGAACTGTTTCCTACTGTGGCAGGGGGGATTTAAGTCCAAAAATAAGAAGAACAAATCTCCTAGAATCACCTTTCCCAGAGGGTTTTTACCTGTCCGCCACATGGAGGTGTGGTCCAGCTGGGTGGCAGGGCCCTGGAGGTTCCCCAGTGGGCGGGATGGGTGGCGAACCTCCAGCCTGGGCCAGGTGGGCTCCAGGTCAGTATTATTTGATATCGTTCAGATGTTTGATAAATCTGGAGAGAAGTATTCATTTGTCTGTTTCCTCCCTGCGGTGTGTCCAGAGCTGTGACAAGTGCTGGGAACAGGGCAGGGAACAGACTAAAGGCCCTGCCCTCACGGGGCTGACCGTCCCTGGGGAGGGAGAAGGAAGGGTCGGGAGGTACTTGAGGTGGGCACTCAGAGGTGTCACCTCAGCAGCAACCCTGGGAAGAGGAGGTGGCCAGGGCAGGATCTTCGAGGGGGATGCTGCCTGACCGATGAAGTCCCAGGGGCTCAGAGAAGGGAACACCTTGCCTGGCGTTGATCACACATGCTCAGGGAGGTGAACCGAGTCCCCAGCAGCCTCTGCCCTTCTCTGCCCCTAGAGACCCAGACCCGGGCCAGCGTGGCCCTCCACGGAGGGGATGGTGGTGTCGGCGTGGACGTGGCAGGCCTGGTGTCCTGGCCGACAAATGGCTCCCTGGAGCTGGTGGTGAACGCCAGCCACACGGCCCCTGCTCTCCAGAGGCTGGGCCTGCCCTTGACCAGCCAGGTGAGGAGTGGGTGGGCCCCCCAGGCCAAGCTGGGCTCCCCGCTAATTCCGTCCACTCCATCCAGTTCCCCAGCATGCCGGGACCTACTATGAGCATGACGGACAGATGCTCCCGCGCTGTGACTCTCCAGCACTTTACAGTTTGTAAAGGCTGTTGGTGATGCTAACGGCTATCAGCATTGTTTGCCGAGCCATCTCTGTAGTCCCAGCTGCGGGGTGTCGGCACTGGCCTCCTCCGGCCCGGGTTCCAGCTCCCCGCCCTGCGTGCTCGCCGCCCTCCTGCTCTTCCACTCGGGCCAAAGCCCATCCTTTGTTGGTGGAGCCCCTACTCCGTGCTCAGTGCCGACCTGGGGGCTTTCTGTGCCCTGATTCATTTCCTCCTCCTAACACCCTGCGAGGGGCAGGCGGCCTAGCTCTTAGGAATGCCAGCTCTGGACATCAGATCCCAGCTCTGACTCCTGCGTGCTGTGTGGCCTCGGGCAGATTCCTTAGCCTCTCTGCGCCCTCAGTCTCCTCACAAAATGGGGCTGATAACTGTACCGATAACACGGGGTTTGGGAGGATGGAGAGCATTCACACTGTGAATGCACTCGGGGTGGTGCCTGGTGGAGCAGATGCTTTTTCACTGTCTGTGGGTCACACGTGAGCACACGTGTCACCGGCCCAAGGTCACGTAGCAAGGAGGCAGCAAAAGGGACTCAGGCTGGTACCCGGGCCCTCTCCCACAGTGCCCTCCCACCTCCGAGAAGAGCAATCTGCTGTGGCCCCCTGAATGGGGCCGGGCCCTGGTCACTGTCACTTGGTGCAAGTTCGCCTAGTCAGGACACCTTCTGGAAGCTTCATTCACAACCTCTTGTTTCAGGTTACCAGCACTGCCCTGCCCACACTCCACTCTGCCGTGAGGAGAGGCCATTCCCAGGGGCCCAGTCACCCCTCACGCAGCGAGTCCTTGTCACTGTCCCCACGACCCAGCAGGCCCGTTTCCCGCTCTCCCTGACCTCTAAACCCCCTTTTCCTAGCCTCGGCCCAGTGGTGGGGCGATGTGGGGGAGCTCATTCTTTGCTGATGTCTGGGGTGTGGGTCTGGTGGGGTGCAATCCGCACTGCCGGGAGGGAGCTGCAGAGTGGGGCCTGGGAGGGTCCTCGGGCCCCTCGCACTCCTCACACCTCACAGCCTGCTCCTTCCTCAGCTCGTGTTCCAGAAGCTCTGGGCAGAGGAACAGATGTGCTCTTCCCTACGGCTGACCTGTGATTCTCAAGCCAGCCTGGTCCTCGACATGTGTGGCCAGAGCCAGGCGCTCCGGTGAGGGGTTTTCTGCAGCTCTGGGGGCCCCCTCCCCCCGAGGAGAGAGGGGTGGGTGAGGGAGACATCAGCGGAGCCCCTGCTGTGCACTGACCTCCAACCCCCAGCCCCCTACCCACAGCCCCACTGCACAGATGTGGGAAGGAAGGTGCAGAGAAACAAAGTAACTCGCCCAAGGTGACACAGCTAGTGAAGTAACCTTGACCTTTGGGGACAGGACCTGGACGAGCAGTTCTTGGTCTGGCAAATGAAATGTATCCTAGGCCTCAAATACAAATTAATAAGGGGTACAACCCAGGCCTCAGGCCCTCTCTCTTCTTCCAGCAAAGAGCTGCGGGTCTCCGGCCGGCACCACCTCCCCATCCTCCTGGGCCGCTGCCCCAGCCGAGCCTCAGCCTCAGCCAAGGTAACTGTGCCCGGCGGCCCCTGAGCCCTAACTGGTTCCAGATGCCCCGCCCCTGAGCCCTAACCGGTTCCAGATGCCCCGCCCCTGAGCCCTAACTGGTTCCAGATGCCCCGCCCCCCCGAGGCTGGCGGGGGGCCATGCGGGCCAGGCCCCGCCTCGGAGCGCTCACGCGTCCCCATCCGTGCGCAGGCCCCGCTGGGCTGCCCTCGGAAACCCCTGGCTCGGGCTTTCTCAGACATCCCCAGGCTTACATTCCTGGGCCAGGCCCGCAGCCCCCAACAGGGCCTATGTGACCCCGGGGAGCGGGGGAGGCCGGCCCGCCCAGTGCCTGGCGCCTGGCACCGCCTCACCCGGCCTGGCATGCTCCCAGCAGCCGGATCACATGGCACAGCCCTTTGAGCCGAACCAGCGCTGCCTCCGGGTGCCCCAGCTTCTGCCCACAGCCCAGGGTCTCTGCATGTCTTCCCGCCCTTGTCGGCAAATCCTCTCCCCACCTGGAACCCCCAGACAGCCCCGCGTCATGCATCTGGCCTGCATGTAGCGCTTGGGGGTCCTGGGTTGGGGGTAGACAGCAGGCCCAGGCTGGCTCTGCCCCCCTTCCGCCCGTACCATGACCTGTTTCCCCGTCTGCCCCTCTTCCTCAAAATCAGGAATGCCCAGCCCCCGGCCCAGGGCCCAGCACATAGTAGGTGCTCAGTGAAAGATGTTGACTAACGAATGAGTGACTGTTAGATTTGCCAGCTAGTTGCTTGGTTATCCTACTAGCCACGCAGTTTTGTTAACGGCCCTCCCTGCCCAGGCCTAGACTGCCTCTGTTCACAGAGCACCCACCGTGTGCCAGGCCCTGCCCTAGCACGTCCCCACACGATTCTAGTGTTCCCCAACCTCTGCTACCGACTGCACATTCGGGGGTCTCTTCATTTCCCCCCAGTCTTTATTTTGAATAGGTTCCAACCTATAGAAAAGTTATTTTAGGACAGTGAACATTCCCCAGTTGTTAATAACCTGCCACAACTTTCTCTCCATACTTATGTGTCATATGTATTTCTATATTCACACATGTGCACAGGTACATTTTCTTTATCATTAAGAGATGATATGGACATGTTTCTGGACAACATACCTCTTTACTCCTAAATATTTCAGCGAGGGGCGCCTGGGTGGCTCAGTCGGTTGGGCGACTGCCTTCGGCTCAGGTCATGATCCCAGGGTCCCGGGATCGAGTCCCGCGTCGGGCTCCCTGCTCGGCGGGGAGTCTGCTTCTCCCTCTGACCCTCTCCCCTCTCGTGTTCTCACTCTCATTCTCTCTCTCTCTCTCTCTCTCTCTCTCAAATAAGTGAAATATGTTAAAAAAAAACCAAAAAACAAAAAAACTTCAGTGAGTGTTTCTGATGACAAGGCTATTTTCTTATACAATGTAGCATAATTTCAAAATTCAGGAAATTTAACATGGTGTAGTCATACTGTTATTTAATATATCGTCCATAATAAAATTTCCCAGTTGCCCCAATAATGTTCTTTCAAGCTGAATTTTTTGTTTTTTTTCAGTTTGTTTTAAACCCAGGACACATTCCAGGATCACCCAGAATACTTAGTTGCCCTATATCTTAAGTGACTTAATCTAGAACAGAGGTCTGCAAACTTGTACTCATAAAGAGCCAGATGGTAAATATTTTAGTCTTTAAACCCAATATGATCTCTGTTCTAACTGCTCAGTGCTGCCACTGTAACAAAAAAGCAGCCATAGATAGTATGTAACTAAATGGGCATGGCTGTGTTACAATAAAACTTTATTTACAAAATCAAGTGGTGGGCCGAATTTGGGCTAAAGCAGACCCTTGATTGAGAAATTCTTCTCCCACCCTGTACCTATTTTCCCCCCAATATTTCATTATTAAACTTTTTAGACCCTGGAAAATTAATAAAACAATTTTATAGTGAACATCCACATACCCACTGCCTTGGTTTTCTCACTCCTATTCAACTCCACTTGCTTTATGAGAGCTCTCCGTCCATCTGTATATTTGACGCATTTCAAAGTAAGTTGCAGATGTTGATATGCTTTTCCCTAAGCATCTCACTGTCTTTAACCACCTTTTTAAAAAAAGATTTATTTATTTGAGAGAGAGAGAGAGAGAGAGTGTGTGTGTGTGTGTGTGCACGCGTGCGCACGTGCACATGAGCGCACGTGTGCAGGGAGGAGGGGCAGAGGGAGAGGGAGAATCTCAAGCGGACTTCATGCTGAGCACAGAGCCTGATATGGGGCTTGATCTCACAACTCTGAGATCATGACCTGAGCCAAAATCAAGAGTCACTTAACCGATTCTGCCATCCAGGTGTCCCTGTCCTTCCACCTTTAAGAAGAAGTCATATATTGACAATTTTGAAATGTCCAGGCAATTATTTTGCAAAAATTCTCCATTTGGATTTGTCAGACTCTTTGTTCAAGATTCAGGTTGAACGTTTTGACTGAGGTCAAACTAATCTGCGGAGCTCTTTAAAAATGTCAGTTTCTCCATCCTGTTCCCAGAGGTTCTGTTACAAGCTGTAGTAGATAGAGACCCAGAATCTTTATGCGTAGCTGGTGCCCTAAGTGATTCTGTTACATAGCTAGTCTGGAAGATAGCACATTATTTCATACAATTTTCACATCAACACATCAATAAAGTGTCATCATCCCAATTTATCAGGTTGGAAAGCAGAGACTCAGGTGGTTAAGGTGCTAGCCAGAGGTCATCCATCCCATGTGACAGAGAGCCAAATGGGCATCTGTTTGATGGCCCAACCTGCGCTTTGTTCCTTGCACTAGACTGCCCCCTGCTGTCCACTATGGTAATGCAACTGGAATTCTTGCCTAATGGCCCCAGGCCCTTAGCCGTCTTTGAGTCAGTGTGACAGCATGAAGGAGGGGGGGGGGGGAGGTGGCTGTCATGGGCACACCTGATGGCCTAAATCGAGGCTCAGGACCCTCGTTTCACCAGATTTCAAACCGTCCAGGAACTCGTGGATGTCTGGGGCCAGAGCCTACAGCCTGGAGCCAGGATCTATTGGAATATTCCATCAGAGACCAAAGAGAAAATCTCTCACCTGCTCTTCTTCTGACCCAGCTACAGTACTCGGAGCATGAGGCCGAGAGCATGATTTTCTTGGCGGTGGAGGAGCATCATTTCCACGTGGGCACCAGGCTGGTGACTGCAAAGGCCAGTGTCACCAACATCATCAAGCTGGAACAGACCTTCCCCCAGGTGCATGGAGGGTGGCCAGGGGGAGCTGGGGGTGGGGATGGGGGGGCGGCGGTTCCGGGAGAAAAGGGGGATTTGTGAGGGGCTGTGAAGTGGGTGAAGTGTACTGAAATGGATTCTCAGCTGCTCTCAGTGTCCCTCCCTCCCTCTCTAACCCCCCCCCCACATTATTTGCTGAGCCCCTACTAGGGCCCAGGGCAGGCACCACTTGAGGAGCTGAGGATATTGCCTGGGACAGGACTGAGGGGTCCTTCCTCTCATCTGGTGGGGAGAAAATCATGCAGATAAATAAGAGAACATTCCAGATGGAATGTATCCAGATGGATACATTCTAGAGAGAAAAGAAAATGGGGTCATAGGAGTGGGTGTGTGATTGGGGAGCTCTTTAGGTGGCCAGGAAGGCCTCACAAAAAAGGTGACATCTGAGCTAGCCACGGATGACAAGCAAGCGTTGGCCATTTGAAAATCTGGTGAAAGGGCATTGCAGGCTGAGGGAACATCACGTGCAAAGGGCCTGGGGCAGGAACGAGTTGGCCTGTTTGAGGCATGGCCACTGGGCTAGAGCAGAGCGGGTGAGTTGGAGATCATGGGGGTCCGCTCATAGGGCAGGACAAGCCACAGGGAGGAGTTTGGATTTAGTTCTCTGAAATTGGAAGCCTTTTGAGGACACGATCCGAATGATGATTTCGGATCCCTCCAGCTGCTATATGGGGAGTGACCTACAGGGGGCAGCAGAAACACCAGTGAGGAAGCCCCTGGGCTTAGCAGAGCAAGAAATAATGGTGTCTTGCGTCAAGGTGGGGCAGTAAGACATTCAAGAGTAAATTCCCCCCTCCTCCCAGCAAGTCCCCCTGCAGGGCCCTTGAGCTACCCTCCAATGGGGGCACCCACCTAACGGGGAGAGTCTCCTTCTCCGAGGCTTTGCGCAGGCCGTTCCTTCTGCCTAGAATGCCCTTCCGTGCGTTGCCCACCGACTTCTTTCTCTGTGTTCCTTTGCCTCTTGAGTATCTTTCATGCTACACTTGTCCCCTTGTTCCATCATTTTTTGTCTCCGTGATGTCTCCCCATCCACCAGGGGCCCCTGAAGGGCCACGACCCGTCTTGGTAATCTCTGTATCCCGTCGCTCAGCCCTGGGTCTGGATCCTAATGCCTGCTCAGTACGTGTTTGAGAAACCCTACTCCCGACCACAGCAGCTCCCATGGGGCACTGCCCACAGGTCAGCCCTGGGCAGACACACCCTCGCATTGTCTCAGAGATTGGCGCTGTTCTCCCCGTAGGTATAGTATAGACGTATAGAGGGGGGAGCCTGAGCTCAGAGAAGTTAGGAAACCGTCCTGAGGCCACACAGCTTGGAAGCGGAGCTGAGAGGTGGTGATCTTTTCACAGGGCCACGCCTGTGCCCCACGCCCTCCCTCACACTGGGGAGCCTTTGGCTTTATGACTTGCCGATGTATCTGACAGCCCAGTAAACCATTTGTGCCCCACAGATGTTCCCTGTCTTTCCTCTTCTGAAAGTGCCTCTTCTTTCCTACCCCAAGTGGGAGCCAGGGCCGGGTTCCCCAGTGACCCAGAACTGTCTTTCTCTTCCAGTTCAGCATCCTTCCTAGGGAGCTGGTCCTGCAGACCTTGTACGAGAGAGCCCGTGGGACCCACACCCTGCACCAGACAGTTTTGTGGGATGACCAGGAGGCGGTCCTCAACGGGAGCCTCTCCGAGCCCTTCCCCAGGCCCGCTGGGAACCTCAGCCTCCAGGGTGAGTGTCCGAGGAGAGGTCAGTGGTGGGGGTGGCCTGTGGGCTCAGTGGACCATCTTTGAACAACTGCTTATCCCAGGCGCTGTTCCAGGCCCTGGGGGTCCATCCAGAAGTAAGATGGCTCCAGGTCCCTGCCCTCAGGGGGAGAGGCAGTGAGCAGGGATGTGAACATGAAGAAAATCACATCAGAGTGTTTCTGAGAGTGGGAAGGGTTCAACTGAGGGGTGCGGGGCTCCTTTAGGTGGGGTAGGCGAGGAAGGCGTGTCTGAGGAGGTAACGTCCACGCTGAGCCGTGAACGATGAGAAAGAACTGGCTGCGGCGGGGACCTGAGGAGGGGCATCGCAGGCAAAAACAAAAGCAGGTGCAAAGGCCCTGAGGTGGGACAAGGCTGGGGTGGTAGAACCACAGCAGCGAGGCCACTGTGGCCGGAGTGCCCTGAAGGGGGGTTGAGGAGAGGAGACAGGCGGGAGGGCTGAGGGACCCGGGTCACACAGCATCCCGGTCCCCCAGCCGGGAGTTAGGGCTATCCTGAGTGTGAGAAGACAGGAAGTGCATTAGATGGGGCAACCCCAAGCTGTCCCGGGGGTTTCAGAGCAGAGGCCGACGGTCGGCAGGGGCGGTGAGTGCCGTCCCCCGGCAGCCCCACGGACTGCACCCGTGTCCCCTGAGGCCATCCAGGAAACAGGTGGCCGTGAGAGGGGCTGTGCCATCCCAAGGACTGTCAGTTTCTGTATGGTGAGTCCCCTTTACACAGAGCAGAGGCTGTCCTGCTGTCTGCCACGTGGGAGACACAGTGCAGACCCCGCTCCCAGGGGCACGGCTTGCTGGGTGGTCGGATGGCATTCCCCCTACAAGGCAGAGGAAACGTGTGGCCCCTCAGCACGCCAGGGCAGGGAGCCTGTGCATGCACGGGGTTCGTGGGGGAGGGGCGCTGAGCAGCCCGAGGACCCCACTTTGTGGTTACAGAGCATGGGAGTTTTGGGGGGTCAGAGGGTGGAAGGAATGAGGGTTACAGCGCTGAGGGTGAGGTGCAGGAAGGTGGGTCAGTGTTCCCTGGGCCGATGATCCCGTGGCACCTCGAGACGCAGCTGGTGTCACCGTCTCTGGGTGCAGCTCCCAGGAGCCTGCGTAGGGACAAGTGGGACCCCTTCCAGAGAGTTCCGAGTCACCGAGGGGGCCCTTGTCTACCGGGGAGTCTCAGCTGGACTCCTGCCCAGGGATCCGGGAAGACGGGATCAACTGGTGGCCTCAGGACCTGGGGTCAGGCAAAGCACGAGGTCAGGGCAGCTGGACTCTGCGTAGGGGACAAGGTAGGGGACCCTGGAGGCACAGAGACTGTCCGCTGTGAGGTCTCAGCTGTGGGGATACCACCTGTTTCACAATCTGGGACAGAGGGAGAGCGGATGGCAGCTGAGTGTGGCCTGGGTGGGTGAGGGGCAGTCACCGGGGCACCGGGCACCCGCAGCGTGAGGCAGGTCACAGCGGTGCAAGACGCTGGCTGGGAGGCGGACTGGGCCGCTTTTACTGTGTGACGAACGTCCGGGAACTCAGGGGCTTGTGGGGTACGTGCTGCTGCTCGCGCCTGGGCTGTCCGGCTCGTTCCGGGGCCCGCCGCCTGCAGCCTGGCTTCACTCCCTCGGTGGCTGGGCGGGGGTCCCTAGAGGGCGGGCGGGCCTGCGGAGGCCTCTTCAGGCCTGCCCTGGGAGCCGGGGGCCTCACCCTCACCACATTGCTCTTAGCAAGTCCCAGGCCAGCCCGGGTTCAGGGGCCACGGGCACAGATTCCGCCTCCTGACGCAGGAGGCGCAGAGTCTCCTTGAGGAGGTGGGGAATGGAGACTTGGGGCTTTCACGGGGACAGCGCGGGGACCGCGCTGAGTGGTGTGGTGGCCGAGTGAGGGCAGAGCTCCTGAATTTTGTGCAGACGACCCGAGCAGGTGGCTGTGTCCGCTGAGATCCCCCTGAGCCCTCGAGCTCCCCTCACGTGTCCGCGCCCCCCTGTACCCCCGCCCAGCAGAGCTCAGCCACCCGCTGTCCCCGCCGTGGCGCGGCAGCCTCCGCCTGTCCTGCAAGCACTCACCACGGGAACACCGGGGCGACCTGGCCGTGGGCTGGGATGGCAAGGACCAGGTAGGTGTCAGGGCCGGAAGGAGGCCCCGGGAACTCCACCGAGCCGGGAGCCTCAGCGGGGCCGGCCCGGCGGGTCCCCGTCCCCAGGAGACGGTGGGGGGGGGGGCAGAATCGGGTCCCGGCAGCACCTGAGCCACAACAGGAATGCCTCTGGCTGACACCTGCGGAGGGCACCTCAGCCCCGCTTTCACATGATGAAATCGAAGCCCAGAGAGGTACAGCGACTCGCCCGGAGTCACAGAGCTTAGTGGAAAGCAGGGCTGGTGTTCTAACCTATGAAGGCCTCCAGCCCTCTGTCCTCAGTCCCGTCTGTCATACACTATCCCTGTCTGCTCCCCTCCAAGCCTCGACATTGCCCTCTGCAGAAGGGGCTGCGTCTCTCCAAGCTCCTCCCCCCCGCCCAGTGCTGGGCCTGTGTGCTCAGAGCCCGCTGCCCTCACGCCCTTGCCCTGGAAGGCGTCTGCGCAGGGTGGGGAGGGGGCTGCCCTGTGGGCGAGGCCTCCGGCTCAGCCTGTCCCCCTCCCCAGGTGGTGGTCTTGTCCTCTCTGCAGCTGGGGAAGGGCAGGCTGGCCGCCCGCCTGGCCCTGGCTCACCCCTTCAACCTCTCCTGGTGGCACATCGAGGTCAGAGGCCTGGCTGAGGGCAGGGGTGGCCAGCAGAGCGGGCAGGTGAGTGGAGAGCATCTGAGGTGCCCACAGTGGGGGCGTCTGGGGGTTGGGGAGCTGCATGGCTGAGCCCACAGCCCACGACCTGGGTACCGCGTGCAGGGGAAGAAGGTTCTGCTTGTCCCCCGTTGGGAAGGACTCTAACAGAGTCACAGATTCCTGAAGTTTGCACCCTGAAGGGTCCTTCAGTCATTCATTCCTTCATCGATACCTTATTAAGCACCTACTGCATGTCAGGCCGTGTTCGAAGCACACAGGCCTGCATCTAAAGAGCTCACACTTTGGCAGGGCAAGAGCTTACGCACATGTCCGACTCCTCATTTATACACTGGTCCGTTGAGTCGGGAGCTGCAGCGGGTCCACGCAGGGCAGCTGGGCTCCTCGACTAGCCGGGTGGCCTCGGGTCGCTCCTGGACCCTCCCTGAGCCTCAATGTCCTCAGCCGGGAAATGGAAGCCAGTAGGCCCGTGTGTGTCAAGAGCAGACCATCTGTGCCAGGCCAAACAGAGAGCCTGTCTAAAATTCAAGCCAACGAATGAAGGAAAAATGGAGAGTTGTGATAAGCCCCGCGAGGAAAGCAGAAAGGAGGCGGAGACAGAGGCGAATCAGATGCGGTGGTCAGGGAGGGCCTCCTGGGGGAAGTGGCTTGTCCCCTGAGGACCTCCAGATGAGCGGGAGCCAGCTCATGACAAGCTGGAGGAATAGCATCCCGGGGGTGGGGGGGAAGGAAGGAAGAGCATGTGCAAAGGCCCTGAGGTAGGAACAGGCTGGCGAGCTTCAGGAAGAGGTGGGGCAGGCACCAGGGAGAGGAGATCAGCTGAGGGCCCCTGCCTACGTCGGCTCGGGCTGCCGTCACAGAACACTGCGGCTGTGTGGCTAGCTGCCTTTCGTTGCTTAAAACAAAAACACATATTCCTCCCCTTTCTAGAGGCTAGAAGTCCGAGATGAAGGCGCCGGCCTGTCCGGTTCTGGCGAGCGCTCTCTTGCTGGCTCTCAGTCTCCTGCGTCCTCACCTGCCGGGGAGAGAGTTCCCTGGGGTCTCTTCTCAAAGGGGCGCTAATCGCATCTTGAGGCCCACCCCATGACCTCATCGACACCTAGTCCCCTCCTGTCAGCCCTGCCTCCTAATACCATCCCTGGGGAGGAGGGCTTCTACAGCACAACAGGGGCATGGGCCGCAAGGTTCAGTCCCCAGCAGCCCCAGAGACCCTGAGTGAACGGCGCGGATTTCCTTCTGGCTTTGGAGACCGCAAGGCTTGGGTATTGGGAATGAGGCATCTTCCATCTAAATGCTTCCGGTCTCCCAGGCTGGGTGTGGCTCTGAGCACCTGCAGACGCGGGCAGGAGGGAAGACAGGGTCTCCAGCTCCCCTCCTTCGTCCCCTACAGTGGGGGGCTCCACCCTCCCCACTCTACCCCTCCCACTCCCTTCTCCATCCCCAGCACGCACACAGATGGAGAGCATCAGCCTCCCCTCTGGCCCTCCCCTCCACCACCCTCCGTCTCCTTGCAGGTCCAGTTGGCCTGGGACAGAGGGCAACCCGTGACCTTGCACCTCACCTGGACCAACAGGTCCTCGGAGTTCAATACCATCTGGGATGGCTGCCTGGCCGCCTCCCCGGGGCAGGTATGCGCTGGTGGGACTGCCAAGCCAAGCACGGGGCTCTCCCTAACTCTGGGCCCCTGTGCTGGCTCCCCCAAGTCCCACATTCTGTCTTCTTGTCAGCTCCAGGAAATTTGGGGCCTGAGTGCCCTCCGGGCCTGTGGGGCCTTAACACAGACCTTGGCCGTGTTCAGCGAGCAGCTCGATCTATCCTGGGACCGACGCCGGGTGCAGCAGAACCTGACATATGAGGTGAGGCCTAGAAAGCCGGGTCCCAGGCCGGTTGCCCGCAGGGGGTTCGCACCTGCTGTACAAAGTGCCTGGCTCTGAGGCCATGGGGTCTTGTGCCAAGGCTAGCTGTGCTGGAGGATGGTGAGCAGCTCCTTTCTCCACTGTGAGCCTTGGTGTTCTCATCTGTAAAATGGGTTCCCTGACTGGGGTATAGTGACAGCTCTGGGGGGATGAGGGAAGCAAGGTGCCCAGCATGAGGTGAGCACTTGGAGCAGATGACACCAGAGGGCTTTTAGGGGCAGGGGGAGATCAGGTTCCTGGAGGTGTCAGGGTTGGGGTCTTCCCGGCATCACTGCCCACCCAGGACTGTGGCTGGGGCTGAGCACTGTTCTGCAGAGCCTGGGACAGGGACCAGACCATGGAGAAATGGGGAGAAATGGCCCTGAAGTCCAACCTTGTTCCTCCTGGGGTCTCACACCCTGGGCTCTGGGACCCCTTAAACTCAGGCCCCCGGTGCTCCCAGTGTATAAATCACTGCTGTGGCCGACTGCAGCTCTCATGATGGGACTTCCAGCACCTGACCCTCTCTCGTGAGGTCTCCCGTCTGCAGCTGGCCGTGGCCCCTCTCCCCTCTCATGGGATGAGCCCCTGCCTCACGGTGCCCTCTCCTTCCAGAGGCATTGGCCATCCCAGGCAGACAGGATCCACGCCGAGGCCGTGCTCGAGCACATCTTCACTGGCTCCTGCACCACGCAGAGCTTCCAGGGCGAAGTGGGGACCGACTACACCCACCGGCTGCACCATTCCCTGCACCTGGGGCTCTGCGACCTGCCCAGGGTGAGTCTGTCCCGGGGAGGGGGCCCGGGCACCCACAGAGGGAGGGTGAGGAGAGAGGACAGCATCCGCAGAGCGCAGGGGTGTGAGCGAGGGAGCTGCGAGCCCACATCACCTCTCTGCCATCTGCCGGTGGGGTAATCCCAGGCAGGGCGGGTCGACCCTCTCCAAGTCCGGCGTTCCATCTGAGGAACAGAAGAGGCAGTAGGCTTCAGCATGTAGGGTGATTGTGAGAGAGGAGACGTGACCCAGGAAGAGAGCTTTACACATAAATGAAAGGTGCTCAGCTGCATCGTTGTCGGAGGTGAGGTGTTGGGACTCCTTTCCCAAAACATTCTTCCTGGGTTTGTTAGCTGGTTGATTGGTCCCTCCTCCTACCTACCAACCCTCCCATCCAGCCACCCACCTACTCACCCACCCTCCTGTCAGCCCATCTGTCCATCTACCCAGCCACCCACCTACTCACCCACCCTCCTATCCATCCATCCATTTCCCCAACTATCCATCTACCCCAGGGTCAGAGATCTTCTGTAAAGGGTCAGATAGCAAATATTTTAGCTTAGCTTTTTGTTTTTGTTTTTGTTTTTAAGATTTTATTTATTTATTTGACAGAGGGAGACAACGAGAGAGGGAACACAAGCAGGCAGAGTGAGTGAGGAAGAAGCGGGCTTCCCGCCGAGCAGGGAGCCCGATGCGGGGCTCCATCCCAGGACCTGGGATCATGACCTGAGCCGAAGGCAGACGCTTAACGACTGAGCCACCCAGGCACCCCATATTTTAGCTTTTCAAGCCATATGATCTCTGTTACCATCACTCAACTGTGCTGTCATAGGTTATATGTAAACTCATGGGCGTGGCCATCTTCCGATGTATATTTATTAATAAGAACAAGCAGTGAGCCCACTTTGGCTCTTGAGCCAGTTGGCCAACCCCATTCATCCATTCGTTCAGAAAGCATTTGTGGGTTTTACTTAACGCAGGGCCCTCTTCTAGGTGCAGGGACAAGGAAGGTGAAGGGGACACACTGGGTGCCCCACCCCTTGGAGCTCACATTCCAGTGGGTGGAAAGAGTTAAACAAGACGCATGATACGGAGGCGCCTGGGTGGCTCAGTCGTTAAGCGTCTGCCTTTGGCTCAGGTCATGATCCCAGGGTCCTGGGATCGAGCCCCGCATCGGGCTCCCTGCTCAGCGAGGAGCTTGCTTCTCCCTCTCCCTCTGCCTCTCTCCCTGCTCATGCTTTCTCTCTCTCTCTCTCTGTATCTCTGTGTCTCAAATGAATAAATAAAATCTTAAAAAAAAAAATTAAAGATGCGTGATACGTACTCAGGCATGATGAATGCCGTGAAGGAATGATGCAGGGAGAGGGGATGGGGGATTGCAGGGAGCCCCACTGACAAGTGCGAGCTCTGCAGAGGGAACAGCCAGTGCAAAAGCCCTGTGGCAGAGCATGCTGAGGGTATTGGAGGAACAGAGGGCAGCCTTTAGAGAGCAAGGAGGGGAGGTTAAGAAGATAGTGCTGACTCGTGGGCCATGTCAGGCAACAGCCAGCTTTTCTTAGTATAACGGGGAGGCAGAGAGTTTTGAGCAAGGGGATCATGTCCAATTTGCATTTTTCACGGTCAGTCTGGCTCCCGAGTGGAGGAGGGACCGTGGGCTGAACCAGAACGGAGACCCAACAGGCTCTTGGGACAGCCCTGGGGGCCTGGACCGGGCCCGGGCATGGTGGGGAGAGGAAGTTGCAGCCGCTGTGCCTCCCTGACCGCTGACACCCACCCTCTCGTGCCAGGCTCTCTCAGTCTCTGGGGAACACACCCTGGGTCACAACGGGTTCCTGCTGTATTCCCGCTGCCAGATGGGCCTCGCCCCGGACCCAGACCATGGCCTGCACCTCAGGCTGACCCTCCGCAACCACAGCAAGCCTCGGGCACCAGACTTCTCCGGGGAGCTGGAGGTGGGTGGCCAGGTCGGGGCTGCGCGCGCACGTGCACACACACACACACACACACACACACACACACACACGCCACCCCCCCCCCCCCCCCCCGCGAGGATGCCCTTCCTCCAGCTCTGGCCTGCGAGGCCACCACTGCCTGGATGGCCCTGCCACCTGGTGGTCACTGTCAGAACCGCAGGCTGGCACACTGCTCGGCTTCCTCCCCTGGAAAGTGGGGAGTCATCACTGCAACTACCCTAGCTCCCGTGGGATTCGTGCCGCGAGGATTAAATACGTTACTACGTGCAGATCACTTAGAGCAGCACCTGGTACAAGGCAGCCCCTCAGTATTACCGATTCTCCTGGCAGCCCAGGAGGGCAGGAGGGCGCCGAACTGGGCTCGATGCCTTCTTTGTCCCCACTGGCCAGGTGATCTTGGGAAGGGCCCTCGCTGAGCCCTGCCTCCTCATCTGTAAGTGGGGAGTGGACATATTTCGCAAGGCAGCGGGTACGGTTCCGGGCACCGCCTCCCTCTGCCCCCTTTAAAATAGGCACACAGTAGGTGCCCCGTCACTGTTACCATCTGCCCACCTCCGTGTCCCCCTGGCCGAGTGCCCCTGACTTTGTGACTTTCCTTCTTCTGACCTCAGTTGTTCCCTCTGTCCAATGGGAACAAATCCTACCTCGTTTGCAGAGCTGTTTGCACATAGTAGGTGCTCGTGAGGTTTCCTTCCAGCGTCCAGAGCTGCATGGGGATGGCTCTTCTGCCTCTGGAGGTCACTTGGCCTGTTTCCCTGCATGGTGGCATGGTGGTATCAAAAGACCTCTGCTCTCCAAGGCTGTCCGGGGCTGACCGCTTCGTCTCCCCACCTGCCAGCCAGGCCCCCAGCTGCCCCCGCATCTGTAATCCCAGTGCCCCAAGGCCTGCCGGCCTGGGAGTGGGCCCCCTGCCCCATGTGGGGGTCCATGCGGTGGAGAGAGGCCTTTCCCAGACTTGTTTGGTCCTCATGACACTGTGAGATTTCAAAAGGCTCTCTGGGCTGCACCCCACCCACTTGGAAACCTCGAGGACGGATTTTCTGGAACATGTGTAGTGAGCCCCCTGATTTAGATTCCTAGGGCTGCCGAACAAAGGACCCCCAGCTCGGTGCTGGAATGCAACAGAATTTTCTTTCTTTCACAGTGCTAGAGGCTAGAAGTCTGAAATCAGGTATCAGCAAGGCCGCACGCCCAGCAGAAGCTCTAGGGCACTGTCCCCCCTTGCCTCTTCCTGCTTCTGGGGGTCACCGGCAGGCCTGGGCGCTCCTTGGCTTATGGCCATGTCATTCCAACCTCTACGTTTTCACACGGCTGTCTCCCAAGGCCGTGGGTTGTTGGATTTAGGGCCCACCTGAATCCAGGACCACCATATCTGCAGAGACCCTACTTCTGAATAATCGGAACCAGGGTTCAAACTTCCACACACCTTTTTGAGGAACACGTTCACCCCGTAAGGCGCCTCCTCTAACACACACACACACATACACACACACACACACACACAGAGTAGTTCCGATTCCTGCTGAAGTTTGAAGGCCATCGTGCTACGTCATTTGACAGAATTGGAAACCAAGGCACAGACAGGGCAATGCACTTATTCAGGGTGGTACGGCTTGTTAGTAGCAGCATCTGGACTCGAACATGGGCAGCTGAGTCCCGGCCAGAGGTGGCTCCCCTCCCTCCAAGAGGCCTCCCCTTGCAGGGTGTCCTCCAGGGTTCCTTCTGTGGGGACCTCCAGCCCCATTGTCCAATCAGAGCTCACCTGTCCCGAGTCCCCCTCCTGCAAGGCTGGGCGTCTGCCAGCGTCGCGATAAGGTGCTCAGTGACTGTGTTTGCGCCCCGTGCTACCCACAACAGCTCCTTGAATGTGCTGAGGCATTTGCCGTGCTTCTCCTGAAATTACAGAAAGCACGGCAGGTAGAAACACCTGGGCACCAGGGACGGCAAAAATGTCAAGGCCCAGGGCCACCCGGATCAGTTAAGGCAGCGGCCCCCCCGGGCGAGGCCCGGCGTCGGCGATGTTTAAGCCACGGGGATGGCGGGTGCCCCTGGCTTATCAGGCCCCCAGATGTGGATTTAATAGGTACTTTCTGCAGTTGGCAGGGATAGTGAACCTTGTGGGGTTGTACGTGGGGGGTCCCAGTGCCCCGGGAGCTGTGGGGCAGGGGGTGGGCACTGCTTTTTCTCTCCCTGGGCCCGGGGCTAGCAAGAGCGGGGGGACCAGGCCCCACTCTGCTCTCTTGTTTGCAGATCCTCAGCCCCAAGGCTCAGCAGCTTGGCCTGCGGGGCCGGGTCTCCACCTCGGCTTCTCGGGGCAGCGTCCAGCTAGAGGGAATTGTGGACGATGGGGACGAGAAAATGAGGCTGTCGTTGTCCCGGGCCCAGAGCTGCCTCCAGGCCGCTGTGACCCATGAGGGAGGTGAGCAGAGACAGCGAGCGTTGCTCAGATGGCTGGGGCGGGGCCCAGCTGGGCCCCAGAGAGGACGGAGATGGGGGTGTTGAGAGTTGAGTCAGGGAACCCGGTTAGGACTTCGTGGCGCCCCCAGCGCAGAGGCGACAGTGAGCCCCCTGCATGGGCTGTGATGTCAGGAGAGTTTGGGAGAAGGGTCCAGGTGGGCAGACGGGAGGTGGGTGTGGGCCGGGGGACAAGAAGGAGCCCAGGCCTCAGGGGGTCGGGAAGCTGATTTGGGTGGGGCGCTTCCAGGCCTGCAAACGCTAGGGCCTGGGGGTGACGGGGAGCTCTCCGTGGAGAGGAGGGGGTGCGGACAGCCGGGCGGCAGCCAGGCGAGTCCCGGGGACAACAGCAGCACCCTTGCTGGCCCCAGGGAGCCGAGAGGAGAGCGTGGTGCTGCGGGCATGCGCCCACAGGCGAACGGCCGAGGTGGAGGCCCTGGTCCAGGATGGCGGGCAGCCCGTGCAGCCCCTGGGACGCCTCAGCCTGCAGGCTGCCAACCAGAGTCTCCGCCTGGAGGCACATGGCTGCCCGGGAACCCTGCTGGACCGCGTGGAGGTGAGACGGCCCCGGGGGTGGGGGACGCTCTTTTCCCTGGGGCTCAGACCACGGTGCCAGGGGCTGCGAGCCCTTTGGGTCCAACAAGGCCCAGAAAACCAGAGGCAGCCCTGTGGCATGCAAACATATCCTGGGGCCCTACGGCCGGCACCGAGAACCTCCTGTCCACCCCAGTCCCGGGAAGCACCCCCCTCCCCAGAGTCCCCAGCTTGTCCCTCTGTGCCCACAGTCCAGGATGGCAGCCATTGGGGCCCAGGTGGGAGCCCAGCTGGAGAAGAAGATCCGAGGCTTGGATGCCTACGTGGAAAGTTTCCGGCACCTGGTGGGTAGACTGCACCGGAGGTTGGGGACACACTTGGAGAAGGGGAGGTACTGTGTGGAGATGCCCCCCCCTTCCCCCGGCCCATCCTGTGCCCTCCACTCACCAGGCGTGAGGATCCTCTGGAGTGCCCGGTGCCCCACACCCTCACACCGATCCTGCCTCGATTTCCCTGCCCAGGTGCAGCCGGCGGGCACCCTGGACAGTGTGGTGGGCCCCCTCCTGCAGTTGTGTCACAGGGGACTGGGAGCCATGGTGGCGAGTGGCCGGGCGGTGGCCGCGCCATGGGGCCAGGCCAGGCAGGCGCTGACACACCACTTGCCCCCCTACCTGGAGAGACTACGGGCGGGGCTGGAGCAGCTGCAGAACGAGCTGGAACGTGAGTGCACGAGCGAGGGCCCGACCCCAGAGCCCTCCCGGCCTGTGGGGCCTCATGGGCCCGCAGCCTTCATGTTCTCTCTGCTGCCTCCATCCCTGCGGGTCTCCAAGCTACTAACATCCCTCGTGCCTGCTGCCTTGGTTCTTTGGTGACTGCTGGTCTATTTTTTTTTTCCCCCCAGTCCCCGCCTGATTTCTTTTGGGCCTACAGCTTTATTTCTATTAGGCCCAGTGCTGGAAGATTCCAGAGCCCATTTCTGGTTCTGTGATCAGCACCAGCGTGACTGTGTGGTTCAGGCTTCTGTCCTGGTTACTAGGTCGCCGCTGCCCCAAGCATCCTCCGAGTGACGCTGGGAACCTCAGGCCTCTCCACACGAGCACCAGGGCCAACAGCTGGCCCTTCCCTCCACCCTGCTTCTGTCTCTGGGTCAGAATCCCCACGGCCACCCCCAGCTTCCATGGCTCGCGAGGGCTCAGTTCTCGGAATATTTTCCTGCTCACAGCTAGGATTTGTTAACAGCGAAAGCACACGGAGCAAGATCAGCATAGGGAAGCGGCCCGGGGGCCCAGGCCCGAGCGAGGGAGGGAAACCAGGCACAGGCTTCCAGAATCTTCTCCTGGGGAGATCACCCAGGACGCCTTTGATTCCCCCACCGTCACATGGTGACCACCACTGGTCTGCCAGGGAAGCTCGTTAGAGGTCCTGCACCGAGGGTTTTCTTAGGGGGCTGGTCCTGGGGGAAGCCTCCCCTGGCACACACCACCATTCCAGACTCACAGGAGGAAACGGGGTGTTGGCCACAAGCGACTTGTCCCTACAAATGATTCGGGCAGAGCGAGGCCCTCTCTCGGTTCTGGGAGTGGTGGCAACCCTCCTCCCGTCCGGGCTCTCACATGCCAGCCCAGGGCCGACCTTGGGAACAGGCCTTGTGGAGGGGAAGTCTCAGGCCTGTCGGGCTGGCTCTTCCCTTGCAGTCCCTCATGCCGCCACCTTATTCCCTGGCACAGGCCCTGTTTCCTGGAGGCCTGGATCATCAAGGGGGCTAGTCCCCCCGCCGGGGTCTGGGCTGTGCTTTGGCAGTGGCATCTGGCCTGAGGTCAGGACTCCGGATGGGGGGATGGGGAGGGGGCTCACGGTGGGTGGTGGCCACCTGTTGCAGGGCCCCTGGCCACACTGAAGGACGCCTACCTGGAGGTGACCCCACAGCCCCTGGACGAGGTGTGGCGGGAGCGGGCGGAGGAGGCCGTGCGGCTGTGGCGGGCCCTGGGGCGCAGGCCCATCGGGGCAGCCATGGAGCTGGTGAGGTGGGGCGAGGGGGTGGGATGCGGGCCTGCCAGGTGGGGTGGACCCTGAAGGCTCTCCCCGCCCGCCCCCTGCAGGCCGCCCACCAGATGCTGTCTTGGGCCGAAACCACTTTGTCCCGGGCCCTGCGGAGGCTCTGCAAGCCCTTGCTGGCCCTGTACAGCTTCTCAGCCAGGTACCTCGGGGACCGGGGACCGTCCTTCTCTGCCTCTCTGCCCCAGGCCGGGCCCCAGGCTACAGCACCCTTGGTCTCGTGTATTCCTTAGGACGACCCTGCCAGGGGGGCATTTTCAGTCCTCATCTGTTAAGTTGAGGCTTATTCTTCATTTCACGGGTATCGGATGAACATGCTCTCCAGGTGGGAGCTGTTTTAGGTTCTATGGATACAGCAGGGAACGAGACCCATCCCCGTCCTCACACTGAACAAAGAGCTAGGTATCTAAACCCTGCTCGGCCAGACTTTCCTCCAGAGGGGTCTCGGGGTAAAGTTTTCAGGCTTTGGAGGCTCGGTGGTCTCTCCCTTCATTTTCCCTTTGTTTTTCATTAATCCTTTAAAAACAGTAGAGCCCCTCTTGGCTTGCGGGCCATCCAGAAACCGGACACAGGCTGGATCTTGCCCATGAGACATAGTTTCCTAGCCTGTGCTTTGGTTTATCAGGTGGTAAATGCTGGAGAAAAACAGGCAGGACAAGTGGGGAGGGGGGCACACTTGGCATGGTGAAGCCATGGTCTGCTTCTTTAAGAAGGTGGCGTTTGCACAAGGGCTGGAAGGAGCTGGGGGAGGGGGCCCTGTGGGCATCACGGGAAGAGTTTCAGGCAGAGGCCACAACCAGTGCAAAGGCCCAGGGGTGGGAGTGTGCCTGGCCTGCTGGAGGAGTATGGAGGAAACCAGTGGGGCTGGAGGGGAGGCTCCAAGAGCCTGAGGGTTGAGGGGCATCCAGGTGGCCTGAAGGACATTGTGAGGACATTGACCTCTACTCTGAGATGGGAACCCGCAGAAGGTTTCGAGCTGAGAAAAGACATGATCTATATCCCATTTAAAAAGATCCCTCTGGCCCTGGTGGTGAGACTCCAGCTGGAGGCAGGGGCATGGTGTGGATAGAAGTGCAGAGCCCAGTAAGGAGGGGCCCTCGGTTGTGGGTGTCCGGGCGAGACGCGGGAGCCGTGGAGGGGCCGCGAGGTGTTTAGAGTCTGGACGTGTCGTACGGTCAAGCCTGGAGATTTGCTGACAGATTGGATGAGGTGTTGGAACAGGTGGCGCCGAGGGTTTTGGCCTTGCAGATGGCAGGGGGGACAGTCCATTGGTGGAGCAATGAGGGATGACTGGTGGCAGGCAGATGGGGGCTTTATCAGTCTCCTCTTTGCTGCCATAGCCCCTTGGCCCACACATTTAGTGGCTTCAAACAACACAGATTTATTCTCGTGTAGTTCTGGAGGTCCAGCGTCTGGGAAATCTGTTTCAGTGGGCTACTGCCAACGTGTCGGCCGGGCCGGCTCCCAGGGAGGCTCCAGGGGAGAACCCACCCCCTTTGCCTTTTCCAGCCTCGAGGAGCACCGGCGCTCCTTGGCTCAGAGACCCTTCCTCCGCCTTCAAAGCTGAGAGCCACAGCATCACCTTCTCTCCAGGCTTTGTCCTTCTGTCTTGTCTCTCTGACCCTCCCACCCTTTTTCTTACGACATGAGCTCACCCGGATAATCCATCCCAGAATCCTTCACTTAGGCACACCCGCAAAGGGCCTTTGGCCACATCAGTTCCCGCAGTCCTGGGGCCCAGGCACTTGGAGGTCTTTGGGGGCCTTTATTCAGTCTGCGCGGCAGGAGCGGGGATGGTCAGGGCGCCATTCTGGACGCGTTGAGCTTGAGAAGCCATGAGGACACACGCGGTTGGAAATGGCCAGTAGGAGCTGCTATTTTGAGGTCTGGGCCGTACAACAGTCTGGGAGTTGTCAGAGAGGGGACTAGACCGGATGGGGCAGCAGAACCAGCCTCAGGGACAGGCCTGGGCTCTGGGGTGCGCGCGCCCCTCCGCCTCCCAGGCTGGGGGCCCCATCAGCAGTAGGGCGGTGGGATCGGAATGGCAGCGGCCCCAGCCAGCAACCTCACAGCGCATGGGGACCGGGGGAATGCTTGGGCTTGCATCCCGCTCTGACTCAGGCAACCTTGGATCGGTGCTCGGTGCCTCGGGTGGTGCTCAGGCCACCAGGGCTCTCGGTGCTGTTGAGTGGGCACGGTGTCAGCTGGTGTGCAGAGGAATGTAGCAGTCGGGGGCTGCTGGCAAAGGGAGGGGCTGACTGGTGCGGTAGGGGGCTCCTGCCCAGGGGAGGTCCTGGCAAGGGGTCGGCACTGGGTGCTTGTGCTGAGGAAGGGGGGTGCGGGGGGGCAGGGAGGCCTCTGAGACCACTTCCGGCCCGCTGCTGCAGGTCCTCCGGGCCTGCTGGGGGAGGTAAATGTCTTCCCCACCTCCCACCCCCGGCCCCCTGCACCTACCTCCACCCGCAGTCGAGGGCATGAACCCTTCCTCATCTACCTCCAAGCCCAACGTGTGCTGAGACCTCTCTGCTCCTTCAGACCCCACAAAGTTGACCTGACCCCCGTTTTTCACCCTGAGAAAGTTTCAGGGTCCTCGCTCGATGGTCGAGCTCCGACCTCCCCTTTCTCTGATGCTTTTGCTGCCCTCGTCCACCCCGCCTCCAGGAGCCCAAGACGTGGGCCGGCCCATTCTCGGGGTTCACATAGACCCGCCCCAGCTGGATCACGGCCCTCGGGGACAGCACGTACGTTCCCACCGCTGGCGGGAGCGCAGATATCTGTGTCCTTCCAGTGAGGCTGCCGTGTCTGTGCCGAGCCTGGACCCTCCTCCACCTCCTGCTATTTCCTGAAGCAAAGGCAGGGCAGGCTGGGGTCTCCAGCTCCTCTGTGCTCCCTCCAGGACCCGTTCGGTGCGGGTGACTTTGCCGCTGCTGCCAGCAGGGAACGAGGCCCTGGCTGTGGCCCAGGTGACCGGCTATGTGGTGGAGAAGCTGCTGCGGCCGCTCGGAGAGTTGTCCAGGACCAACGTGCGGGCCGAGTTCTACCGGCTCCAGCGTCGCATGCTGCAGAGCCCCCGCGAATGTGAGTCTCGGGCCACCCTCCTCCCCGGGAAGCCCTGGACCCTGTGGGATGGGGCAGCAGGACGTGGCAGGGGCAGACAGAGAGGGGCCGGGTCCTGGGTGGCCCCTGGGACCTGAGCCCAGTACCGCAGGGCCCAAAGGTTACTGGACTGCCCCAGGTCATACTGGAGGAGGGCTGGGGTGCAGATCCGGGCTTTCGTCCAGCAAAGGAAAGCCTGAGCCTGGGGCCCAATCCAGAAGCGGGCCAAGCGGCTTAGGGCTCGAGGCCAGCTCCCTCCCCCTTGTCGGTGCTGGAGACGCAAAAGGCAGACCTCCAGCTGGAGCCGGAGGGCGGCTAATGGAGTCCAGACTTGTGGTCAGGCGGGGCTGGCCACCACGGGCTGTGCCAAGACCGGATGTGGCTCCAGGGGCTTGGGGCCCCGAAGGAGTTTGCATCCAGCTCGTGCCCGTGTGTGGCCCGGGCGAGTCTTCCCACCTCTCTGGGACTTGGTTTCCCCTCTGTGCAGTGGAGGTGGCACCATGGCTCACTCCTCTGGGTCACAGGCACGTGTGGTTTGTGAGCCGCGTTCCTTAGTGCCAGGGGTGGGCCTCAAGTCCACAGGCAGGTGTGGCACTCAGGGCCTGGTAGGACTGGAGTATCAGTGTGGTTCGTACCGACCACGCGGGAATGCTGAGGCTCGGGGCAAGCGGTTGCCCTCCTAGGGTCAGGGGTACTTTCTCTGCTAGGCAGCACAGTGAGGTTGAAGTTGGCCTTGGAGTTCCGTACTTTTGTGTGACCTTGAGCTCTGATGGCTCATGAGGGGGCATGCAGGACACTCCCAGCTTGCAGCGGCCAGCAGCGCCCTGGCCTGGGTATGTGTCCGCTAGTGCTCCCCCACTTCTAGCCCAAGTCGCTGCCCAGCAGCCGAACTGGCCCGGTGGGGCATGCTGTCCCTGTCTCGGACAATCTTCTGCCCACCTGGAGGAGGGCAGAGCCAGGCCCCCATGGTAACTTCCTTGCATTAGATGGAGACTTTGGTCATACTTTTGTGTGTTTTTTATAGTGATTATTTTTCAATAGCTTCACTGACCCACAATTCGCATACCACACCGTTTATTTCAAGCATATAATTCAGCGGCTTTGAGTATATTCACAGAGGTTCACATCCCCCCCCACCATCGGTTGCAGAGCATTTTCATGACCTGAGAAGCATCCTCTGTCCCTTAGCCGTCACCCTCGGTCCTTGGCGCCCACCCGTCTACCTCCTGGCTCCATGGATTTGCCTACTCTGGACACTTCGTATAAATGGAATCATGTATCAGCCCTTTCTTTTTAGTGTCGACTTGGCTGGAGATGGCCCACTTCAGGGTGCTGGGCTAGACCCCCGCCCCCATGTGGGCTGCCCCAGGGGTCACAGGCCAGAAAGGCTCCGGCCACCCTGGAGTACCCCCTGCCCTCAGGGCCCCCAGGGCAGTGGGCAGAGCTGGCCCATCTTACCTGCCCTGGGCTTGCTTCTTCCCAGACCATGCTGTGGTGGCCGGGGCCAGGTATGTGGTGACTTTTGATGGCCAGGTGTGGAGCCTGGGTGTCCACTGTGGCCGTCTGCTGCTGGCCAAGGACTTCGCCCACGACACGTTCGCGCTGACGCTGAACCGCGCCCGCTCGGGGCTCCTGTCCCTGTCCGTGGAGCTGAACCGCACCACCCTGGTCCTCTACCCGAGCCTGAAGGTGAGCGTGCAAGAGTGGGAGGGGCAGGGGGCCCAGAAGGATGACATGTTCCTGCCTCCTGTCACAGACCCTTCCCACCTGGTGCCCCGCGTTGCCTGCCACCTGTCCACTCAGCCCCTGTCTGGCCCCCAGACCTACAGGCTGTATGATTCCTCCTCGCCTACGGAGAGCTGTCCACACGTCGATCTGCCTCCTGCCAAGACGAGGAGGGGTGTCCCCAGGATTGAGCTGACCAGTGAGGATGGCGTCTCTGTCACCTGTGATGTCCGAGCTGGTCTCTGCAGCCTGACTCTGGGCCTCTGGCTCCACGGTGGGTCCCAGCTCGCAGCGGCCACAGTCAGCTTCCAGGGCTGAGGCCGGCAGGTCCCCAGCCAGGGGCACTCTCAGGGTCCTCGGGATACCCAGGGCCTCCCTCAGGCTGCTGCTGATCTTCGGGGCTTACAACCTGAGCAGGCAAGAGAACAGTCTGAAGGGCTCAGGATGGGAAGGAGGTCCAAGGCCATGGCTCCCTGCTGGATCATGGCAGTGCCGGGACCATCCCCACTGCAGGTGGGCAGATCCTGCTCGGCTTGGTGCCCACTGGCCTTGTCTGCAGCTGTAATACCCCAGTCGCCTCTTCCCCTTCTCCTCCCCCCTGTTGGCTGTAGTTTGGATGACCTCACTGAAGCTCATGTACGGGCCACCATTCTCACAGCCCAGGGCTCTCTGACCCCATATTCTCCCTCCCTTCTGGGACATTGACTCCGGGTTCAGGGCTGCCCCAGAACAGCGCTCCCGTTGGCCCAGGCCACTTGGGATGGGGAGGGTCCCAAAAGGGACACAAACGCTTTGCTCCCTTCTCCTCTCCCTCTGATGAAGGGCTAGGGTGTGGAGGGTTCGGGCATTCCTGGAACCTGGGCCAAGACAGGCTCTCACCTGGCCCCCCCTTCTGCACAGGGGTGTCTGCGGGCCTTCTGGGCACCAATGACAATGAGGCGGGCAATGAGCTGATGTTGCCGGATGGCACAGTGGCCCAGAGCCTGGAGGAGCTCGCCCTCGCCTGGCAGGTGAGCTGGTGCGCCAGCCCTCCTCCTCTGGGGGGTCGTGCATCCCAGGGGCTGTGTGGGTAGAGATTGGCTTGGGGCATGTGTACTCTGCAGACAGCTTCTCTGTCCAAGGGGGTGGTCATCCCCTTCGGAGGCTGATGTACCTGCTCTAGCTGCCCAAGAGGAGGTCCAGGCAGGAGGCCTGAGTCTGGGCTTTGTCTCACTAGGTGGGTGGTGACTGCAGGGCCATGGAGAAAACTCAGGAGTGCCCAGGCTGGAGCCCCACCTGCTGGGCCTTCTTCCAGGACCCCCGTTCCTGCCTGGGGAACTGCTTCAGGGTGGTGAGTGTGAGGCTGGGTCTGGACCCCAGCAGAAGCCATGCAGCAGGTAGACCAAGGGACCCAAATTGACTCCTATCTTGCCTCTGCCCCTCCCCTGTGCTACTCACAAGGGTATAACATGCAAGGACCGTGACTGTGGGTACTGGATTTCAGGTGGACCCTATGCCATTCCTCAGCCTGTGCATCCAGGACACCTGTGGTACCCAGGAGCTCCACCCTGCCTGCAACCTGGCAGCCGCCTATATCCACTTGTGTGCCCGGGGCTTCGTGCCCCTGGACCCTCCTCCACAGTGTGGTAAGCCACCCCCACCAGCCATCCAGCTCACCCCTACCTGGCTGACCCCTGCCTTCCCTCCCAGAGGGAAAACTAGTTCCTTCCTCTTACCTAGTTCATTATATGACAACAGAGTGCCTGTCCGCCTGGCAGGAGCTAAGAGTCAAAAAAGAGGCCCAAAGCCTCCCCCTGCCCAAGCCAAGGCTGGTGAGCCCTGGGACGTCTGACACAGGAGACAATAGCATAGACAACTATAAACTCACCTCCTGAAAATGTATAACCACAGATCTGCTATTCAGGGGTTTGAATGTACACTCCAATGTCTGGAAAGCCCTGGGTCAACCACTGTTGTGCATGATTCCAATTCCCACAGCTGAAGCTCCACTGCACAGGGCTAGAAGTCAGCGACTACCCCAAACAACAGGAGAAGAACCTCTGTTAAAGGAAAGATGACTCATTATACTTGGAGAAGACCAGGCAGGCAGGCTGTATTCAGGGGGACTATCACAGTGGTACAGGGACCACTGCAATGGGGTTTAGCCATATAGGGGAGAGAGATCAGGCTCTGATTACAACAGGCAAAAGTGGGGACTGAGAGCCAAGGAGCGGGGGGCGGGGGGGGGTGTCTGTGGATGGGAAATTACCAAGAGGAACCATCAGGGATGGTGAAGTTCTGGCTAACCTGACCTGCCAGGACTCTTGCTGGAGGCAGCCCAGACTGATCAGAGGAACCCTGTCTGATGGCAAGGTAATCCCTTATTCTGGCTAAATTGACCTAGCAGAATTCTTGCTAGACCTGACCAAGGCAGAGTGAGAAGCCCCTCACCCCAATGTCAGGGCCTCACTGAGATTTCCACAGAACCTGAGTAGAATCTGGTCAAAGAAAGATACTAGAATTTGAAACTATTAAATACATATATTAACTGAAATTTAAAACTTAAGATCGGGGGCCCCTGGGTGGCTCAGTGGGTTAAGCATCTTTTTGTTTTTTTTTCCAAATTTCCATCTGGCATCATTTTATTTCCTGCTTAAAGGAGCATCTGACTCTTGATTTCAGCTCAGGTCATGATTTCAGGGTCACGGCATCAAGCCCAATGTTAGGCTCTACACTGAGCATGGAGGCTGCTTAACATTCTCTCTCCCCTCCCATCAGCTCACAGTACTCTCTCTAAAGATAAATATTAAAAAAAAAAAAATTGACGGAAGAAAAAATTAATGAACTGGAAAATATGAGTCTCATAGAAATTTCAAAATGAGAAAATAAAGAGGTTTGAGAACTGGAACTCCCCCCAGATTCCAGAAGCACAAGGTATCCCAGATACTGTCAATCAACCCCGATTAAGATACATCAGAGTGGCAAAGAAGTGATCTTTCAAGGAACCAATCTCCCACCAGCAAGGACTGAAGATGGTAGAAGATACACCTTGTGTATATTCTTAAGTGAACAACTATCACGTTAGATTTTATACCCAGCTCAACTATGATTTAATGTTAAAGGTGAAACAGATTTTTAGCACGGTGCTCTCTGAAACCATCTTTCCCACTGATGGACACTCACTCAAGGAAGAGAGCCCCACACATTTATTCACATGCCATCCGTGGCTGTTTTTGCGCTGCAACAGTAGAGTGTTGGCAACGACTGCCAAGTCTAATTCCATTCATTACAGTAAGTGTTGGCTGATCCTCTGTGTGAACCAGAGGAAGCAGGAGGGAGAAATTAAAGAGTAATTAATGAAATAGGAAGAAATGAACAAGAAGTCAAAACTACAGATCCAGTAGAGATTTTGAAAAGTCATTCAACGCCTTTGCTGATAAATTTCAAGACGTAGGTTAAGTACAATCTGGCCAGATTGATTTGAGAAAGAATGTTTAAAGCATCTCCTAGCCATTCAATCAACTGAACCTAGGGGCTAAAATGTACCTCTAAAGACATCAGGCAAAGCTGAGTGAAGTGAGTGGCACACCAAAAAAAATTTTTTTTTTTTTTAAAGATTTTGTTTATTTGACAGAGAGAGACACAGCAAGAGAGGGAACACAAGCAGGGAGAGTGGGAGGGGGAGAAGCAGGCCTCCCACGGACCGAGGAGCCCGATGCAGGGCTCGATCCCAGGACCCTGGGATCATGACCTGAGCCAAAAGCAGACGCTTGATGACTGAGCCACCCAGGTGCCCCTAAAAAATAGATTTCAAGATTTAAATTTTTTGATTCTGTGAAAGAGCGTCTTTAAGAGAACGGAAAGGTTAATATTTACAAACCCATATATCTGACAAAGGACTCCTATCTAGAATAGGTAAACTCAAATTTAACAGAAAAAAAAAAATGGATTGCCACCCAAAGCTGGGGTAGCAATCCTTATTAGATTTTAAACCAAAGACTATAATAAGAGATGAAGAAGGACACTCTATCATACTGAAAGGGTCATTCCAACAAGAAGCTCTAACAATTGTAAATATCTATGCCCCTAACGTGGGAGCAGCCAATTATATAAGCCAATTAATAACAAAATCAAAGAAACACATTGACAGCAATACAGTAATTAATAGTAGGGGCCTTTAACACCCCACTCACTGAAATGGACAGATCATCTAAGCAAAAAATGACACACTGGACCAAATGGACTTCACAGATATATTCAGAACATTCCATCCCAAAGCAATAGAATACACATTCTTCTCTAGTGCCCATGGAACATTCTCCAGAATAGATCACATCGTAGGTCACAAATCAAGTCTCAACTGGTACCAAAAGATTGGGATCATCCCCTGCATATTTTCGGACCACAATGCTTTGAAACTAGAACTCAATCACAAGAGGAAAGTCAGAAAGAACTCAAATACATGCAGGTTAAAGAGCATCCTACTAAAGAATGAATGGGTCAACCAGGAAATTAAAGAAGAATTTTTTAAAAATCATGGAAACCAATGAAAATGAAAACAACTGTTCAAAATCTTTGGGATGCAGCAAAGGCAGTCCTAAGAGGAAAGTATATAGCAATACAAGCCTTTTCTCAAGAAACAAGAAAGGTCTCAAATACACAACCTAACCCTACACCTAAAGGAGCTGGAGAAAGAATGGCAAATAAAGCCTAAACCTAGCCAGGAGAAGAGAAATAATAAAGATGAGAGCAGAAATCAATGAAATAGAAACCAAAAGAACAGCAGAACAGATCAACGAAACTAGGAGCTGGTTCTTTAAAAGAATAAGATTGATAAACCCCTGGCCAGACTAATCAAAAAGAAAAATGACCCAAATAAAATCATGAAGGAAAGAGGAGAGATCACAACCAACACCAAAGAATTACAATTTTAAGAACATATTATGAGTAACTCTATGCCAGCAAATTAGATAATCTGGAAGAAATGGATGCATTCCTAGAGATGTATAAACTACCAAAATTGAACGCGGAAGAAATAGAAAACCTGAACAGACCCATAACCACTAAGGAAATTGAAGAAGTAATCAAAAATCTCCCAACAAGAGCCCAGGGCCCGAAGGCTTCCCAAGGGAATTCTACCAAACATTTCAAGAAGAATTAATACCTACTCTTCTGAAACTGTTCCAAAAAACAGAAATGGAAGGAAAACTTCCAAACTCATTTTATGAGGCCATTACCTTGATCCCAAAATCAGACAAAGACCCCATCAAAAAGGTGAATTACAGACCAATATCCCTGATGAACATGGATGCAAAAATTCTCACCAAAATACTAGCCAATAGGGTCCAACAGTACATCAAAAGGATTAGTCACCACAACCAAGTGGGATTTATTCCTAGGCTACAAGCCTGGTTCAACATCCGCAAATCAATGTGATACAATACATTAACAAAAGAACAAGAACTGTATGATCCTCTCGATGCAGAAAAAGCATTTGACAAAGTACAGCATCCTTTCTTGATTAAAACTCTTCAGAGTGTAGGGATAGAAGGTACATACCTCAATATCATAAAAGCCATGTATGAAAAACCCATAGCAAATATCATTCTCAATGGGGACAAACAGAGCTTTCCCCCTAAGGTCAGGAACACGGCAGGGATGTCCACTATCTCCACTGCTATTCAACATAGTATTAGAAGTCCTAGCCACAGCAATCAGACAACAAAAAGAAATAAAAGGCGTCCAAATCGGCAAAGAAGTCAAACTCTCACTCTTTGCAGACGATATGATACTTTATGTGGAAAACCCAAAAGACTCCACCCCAAAATTACTGAATTTCTGTATGAGTTCTAGCAAAGTGGCAGGATAGAAAATCAATGCACAGAAATCAGTGGCATTCCTATACACCAACAACAAGACAGGAGAAAATTAAGGAGTTGATCCCATTTACAACTGCACCCAAAACCATAAGATACCTAGGAACAAATCTAACCAAAGAGGCAAAGGATCTGTACTCAGAAAACTATAAAATACTCATGAAAGAAATTGAGGAAGACACAAAGAAATGGAAAAACGTCCCATGCTCATGCATTGGAAGAACCAATATTGCGAAGATGTCAATGCTACCTAGAGCAATCTACACATTCAATACAATCCCCATCAAACTACCATCAACTTTTTTCAAAGAAATGGAACAAATAGTCCTAAAATTTGTATGGAACCAGAAAAGATCCCAAAAAGCCAGAGGAATGTTGAAAAAGCAAAGCAAAGCTGGCGGCATCACAATTCCGGACTTCCAGCTCTATTACAAAGCTGTCATCATCAAGACAGTGTGGTACCGGCACAAAAACAGACCACAGATCAATGGAACAGAATGGAGAGCCCAGAAATGGACCCTCAACTCTATGGTCAACTCATCTTCGACAAAGCAGGAAAGAATGTCCAATGGCAAAAAGACAGTCTCTTCAACAAATGGTGTTGGGAAAATTGGACAGCCACATGCAGAAGAATGAAACTGGACCATTTCCTTACACCACACACAAAAATAGACTCCAAATGGTTGAAAGACCTAAGTGTGAGACAGGAGTCCATCCAAATCCTAAAGGAGAACACAGGTAGCAACCTCTTCGACCTCAGCCGCAGCAAC